TATTCCGCTAGGGGGTCGCCTGGGGTTGGGGGGACTCCGCCTGTCCACGCAAAGCTTTCAAGCAAGAATTCTCTTTGACTCAGAGGGATTTTTGCATTGTTCATGCGTTAAATTAATTGCCCATTTAGCTCTTTGTGAGTAAGTGCTGCTTTATTTTGAATATGTATGGTTGCAACAAAGAAATACTTTCCCATTCTAACTACTATATTTGCTAGTTTTAGTACACCTAAGCACCATAGCACTCAAACAGGCTGAAGTTACACACTCAGAGAAGATGTTTTATATGCAGGTTTTTCTTACATGTATGTGCCCATGGAAAGCTGTTACTGGTCACTGCTTTTCAGTGCATGTAGACCTGCTGTATGGGACGCGGGTGGCGCTGTGGGTTACACCACAGAGCCTAGGACTTGCCAATCAGAAGGTCGGCGGTTTGAATCCCCGCAACGGGGTGAGCTCCCGTTGCTTGGTCCCTGCTCCTGCCAACCTAGCAGTTTGAAAGCATGTCAAAGTGCAAGTAGATAAATAGGTACCACTCCGGCGGGAAGGTAAACAGCGTTTCCGTGCGCTGCTCTGGTTCGCCAGAAGCAGCTTAGTCATGCTGGCCACATGACCCGGAAGCTGTACACTGGCTCCCTTGGCCAATAAAGCGAGATGAGCGCCACAACCCCAGAGTTGGCCACCACTAGACCTAATGGTCAGGGGTCCCTTTACCTTTACCTAGACCTGCTGTACATATGTGAAAGCCACATATATAATCGTCACATGAAAAATTACACATGGAATTCACAAATTAACTTCACAGAGAAAAGTGGAGATAAATGGGGAAAGTTTGCATGCCATAAGACAATTATTTTGAGATGTATAAAATGTAAATATAATATACAAAGACTAGTTAGTCTGCTTATAAACACATGCAATAGGTTTTCTTCCCTCAGTGTAATGACATTATCTCTGCTAGCTTTTCCCAAGTATAAATAATTAGGACAGGACTGAGCTTGAACAAGTTACAGGGATGCACCAACATAAGATTTAGAAGCCAACAGTAAAAGTGGTGTGTGTAGTGCAATTCAGTTAATAAAAACTTTTCACATAATTCTGCTACTGATATTATCAAAAAGATACAACTGCAGCCTAATCTGACACAAATTAAATCGGAAGCAAGTCCACTTTATTTACTGGGACTTACCATACCTCCATGCATAGGACTGCAGTGTTATGGTAAGTAAAAAAGGTTTTCTTCTGTGAATGTATATCTTATGTAGCAAAACTGAAGTTAGCTGCTTTTTATTTATTTCTAAGAAGTAATACTTAAAAAGATGGGGTGGTTTTAGAATCTAAAAAACATTATTTTTCAGAAATACCTTAAATGAATATTTAGATGAGAAGGAAATACGAAGATTTATATAAAGCATCACGTAGGGGGAGGGAGTTAATGCCCATGATGGATTAATGGAAAATCAGCATTGTATCTCTATTTCACCCTGGGCTACATGACAATTTCTGCTTTTTTCTCTGGTTTATAGCTCATTAACTAATACTTGTGCCAACACAGTTTCTCCTTTTCAAGAACGTTTTTGAGAACTGGGTGGTCAGGTTATCTACACTGGCTGTTAATCAAGAGCTGTCAAGTGTACTTAAAACAGAATGAAATAAATTATGATTTAAGTACATACAATACTGTATGCTGGATTTTTGCCATTATTTGTACAAGGCCTCTTGTTAGTTGATGACTTACACAAAAAGTAAACCAACTGTTTTAAATCCAAAAAATCTCTGTGTAGGAAAAAAGGTGATTAGGTTGGTTATTCCCAAACTGTACTTTTCCCCATTAAGTGTTGCTGCCTTCCAGAGCTGTAAAACAATAAGCCTACAACTGCTGATGCCAATAATATACTGTATTTAGAAGAACAGGCAAATTATTGCCAAACAGACCCTTTGTGACCCACTTGCAATACAGAAAAAAATTACAATCCACTGTTTCTGCAAACACTGGAATGTGTTCCTGTATTTTGAAATGAGAAAGGATATTAAGAATTATGGCCTTTCTTAGAGGTTAACAAAGCTCTACTCTATAATGTTAAAACCAGAGGACAGCTAATGTAAGACACTGTAGAAGCAATCTGGTTTCATAAATTTCATCCATTTATAAGAAACTGTACAAAACAAACACACAATGGCAGGAACAACAAAATTAGCAACACTACAAGAGAAACAGCTAAGCAAATAAATGTACACACCCTCAGTTTCTTATTGGGCACCATCAACAACAACAACTTTTCTGTAAAGTCACTTGTAAACTACTTCTAGACCTATTCAAACATTATTCGCTTTAAAATTAACTTGAAGTTGTCTCTTAGGTAATTTAGACAAGACACCATTCTTGCAATTAACAATGGCATGAATACTTTCCAAAAAGTAAACAGACATTGGGGGGGGGGGGGTTGATCCAGATTAATGGTAGAGGGTTTTTTTTTTAACCATTTGCCCTCTAGATCTAGATCTGGCCTCCCACACCTGCTATTTGCACTGCAAGTAAAACTCCTGTTTATGCCAACTAATCTATCTAGCTCAGATAAGTTTTTTTGAGGAAAAACATGTTACTACATTTAATACTAATGCACAGGTGAGATGGCATCTGCAGATAAGAATTGGCAGGTGGGAAACGAGTGCTTAAACTGCCCTACAATTCTGCCAATTCTCCTCTGCTCTCTCTTCCTCCAGTAGTTTTTCTTCAGTTTCCTCCAGCCAATTCTGAGATTGGAAATAAATTCATATTGGGACATGAAGACCTGGGGGAGAGGGGAGGACTGCAGGGAAGATTAGGGAGGCAGAGGAAAGGCTGAGCACCACTTCCCACCTTCCAATTCTCCTTTGAAAGTGGCCACATGACTGCACTCCCTTAAGCATTCACCCAATAACAGAACGAAAAGATAGTGTCCTCTTAATACTATTGCAAAAATGAAAATTCAACTTCTTACAAAATGGAATGGAACACCCACTGCCCCCCCTCAAAGCCAACTTCTTTGGAACCCAGGGTCACAAAGACTGATGCGGAAAAATTTACAGGCAATCTCCTGTTTATATACCTTGCTTATAATTTTCAATAAAATGGCAGGAGCCAAATTAGTTATTCTGAAATACTGTATTCTGAATTTGTAAGAAATATGAACCAACTTTGAAAATAATTAATGCATTAATGCAGAGCCTTAGATTTAGAAGAAGGTGAGATTAAATTAGAACATACAAGATGTTATAATAGACTTTATTTCCAAGCTGCTGAAGCAGCCCAGTTCAATCACATAACCTGCAAATCAAATCAAATCAAATCGCCTGTGCAAACCATATACAAGAGAACACAAATCTTCAAAGACTGTCCAAGTGCATTTCCTTACCTTTGTTCTGCACAACAATCCTCTGAATGTGTAAAGAAAAAGCCCATCCCTTCTCTTCCTTTATTGAACCACCCCACCCACATTATGTATACAAACATTTGTTTGCCGTATTAGGCAGCAATGCTTGGAACTTAGAAGGAAACTGAGCGCTGGCAGGAGAACAGAGATGTCTTGGCTTTGACAATGAAGTTGGGTAAGTATGTTGGGTAAGTATGGGAGGGGTAAAACTGGAAGACAGGGGTTCTGGGTTGGACTTTCAAAGACTATGCAGGGTGTTAGCATTCCAAGAATGATGCTTGACAGCAATAGATTTTAAACCCTGCTAGGACTGAGTAGAATACTAGTGTCAGTATCCCTCATTAATTTAAGTAGCACAATGGTGGTGGGGCTGACAGAGGATAGTAAGGATACCGGGAGAAGTTCAGGGATACATGGAATTATGATGCATTTGCCATACGAGCTACTACAGAAAGTGCCTCTAATTCAGCTACATTCACACATGCTCTCCCTTAGCTTCCTCCTGAGAGCATTTTGAAGTTCTCTGACTTTAGGAATATTTTAAAAGTTCAAATAATCCAAAAAGCAGTTCTAGAAATATTGAAAGGATAAAGAATTATTAATATTGAGGATAACAGCTAAGGCAACCAGCTATTTGTGCAACTAAGCCGCTGAGTTTCACTATAGCAATCAGCTGCTTGGTGCTGTTTCTCAGGCCTATTCGCTTCTGGGCCTTTAATCTGCAAATGGAAGTTGGGGGATGCTGTTTTCTCAGATTCCTCTGCAGCCGCTCAAAGATCTTAAAATTTCTGGAGGACCTTCCAGAACAGCCTGGAAGGTGGCTACTGGGTGAGGAAGAACCACCCCTTCATAGGGGCCTGCAACTAGGAAACTGTTTCTGCTTCACATAATGCTCACAACCTGGGAACTAAACAGTATGGATCTATTTCTGATTTAGGGCTCCAATTTGGAGTGCAAAAATAAAATGCATATTCTTCTTGACCAATTTGGACTAAAAACTTAAACAGCTCCATTTTTTTATGACTGCAAGAGAAACAAGGAAGCTTTAATTGTGCAAAATAATTATTTAAATCCATGCAAGACAATCTATATTTCAAGATTACATGAAAATAATCATAACTGATGCTAGGATTGTTGAAAGAGGGAAAAACAGAAACATTACAACCACTGAGAACATCAGACTCTTCCCATAAAGGCTCTGAATTGCACAAAAAACTCTCACCAAATTTTAACGGATACATTAAAAATACATATTGTTGACCAATATTACACAAAGCAATTTTTTTAATCTGCAGTGCATATGAACATCAGAATGTTTTATTTTTGTACAGAGCTCAAGGTCAACATTGAGCATCAGGATTATGGCAGATTACACTGAGATTTTCCTACTGTCATCTGTCAAGCATAGCAACTAATATTAATACAGACCAAACATTAGACAAATAGGTCATAGGAAGATTCCAACATGATTTTCAAATTAAAAGTAATGTTTCTGCTACTTTGCAGCAACACATTTGAGAATACTGAATTTTGATTAAATTTAAACAATTACATCACAAAGAAAGGAGCAGCAATATTTTGTATTTGAAAACAAAATATTGACCTTAATACTTCATACAAAATATTGACCACATGATACTGGCCCATGTTTGCATATGCTCATAGATCCCGCAGTTTAAAACAGGATTATGTAAATGTTTAAAGTGCCCGTTATATTTATGATGTTGAAAATGATGTCTATGGTGAAATCTAAGCAGTAGCAATTTTAAACGTCAAGAAGCAATTTCATTTCAGCTATAAAATACAGTAATAGCAAAAGAAAATCCTAGCAGGCATTGCAAAATAAATAAGAGTTATTTAAATTATTTCAGTACTACAAGATGCTAGAACTCATTTCCCAGTGGTCACAGAAAGTTCTGCAGTTGTACTTCTTTACCCTGTACAAGACTCAGCTCCAGAATTCAAGGGTATAAATCAAGCATCATATTTATTCAAAATTGCCTGTCCTAAAAAGTGCAGAGTGATTTACAGAAAGTGACCTTTTGCAAACCTGGTTCATCAACACTGAATGGACAAATGAGAGCAATCTTAAGAAGGGGTTAGGCATTGGAAGATCTCTACCAGAGGAACCATCCTAACCTTGCCCAGAATATTAAATCAAACTCATATTTGCTCCAAACCAAGTCCCTGAATTGTCTAATAGTACTAGTATTAGGCTACCAGGAGTATCATCCAAAATGTTGGCTAATATACACATGCTTGCCTTGGGACAGCTAGAAAAGGGTTGTATATGTTTGGTGGAGGTCGTCAGAAGAACTCCTCCCTCTTCTCCTGAGTAATAAGCCCTCTCTGCTACAGTATTCTGCTTGCCTTCTCCAGCAAAGAGTAGGCATAGAGGCTTTGTCACAAAACTGCTGGACAGAGAGATCTCTGAAGGCTGAGCAGCCTCACAACTGCTAGGTCCTTCAGCCAGCTGTCTCCAACGAAGCCAGCAAACAGGAACATTCTCCAGTGAAGATCATCAGCTGATATGCTGCAAGATCTTTCCACAGCAAAGCAGGAGCAACCACTAAGATCTTTAGTGTGCTAGCTCCATGGGACTCCTACTTCATTTCACTATTCACTGTTGTCAGTTTTCTAAACCATATAGTTAAACTTCAGCCGAACACAAGCCAACATTTATGTTCTTTTACTTGCAACCATGAGCTAAAGAAATGTGTTTTAAAATTGGGGGTGGGAAACTTTTAGCCCTCCAGATGTGACTGAACTATAACTCCCATCAGCCCCAGCAAGCAAGGCCAGGGACCAAGAATGATGGGAATTGTAGTTTAGCAGCATGGGGGGGGGATTAGCCCATACAGTGGTACCTCAGTTGTCGAATGATTCGGAAGCCGAATGTTTCGGTTTTTGAACACTGAAAATCCGGAAGTAAATGCTTCCGTTTTTGAATGTGCCTCAGAAGTTGAATGGCTTCTGAGGCGCATTTCTCTTTTTTTTTTATTTCTTTTTATTGAATTTCACTTAAATAACCAAATGAAAAACAAAACAACAGTTACAGGGGAAAAAAAGAAAAATATTTTTTCTGAGGCGCATTTCTCAATGGAATTTGCCAACTGCCCATTGCACCTTGGTTTTCAAACTTTTCGGAAGTCGAACGGTCTTCTGGGATGGATTACATTCAACAACTGAGGTACCACTGTATCTGGTTTGGGGGGAGGCATTCCATCTGATGCACAGTAACTAAATTATTCTACTCTAAGGGTGAGATCCAACTCAGTTATAGTCATAGTAGACCTGCTGGAATAAATGGATGCACTCTTAAGATTAATGTTGGATATCAGCCAATAGATGTGGGTCACTGTTAATTTTTTGTACAGCACATCCATTTAAGTGCATGTAGCAAACTGAAAAAGAAGACGGTTCCATTCCCCAAAAGCTAACGATAAAAAATAGACAATAGAGGGGAGAGGAGGGAGAGTCAAGGATAGCAAGAGATTATGGTGAGCATTTAACTGTAACTATAACCTAAATGAATAATCCATTAATGAAAATGTTTATTAGACAACAATAGTTAACTAGAATCCAAAAGTATAAACTTTATTCTAATAAAACAGTTATTAAATGCATATATGGTTTTAACATTCAATTTAAGACAGCACTGTCTCATAAATACTTGGTAGTGTTTATCTTCTGTTGCCTTAATGGCTTTTGCATTTTTATGTTGCAAGCCACCTAGAAATATTTATAAATAAAGCCCACATAATCAGTCTACATCAGTCATATGCTACAACTATAAATGCATAGTTCATGTACATAACATCTCTTTACCACATCCAAACCTGCTATACAGTGGAAAATCTATTATCACAATCTGAATCAAATGATAGTCTCACAAGACTGTAAAGGGCTCATTAACACTGTACATATTGTCTTAAAACTTTCATCTAATGTACATGCTGTGGTAGGGAGGAGTTAAGTACTCATACTGTGTCACTTTAAACATTCATATAGTAGGCTGCATTTGGTCAATGAAAATAAATGAAAACCTTTAATTCTCTCCACCACGGCAGTGATATTACTATTATTCTTATTCATTTATTTATTCACTCTATACTATGTCCTTCCTCATGAAGGAGCCCAGCAAGGTGTCAAGACTATTTGCTTCTGGAGATAGTAATCAGTAAACCAGGGAGATTTTTACACAGTTGAGATTCACAGTGGATATAAGGGTCTAAGTCACATGCAATAAACTAGGGTGAAAATCCGGACACAAAAGTATTGAGCTTTTTTTTTTTTTTTTTTTAAAGGAAATTTCTGACATTTCTACCTGGGTACCTGGGCACTGTTTCCGACTGCCATATTTATTCCAGCTATGTTCAGGGAATTCCAGATGTATGGCAGCCCTAAATAACCTGCAACCAATAGCCTGTGTTCCCAATGTCTGCAAAATATTTTGTTTCAAAAATAATTTTAAGCAGAAATGTGTCCAGTGCAATTCAGAACAAGTTTACTCCACATTCTTCTTCGATTTTACACACAAGAGAAAATTTTCCAACTTATAGTAGCACCAGTACTACAAGCCAATCTGTGGCATGTTTCCTAAACAAACAATGTTTTTGTTTACATTGTTTAATAATCTAGGAAATCTTCCATCTTACTATTTGTCATACCTTAACAGGACTCATTGCTCAACAAAAACCAAGACAAAATGCCAAATGGCTTACAACTTCCTGTACAATAAGTGGCCAAAGCCAGAAACAAAAATATATTTCTGTGAAGGAATTATTCCTTCATTTTAACCAACAAAAACACTTGATTCTAATTATGGTTTAGCTAAAATCCAGAATAAACATTTAAAATCCCATTTAAAGATATACAGCTGCTTATTCACCAGATGAAGCAACGTGGAGAGGTCTTATATATAGTTCATCTTATGTGCAGGTTCAATTCCAAGGTTCCCACGTATGCATGTAAATCACATATAGTCAAACCTCTTTAGCTGCCCTGTGGGTAGTGGGTGAAGGGAAAGAGAGTACTCTTAGCACCAATGCACCAAGTGGGCCTTTCCCAGCAAGAAAGGCAAAGAGCTTAAAAGCTTCTTTCGCACTGCTTGGTCTGCTTGGGCAACCTGGTTCAAAAAGAACTTTAAAATCCTCTGCCTTCCTTGAGACTTGGCTTGCACAATTTCAACCAGCCCACCTTTGACTGCGTATTGACACAAATCAAATGCATGTGAAATGATGGGTTACTGTATGCTAAAGTAAAGCAGTTTCATGGTACAGTATTTGTGGGCTTGGTCAGGAGGTTTGTAATAGGACAAGGTTAACTCAGACTCTGGAATGTGATTACAAATAATTGCACGGTAATTAGTTTCTACAGAGAACCTCTGCATTTCCTGTATGTGAGAAAAGTTATTCCTAACAGAAATTCAAAATTATGTCACCTTACTGAAAGTTGTGTTATGTTGCGGCAGCACAGTCCCACGCATATTTAGCAGGATGCAAGTTGCTGCTTTAAAGGGAGCTTATTCCCAGGAAAGCATGTCCAGGATGGCAGCTATACTGTACTTCTTCAGTCAAAATTGCTTGGCAGGAGAGGAGGGAAGTTGCTTTTATAGGAAATGAACTTTAAGGGCATCCATATGGAATATCAACTACTTCAGATTGCTCAACCTCAGAGATGTGCTTGCCAGTAATTATTAACTGCTGGAGTAATAGATTTATTTATTTATTTTGGAATATTTACATACTGCCCATCTCAACTCACGACCCAAAGGCAGTTCACAAAAAATATATATACTGATATGAAAGACATCGCTTGCCCTGTCAGTCCCCACGAACTCACTTTTTGCAAGTGACATCTGGAGTGCCACGTTAAGGTCACCGCCTTCTGACTAGAATGCCTCATGGCAAATGCTTTGTTCCCAAATGAGAAAGTGCTTGAAATCGAAATCGGGTCCAACTCTGATTTCTTTGGGAAAGTAGGAGGGGAAAGAAAGAGCTCGAAAGGAAACAAGGCAGTGGACTCGAGTGACCCAGGGGGAATCCAGTCTCATTCAACCCGCCCGGGACACACTCTTTTGCAGCGTGGGGAGAAAGGCGGCGAAGAAGTGTCCTGCCCGCCCGGTTTGGCCGTGTTGGAAATGCCACTTTCGCCCACAGCCGCGCGCGCTTCCCCCCGCCAGTCCCAGCAGCAAGGCAGCTGCTTCTGTCGCCCAGCGATGGGGCGCCGCGACAGAGAAGAGCTGGGACCGGCGGAGGAGGCCGGCGACGAGGGAAACGCGAAGGGGAGCGCCTCGAAGAAGGGGCTGAGGCGCCCGAGCCGCAACCACCCGCACGGCGAAGGGCAGCAACTTCTTCAGCCGAGCCCAGAAGGAAGAAAGAAAGGGAGGAAGGAGGAGACGAGCCGCAGCTGCCGGCCTTGCTCGCGCCCTTTCCCTACCTGCGTGCGCCCGGCTGCTGAGGAGGAGCAGCTGCTGCTGCTGCTGCTGCTGTGCCCGCTGCCTCCTGCTCCTTGGACGGGCTCCTGGAGAAAAGTCGGGAGAAGCTGCTGTGCCAGGAGGAGCCGCTTCTCCTTCGGCTGCTCCCGCCGGACATCTTCCCGGCACCGGCAGAAAACAAGGAGGGCTGCAGCTGCTGCTGCCCTCTCCTTCCTCCTCCTCCTTTGGCGGCTGCGAGAGGCGGCTGTCCCCCCTCGGTCCCTTCCCGCGCTCGCAGCAGCAGCAGCCCTCTTTCCCAAGTTTCTAGTCCGGTCCTCCAGCGGCAGGACGCGGGGAAAAGGAAGTATGCAGAGCAGCAGCCAGCCACTGATTTCTGCCCCCTGTGGAGGCGGGAAACGCTGCACGGCTCCCTCGGCCGCCCGGCCCACGAGGAGGAGCCATGGCCGCTTCCAGAGCACGCCCCTTCTTCCACGGCCCGCCCTCTCTCTCCCCAGGCAGCCGGAGCGTGGGCTCCTCTCGGCCCGGGGTTGGGCAGGACGTTCCCGGTGCTGCTGCAGCCGCCTCCCTCTCTCGCTTCTGCCAAGAACTTCAGGTCGGTCGAGTTACAGCCTCCCCTCAGCACAGGAAACAATGGTTACCACGAGGCACGTGGGTTTCTCGACGGCAGCGGGAACGGGGAGGCGACTTGCATTCCGCTCGGGGCAAAGTGGGCGACCTCCCAAACAGCTCTGCAGTGCAGCCGCCAAACTGAAATGTTAACCCCCAGACACACAAAAAACACCACCCAACTTTTCCTCACAGAGGGCCAGCCTTGTTGAAGCCTCTTGCCTTGCAGGCAAGCAGGACAAGAAAAGAGGAGGAGCCTTGTGGCACTTTAAAATACTTCATTTTGGCACAGGTTTTTGGTGAACTTGCTCCGTCCTTGAAAACACCTGCCAAAATATGCACCTGGATCCTACGCAGGCTTTATATTTATATTATTGCATTTATATCCCCTTTTTTTGCTCAAGATGCTCATGGAGCTCAACCTACGTGGTTCTCTCCCTTCTGATTTAATCTCAACAACAGTGTGAGGTAATTTAGGCTGTGCAAAATATGGCTTTTTGCCCAGGCTTTTGGGAATGGTCACTAATGTTTAGTAATTGCAGTTTTGCTTTTATTGTGAGTCCATCTTTCCAAAGCCCAACATATGTATAAAAGTACATGTCAATATTCAGCATTTTTTTATTGTTTCCATGCTTTGTTGTCCACCCATTTTGAGTATAGTGCCTGTAAATACTCACAAATAAAGTGATTATTACTAAAGTGACCTGTGGATTTTTTTTTTTTCACAGTATAATCCTGTACACAGCGGTACCTCGGGTTAAGAACTTAATTCGTTCTGGAGGTCCGTTCTTAACCTGACACTGTTCTTAACCTGAGGTACCACTTTAGCTAATGGGGCCTCCTGCTGCTGCCACGCCACCACCACACGATTTCTGTTCTCATCCTGAAGCAAAGTTCTTAACCCGAGGTACTATTTCTGGGTTAGCGGAGTCTGTAACCTGAAGCGTCTGTAACCCAAGGTACCGCTGTACAGTATATCAACTCAGAAGTAAGTCCCATTGAGTTCAATTGAGCTTACTCTCAAGTAAGTAGGTAAAAGACAACACTTAACTATGATTACTATTTTCATCACACTTAAAGAGGGTATATTTTTAACAAGCCAAATACATGGAGTACAACATCAACTGAGTGACTGAAAACAAAGAGCATGAGCCAACTTTCATCAGTGTGTGAAGGTGTTAGCCTTTCTCTTATTAAACTCCTGAGGCGCACAGTTTGGAATTCCTCTCAGAGCTCAAAGCTGTAGTCCTGAAACTGTACATGCTGCAACCTAAAATAGTTTATACTGCCTTTGATTTGACAAATGTATATTTAAATACAAAAGATGCAGGAACATTCAAGGATGACTTCAAGCCCTTGCGGTCCAAGGAGTACCGTAGTTGGTAGACTTCCGAAATAATACTCACTACATTCATTCTCTCAACTTTTAGACCCAGAACATTGTACAATGGTCCTATGTAGCATGGATTAAATTATTGTTCTCCTAACCATGGCCTTTTTTACTCCCTTTCTTGTCCAAAGTACTTATTCTGGAGTAACCCCTATTTATTCATCACCCACAACCACACCAAGCCTTTACTCCTAAAAGACACCATTCCAATACTAATTAGAAATGGATTATTTGGGCCAGCTCAGCTAGACTATTTCTACATCCAAAATCTGGAGGTTTTTTAAAAATATGTATGTATATGAATGAGTGATCATTAGGATAGGTATTAGGAATACGAATTTAGGCTGGGCAAACAGTGGCCAATTTAGGTGGTGTCCCCTCTGTCCTATTGTGTCATCAAAAGACCATGACAGAGGCAGATGTGGCAATATAAATTTGTTGACTATCCATTCATATTTTCCACATACGAGGTTATTTATCATGTGGCAGGTGGCAATGGCCTCTGAACACAGCTGTCAACATTAAGGACCATGGAAATGCATGCAAATCAAGCAGATGGTAATGAAGCCTTAAATTGCCACGTGCAGAGAATATGATGTAACAACATATGGCCCAAGATAGCCAGTATGTCTGTAAAAGCAGAGCTAAATCCAGAGTGTAAGGATGTATCTTATCCTTTAAAGTATCTCAGCTCATTTTGCTACAGTTTTCACTAGAGTCATTCTCTCAAATGACAAGGAACACTGAACTTACTTGACATGCTGTTATTTTCTGCAGCCATTCAGACTAGAATGGTTTGCACACATGGGAGACCTCCTGGCTGATTGCAGTTTCAGTCTGAACAGATGGTGAAATTAAATAATCTTGGTTGTTGTTTTTTTATTAAAAAAAATTCATCTCACATGAGCCCTTTGAAACATTTTATTAAGTTGCTTGTTCAAAGCTAAGAAAAATTTGTTTAAAAATACAGACTACTGAGAAAATAAATTTTAACTTGTCTAATTTTAAATAAAATATAAAGTCAGAGAGAGCTATAATTGAATAGCAAAACTTTTTTATTCTAATTAAAAGTTACAAATATGTATTTATTTAGTAGTAATTCCTGCTATTCATTCAAATTAGTTACTAGTATGCAGAAGCAAGCATCCATGCATATTTCCTTAGTAGGGTCTGCTTTGACAAACATTGGATATCACCCTTCGCTATTCATGTGTTTTCAAATCCAGCTACATGCTGCATGCACTGGAGCCCTAAAGTTACACAGAGAGAAGGGATGTCCCCAGAATTCCCCTTCCTCACCAACTGGGTCAGTGGCAAAAAAAAAAGGGTGCAGGCTCATTTTATCAGGATGCCTTACTGTTAAACACACACTTAGGACTGTGCTGCAGATAATGATAGTGTATAGTCTGTTGTTGCTGTTTTTAAACCCTCAAAGTGGTTTACAATCAAGTGGTATATAAATTTTCTGAAATAAATAATAGTTTATTGCAACCCAATTTTAGCTTCAGCCCATGCTCTGTTACCACCACCAGCAAAACAAAGGATTTTGTATTAGGCCTCCAGCACACTCTGGGACAGAAAACCATGCTTTGGATCAAAAGCACAGAAGAAAACATTTGCTGAGATATGACATAAAAGGTTTTGGATTTTACACAGGAAAAGTTAGTAAATGTGTATACACCTAAAGGACAGATTTGTCACAACCTAGAATTATGTTTCAACAAACAAAATTAAGGCAATACAAGCATTAAGTTCATGGGTGCCTCCAGGCTGGCACTGTTTTATGGGAGAAATTAAAGCACATATCACAAGTTAGGATTTTATAATTAGAACATTCTGTCTCCCTAGTACTGTACAACATATCTATTTTTTAATTTATTTATTTTTTGCTTTTTGCAGTTAGGAAAGTGATATGGAAACACAGTCTGTAGTAGCTCTCAGAAGATAAACTTACTTCCTCTTAAAGACAGGTAGGCTGTGGCAGGCTGAGCTTTACAATGCTTCAAAATTGCCCACATGTTTAGTTGACGCAGACTTCTTTGTCCTTTGGAAAGCAAGGGTCATAACTGAACTTTTTACAGCAACACATTTCAAAACATAAACAGCTAACTCCAATTTATTTTTTTGGTCTAAACATAATTGTTCACTCAGCTTATGTATAAGGTTAAACTTCCATGCCAACATACTTCTGTGTTAATTACCTTTGGTGTTCAAATATGGACCATCTTGCCTGTGAGTCCTGGAAGACCTGCTCCCTCCCTTGCAGACCTTTTCCACCTGGCCTGGTAGGGTGGAGCCCTGACTGATTGCAAGCTACAAAAGCTGAGGCTGATTGCTGAACAGACTCTTGGGCTGGAATGCTGTTTGGGTTTGTTTGTTGCGGTTGTTGCTGGGTTTTTTTGTATCTTTGTTTTAGATTTTGTTGTGATTTAGGTGGAAATTGTTTAGTTTGGCTTTGTATTTTTAAATTTTTTATTTATTGTTTATGACTACTTTTGTTATATTGGAGTTATGTATTTTTTTCATGTTTTAAGCCACACTGAGTACGGTCAAACTGTAGAAAGGTCGCATGCAAATTAAATTATGTATGTATTTATGCATGTTTATTTGTTGTGATGCATATTTACAAGGACTCTGAACAGTGCCTTCTGTAGCAACATTCTGCTATGCGTTGCCCACTTTCCCCACAATTTCTGTGTATCCCCCAAAGGTCAGAACTCTGTTCCACATATAAGAAGAGAGTTTGAGAAGCATATACTAAGTTGTAACTGTTACCAAATGCCTTATTGGCTAGAGAAGGCAGGCAGGAACAGCTTTTATTATGAACAACTTTCCTATGCAGTAAGGAAAATACGTTATTTTTTAAAATTGCATTAATATTATTATCCATAAAGAAAAGAGTACTTAACACCACAAATTTATCCTTAGACCCAATGACATGAGATAAGCTTGCGATGCAGGGCAACTAGTTGCCACACTACACTTGCCCAGCTTTCAGAAGTTGGGTTGCATTGGTAGAAAGTGTTTATATCTTACTACTGTGCAGCTGTGCCAATGCAGTTACAAGGCTAAAGGTGGGCAATGAAGACCACAGCAATAAGAGTGATTTGGTTAGTTTAATTCAACATACTATGCATTAAGCACTAGTGAAATGTTAGCGTACGGCAGGGTTGAGCAGACTTCAAGCTTGTCAGATCTAATTTGGTGTTTTAGAAGAACATCAAGATCTGTAACAAGACCCAGGTGCAGAAGACATACTATTAGAATTAAAAAACGGCCTCTGAGCCTAGGGATATGTTTTCATTATCAGAACTGAACCAAGTTCAGTACAGTCACACAAATTTCACTCCTGGTTACCTCAAGTTTTCTTCATTTCAGCAGCCTAATTTCATTTCAGCAGTGTAATTTAAGGAGAGCAAGGAACTTTATAGTTCTTTTCATTGTAAAGGGGCCAGAAACCCTTGTTAATCTACTGAAAAATACTGCATAAAGATCTACCATTAGATCCCCATCTACCATTATACCTCTATCTACTGCATCTTCTGTTCACCCCAAAATAGAAAACACAATACTTAATGATATACATAGTTCAGTGACCAGGTAAAATGAAGGACATAATTGTGACAAGTCCAGTAGCTAATCAAGCATCATACCAGTATATATAAGCTACAGGAAGGGAACACAATTTATATATCAACATATATTTGGTTATCTGCATTACTATTTTGGGTGTGGATTCAGAAACCAGATTCCCCACTGGCTGGATCTGGGATGGGTTGAGGAATCCAGGCAAAACTATCTCACTTGAAGAGATCAGACATAATCAAAAGTAACCACAGGTTTGACGTACCTTTAAAATGTGTGAAGTTCAATAAGTTCACAAAATCATGTGTACATTAGACTGTTTTGAAGAGAGGACTGGAACTAGAACCTTCTCCTTTCATAGTAGGAAGCTCATCCAGAACCAACTGTACAGTGCTAAATAGATGGCTTTGGTCTAGCCTAGTTTAATGTAAAAGTCAAGATGTACAGATTATGTATTGTATTAATGAATGAAATATTAGCATTAAAGGAACCAAGCAAAAAAATGAACAATACACTGCAAAGTTTTATAAAACAAAAAAATGATTTAATATGTGTAACAGACTATTTTAGTTCTTGGCTGATATTCAACGTATTATCTTAAAAGCACAGTAGGTATTTAGTAACATATTTTATTTATGAAAATATTGTTTCACTTCTTATAGAACACAATATAGTCCAGTACATTTCAACAGTACATATTATTCATAAACATCCACAACTGCTTATAAAAATACAGGATTGCATGCAGGCTCGGAGTAAACACATTCAACCAAATTTTTACTGAAATATGGTGTGTAAAATTTAAATAGCTGTTTTCTAAGCAAGAGAAAACTTTTACATTCTAGTAAAGGTCCATCTCACTGCATATTTTTGAATGAAACACTGTGGTGAGCACAATCAGGAAGTCAAATGTGATCTCTTGAGCCCCTAACTCAAAAATCCACCAGCATTTTTAGACTACATACAATGATTTTATTATTCTATCGAACCACATGTATTTTTTCCTTCAGTATGATGAATGTGCATTTGAGCTACTACATCTTGTTACAAAAATATTTATTATTATTTTTATTGGGCTTTTATAAAAGCCAACAGAAGAAAACAGACCTATAAAAAGTCTTCATCTTCAAGAGGTCATCATGTACATCTACAAATTATCTTTATGACATTTTCATAACTCATTGGTTTTTCATGTCTTCATTGCCTGGATCTGATCTAGGTAAAACAAATAAAGTTGATGTTAAAATGCTGTTTTTATTTAATTATATTAGCTACAGAATTCTAGTACAGTGGTATCTCGGGTTAAGAACTTAATTTGTTCTGGAGCTCTGTTCTTAACCTGAAACTGTTCTTAACCTGAAGTACCACTTTAGCTAATGGGGCCTACCGCTGCTGCACGATTTCTGTTCTCATCCTGACGCAAAGCTCTTAACCTGAGGTAATATTTCTGGGTTAGTGGAGTCTATAACCTGAAGCATCTGTAACCTGAAGTGTCTGTAACCCGAGGTACCACTGTAGTATTAAGGCTTCTGAACTATTTTATAGAGCCTTGAAATATAAACTATAACCAGCGCTTCCTTCATAGAAATGTTCTTATGGATCAGCACTACAGTGTGTAAACATGGATCTTCACACAGCCAATATAATAAATGGCACTTCTCTGCCTCTCATCTTTTAGTCTCTGCTGACATCTAGCGGTGTATTTTAAATAAAAAACTGTACTCAACTAAGCCCAAAGCTTAGAGCAAAGCTTCTAAAAAGCATGCAAAGGAGCTTGCCACTCTAACTATGTAAACCAGTAATTCCCTATAAGAATATTCCATTCAAAAACAGTAATCACTGGAATAAAAATAAATGTTGATTATATAAATTAATTTATTTACTAAATAATGTGTTATGGGGCAACCCAGTCAGATGGGCGGCATTTAAATAATAAAATTATTATTATTATAATAAATTAAATGAAGAGAGACAGTATCACTATTAAAGCCCGAACAATGGTAGATATTAAACATTAATTATGATAACTTACACCAAAGGATAGTGGAGGATAATAATGTGCGATGCTTGAATGCTGCATAAAACTTCTCAAGACTCATTCAGTCAACGAGAGCAGACAGCGAGAATGAGACTTGAAAATGCAATTATCTCTAGACCTAGAAATCATCTAGTCATTTTGAAAATTATCTGGTATGCACAGCATAAAAGCTGCCATATTTTACTAAATATGCTTTAACTTTTTGTAATCTACATCACAATGCTACTTGCTTTCTGTTGTAAACATACATTCCACGCTTATAGCAATGTACTCAAGCACTATTTCTTAGTCTTAATTTAGGAGTAACAATACTGCCCATATATTTGCTTAATTTAAATGGTAAGTTTTAAAGGGAGGTATTTTTGCTAAAAATATAACGTGTAACACACAGGGATCCAAATAGCCAAGTTTGTTGAGTATACTCACTGTGTAATCTGATCTGATAGCAAAAACAGATTGAGGGAAAAGCAAAATGAAATGACAGAAAAGATTATAAAATGAATGGAAAAGGGAAGCTGGTGATGCAAAGCATGATGAAATGTACCTTGAAGCCAGTCTACACCTTCTTGCAAACCTTCTCCTTTAAGAGCATCACTAGCACTAAAATGAGAAAAGAGCAAACTTTTTTTAATGGCACAAAAAACTAATGAAAAAAGTGATTACATTTTCTACAGTTAGTTAAGACCAAATCATAGCCACAGAAGTATATTTATTGTTCGTGTATGATGATAGTACATAGCACAGACAAACATGAAAGATGCTGAGATGCTTATATGCTGCCCAAAGCAGCAAACCTCAATTTCCTCTTTCTTTCAACCATATGCAATAAAACAAAATCTAACATGACACCATCACGTTCAGTTTCCCTGCCCTATAAGGAATGCCTAACAAAGTGGAAGCAGTGTTTGCAGTGTCCGGAAGAGAATACAAAAAGTTAAGTGAATTAGCAACATCTTCACAAATCGATGGGAATATATGAGAAAATAAGACTACAAGGGCTGTAGCAGCAGTAGAGAAGTAACTGTAAGCACTCCATTTCTTAAAATATTTCTGTCAATATTGACCCCTCTCTCTTTCCTCTGGCCCGTGATCTCTTCCTCTCTTTGGCTCCCTTGCTTCTGCCTCCTATTTCATCTGCCTCTTCCCTAAAGTCTTTACTACAGAGGTAAGGAACCTTTGGGCCATTGGCCATCTTCGTCCACTAGGAGGTCCAATTTAGCCCACAAGGCCACTTTTCCCAAACCACACCCACCCGATGATCAGCTGATGCCACTGGTGACATTAGCTGATGGACAAGAGGACAAGAGGACAAGAGGGTTTAATCCTGCTTTGGCTGCATGCCCTGTGCCCACCAGTGAATTGGATTGCTCAGCCAAAGCAGCAGGATTTACTGTATTTTTCGTCCCATAGGACGCTCTGTCCCATAGGACACACCTAATTTTTTTGGGGGGGAAATAAAGGAAAAAATTTTTTCCTTGATTTCCCCCCCACAACCAGGTCGGGGAACAGCGGGATGGCGGCTCCCCACGCTGCGGATGTCTGCCCAGCTCGCAGGGCCCTCTGCTTCAGGGCACCCCGCGCGCCGGGCGGCAGGCTGCTATCCGCAGCGTGGGGAGCCCCGCGGGAAATCCCGCAGGCTCCCCAGGCTTGCTGATAGCTTCCTGAAGCCTGGAGAGCGAGAGGGGTCGGTGCGCACCGACCCCTCTCACTATCCAAGCTTCAGCGAAAGCCTGTATTTGCCCCATAGGACGCACACAGATTTCCCCTTCATTTTTGGAGGGGGAAAAGTGCGTCCTATAGGGCGAAAAATATGGTAATCTTCACTCATCAGCTGATGAGTAGGGGAATAAAGCCTTTTGTAAAAGCACTGTTTGAAGTAACTTGTGCTTCTCCTTTAAATAGGCAAGTGGAGAGGTAAGTGGATGGCAGCAGGGGAGCTAGGGGAATTCTCTCCCACACCCCACTGCTGCTGCCACCAACTACCTGTACTTAAAGAGGAAGTATTAGATTCTCCAAACAGAGGTTTTGCAAATAATTTAAGGCAGCCCCCATGCTCACGTTTCAGCCTCCAGAAGCAGAGTGGGGAAAAACCAACTTCTCTGTTTCTCATCCTGCACAAGCCTGACGTAACTTGAAATGTTGCACACTCGCCAACAAGTTAGTGAAAAGATAACTTTCCAAATAATAGCAATCTATGCCTTTGTCATTGCCCACAGTCTTCTGGAGCAGGTGGATTTTTTTTGGGGGGGGGTGCATAAGGGCTGCAGGCGGAGGTGAGGAAGGAGAAATATTATTGCTTCAGCGGGTCTTTTCCACTGATGGGCAAACACAGCTTGATCCCACCGACTGTTGCTCTACATCAAGCAAATGGCAAGCTGTGATTTGCTAACACTGGTAGCTTTCCAGAGGTGTTTAAAGATGCTGAGATTAATAAGATTCTGTCAGTTTCTTGGTTTATCTTAGGAAAACAACCCTGCAAATTCAAACACCAATCTTCTACAAATAGATATTACCATTATACGATATACGATATATCTTTATTGTCATTGTCCCATACAGGACAATGAAATTGCAAAACTACATAAAACTACCACAAAACTACATAAAACTACCACAAAACTATATAAAACTACATAAAAACTACATAAAACATTCAAAAACCCCTAAAAACTCTAAAACCCTATTTTAAAATACACTATACTGTAGAAACCCCTTATGCTGCGTTTAGAACCAGAATTGCATTTGCATAGAAACTGTTTCTCAGGCGGCTAGTCCTGGCCTTTATAGCCCTATACCTTCTTCCAGAAGGCAGAAGCTGAAAGTGATCATTTCCGGGGTGCGTACTATCCTGTGCTATCTCTGCCGCTTTCTTATGGCACCTGGCAGCATAGATTTGATCTAAGGTGGGAAGAGTGCACCCAATTATTCTCTCTGCAGTCTTTACAACCCTGGATAGCATTGTTTTTTCCCTGGCCGTGCAGCTCCCAAACCATACACACAGACCATAAGTTAGTACGCTCTCCACAGTGCAATGGTAAAATGCCATCAACAGGTCCTTTCAGAGATTGTTTTTCCGGAGGATTCTCAAAAAATATAACCTCTGCTGTGCTCTCTTCACCAGGTCTTTGCTGTTCTCTCCCCAGGTTAGGTCGTCTCTCAACTCCATTCCCAGAAATCGAAACACCGAGACCTGTTCCACGCACTTCCCCTCAATAATAAGTGGCTGAATATTCAATTTACATTTCCTAAAGTCCACAATGATCTCTTTTGTTTTCTTTAAGTTAAGGAGTAAGTTGTTTTTCCTGCACCACTCCCCCAACTGCTCAACTTCCTTCCTATAGGCCGCCTCCCCCTCTCCAGCTGTGATTAAACCAACCACCGTTGTATCATCTGCGAACTTAATGATCTTATTACTGGGGTATTTGGGAGTGTATATAAAAGCGGGCTCAACACGCACCCCTGCGGCGTCCCCGTATTCATGATGAGATCCGCAGAGATGTGGGAACCCAACCTGACCCTTTGGGAACGGTTTGATAGAAAATCTAATATCCACCTGAACAAACATAGTGGAAGTCCCAGGTCTAATAATTTGGGCACCAATCTATGCGGAAGAATAGTATTAAATGCAGAACTAAAGTCTACAAATAACAGTCTCGCATAGTTCCCTTGCTTCTCCAAATGAGTCAGGACAGCATGTAAAGCCATTGCCACAGCATTATACAACTGTGTAACATGACACTGATTACAGCTTGCTTTTGGAATCAGTATTTGTATACTGGTTATCACAGAGTTTTCTTCACTCAATATAAGCATTAGTAACTTAAAACTAATTTTAGTACAAAATGAAAGTAAGCTAATTTTACCAGATATGCCATGGCTTGTCTTTGATGTTCTCCAAAGCCAATAACTGAGATACTTTTACTGATGACACAGCAAACCTGAGGTCCATCTTGTTTGCAAAGAACAAAATTGGTATTCGTCGGTGTTTAAGATCTAGGAGTAACATAATGTTTTGTTAATCCATTTATATTTTATATAAACACATTTTTACAAGACGACAATATGCTTACACTGCTCACCTGTTAATGCCATCTTTTGAAGGTTTTATCCTACTAAGATAGAGACACTGGGCCATGGCATCTCTGGTGCATGTTTCTGTACAGTTCCGAAAGTACCCATCCCCAAAGATGTATGTCTAAGGCTGCCAAGTTTATAATTAAGCTAAGTCCCTATGCACTGCCATATCCTTACTGTTTTTAAGTAAGTGTTTCATTAAGAAGCTCTTCTTTCAAACTTAACCACAGAAGCTGTAGATATGATACAGGGTTTCAAAATCTCCTATGAGATTGTGGCACATGCAGCAAGAATGTAACAAGATATATGAACTGACCAAAATAAACTTGTTGTGGATTATATCTAGCAAGTACTAAAAGCAGGGAATGATTTTTAAAAACAAAGAGATGCTAAGCCTGCCTGGGAGCCATGTCATCTGCCCTGCTAGTCAGTTTTACTGAGCTCTCAGCATGTGTGTAGCTGCAACTGCTCATTAGAGAGGAAAAGGCACATAAGAAGAGACTTAGTGTAGTAATAGTAGTATTACTTCACACAGGCGAGGATTTGATTCTTGTTCTGAAAAAAGATTCTGGGGCTGAGATCTGATCATGGTTAAAGTTGCACTTGAAGACAAATTAGTGAAGATATTCCAATCAATAATACAGAATCAGGAAAATTATTTGACAAGAAAAAAACCTAAAATCTAGTTTATAGCTTTGCAGTCGATATACAGTACAGGGTACGATATATCATAAATATTCTATACAATCAGTAACAATTTATTTAACTCTACTAACATCAGAGAAGTTACTTCCATAGATGTAAAATAACTATATTATGGAATAGAAATACAACCATATATATGGCAGTATTCTGTTACTTACAGCTGTTGCTGAAGGCATCTATTTTTAATATAAAAGCCAAATCCTATCTCCAGTGTAGTTTTTAATCTAAGCTTTGAAAATAAAGATCTGTCGCTACTTCTGAATTATACGGTTGTTAGATTATTCCCCCGCCCAATTTCAATGTTCAGTTACATCAAAGTGAATTATTTCAGCAACTACAATGGACCCCATCCCATGTAACATAACAATTTATGATTTGTGAAAAACATTTATGGGAGGCTCAATAACACACTGCTGATATCTACACGTTATGCAGCCCAACAGTAGTTTTCCCTCTACAAATATTTTTCAAATTAATATACAAAGGGAACATTACATTCATTATATTTCTATACATGAATCAATTTCTCCTCTAAAAAACAAAGCTACTGTTTTCTCTCACAGTAAGTATAGCATAAGCTATACTTCGCCTCCTCACGAAGTTTGCATGACTTCTCAGGAGGAAAAACTTTGCATGTGTAGATTTCTACGTGCAAAGGTTTTCCATGAATTTTTGGAACCATGCATGACTGGGATTCCAGAATGGATGGATGGATGGATGTAGTCTTTCCCTTACATAATAATAATAATAATAATAATAATAATTTATTTGTACCCCGCCCATCTGGCTGGATTTCTCCAGCCACTCTGGGCGGCTTCCAACAAAGGTGGTGTCCAAACAGACATAAGGGGATTAGCTGAGGAGTCACGCAAGCTCAGGATGGTGCCAGAGATGCATATTTGCAGTCCCTTCTTATGTGTGAAGAGAGCTGCAGGGATGTGTCTCAGGCCCAACCTGAAGGTATTTGCCTTGTTGGTGCAAATTGTCGGAAACCAATGTAGTAAAATCTTTTACCTAATTGCCCACAAGCTGTTACAGCACATTAAGTTTAGGGGACAAATTCAGAGCTTAACATTTATGCAAGTTCAATTAATCTCTTATTTCTGAAAATTGTTCTGGCATTCTTATATTAAATTAATTTTATCTTGAATTATACTTGTGATACTCCTATTAACAGAAAATATACTGAAATCTTTATTCTAGTTATCTACTGGGCAGAAAAACAAGGAGGTTTTATATGCAAATACAAAGTTACCAAGAAAATAGTTTTTCATGTCAAAGACATATAGTAGAAATAGAACTGAGTGAATGATAAAGGATCTTCTCACCTGGATGATTCATGAGAGTGTCAAGTTCTTCTTTGGCCACAACCATTCTTAGTGTGTCATTGCTATCAATGACAAAAATAATGGCCTGGCAATCTCTGTGTGTCATAGAAAGCAAATAAGCAAATTAGATGCTTCCTAAAATGTTGAGTAACAAAATGAATTAACAGAATCCTACTTCAATGTGTTGTGTGTTACTGTACTAACTGGTAGCAGCATATTCCTTCTAGATTCTTAGAAAAAACATTATGTTCCATATGGTGGAACTCAAGCTATTTTCAAAACAGAGATGAATCTTTGCTTAGATTTATAAACATAGTACTTCTAAAGCAAGGCGGACCAACTTTTCATATCAAGTGAGCTGCAAGAGTACTTCAACATGGAACCTAGTGCCCTGCAGATGTTTTGAACTCCAATTCCCATTATGGTTGTGCTGGCTGGAGCTGGTAGGAATTGTAGTAAAAAAATCTGGAAGGTATGAGGCTGCTGTAAACACTAGTTAACTTAAAATTAATTATGCATAAGTATTCATTTTTTTTATTTTGCAAGCCTATGAATATTATCTTAAGTCACAACAGAAGTATCATTATCATATTTTGCAATTACTCCCAGTCACCTTCATAAATTTCATACAGAAATGATGAGAGACTTGTAGTTTCTACGTATGTACAAATACTGCAAATTTCAGTCTCACAATAAAAAAGAACTTACTTGTAGTAGTGTTCCCAAAGATTTCTGTATCTACCTTGACCCGACATATCAAACACAGTGAATGACAAACTATAAACAAAAAATACATAAAATTAAAACTGAAATGCTTTTATGGCTATGTACAATTATTACCCAGTCTACTGAACATAGTAGCGCTCACTTCTGACTCGTTATTGAACCGCTTATTGATATGCTTTTGGTAACAGAAAACTTCATATTAACTTGTATGCCAACATATCATATTCAATTAAATATCAAAACTGGATACGTAAAAAACAAAAAAGTAACTATTGATTCTTAAGCCAACGGTTGAATTAAAAATAGCACTAAGGAGATCACTCTCTCTACCCCCTACACTCTATTCTTGGGGTTCTCCCAACCTCCCAGAGCTGATTGGTGGGGTATAGCTTCATTGCACTAGGAAGGCTAATCATGCTGGCTCCCACTAGTGCAACTGTTTATTTTCTGACTAAGTAAATTGTTTGAGTGAACTCAGTGAGACTTACCACTAAGTAAACATGCTGATACCAGGACTAATTAGGCATGGGGCCCAGAGGTATCCCACACTTACTATAATGCAAGGCACTCTTGAAGTTGAGGCAACTTTCAGAAGCAATTTTATTATGGGATGGGGCACGTTGTTCAAACAGAAAAGTCAACAATTCTGCTGGGCAAGCTTCAACCTGGGAGCTGCTTGGCTCCTGGACAATGTTTTCTTTTAAATCTAGTTAAAGAGACTCTCCAACACTTAAAATCATTAATATGAAAGGCATAAAATTTCAACAGTACCACTTAAATACGAGACCTTTTCTACAAGAAATCTGTCTTAGCAATTTGTGATCCCTTCCCCACAGGCTTGTCACAATAACTACATATAGAATTACATCTCCATGCCAAATCAAATGTTAATAGTTAATGCAGCCTATTAGAAAGACAATTCTCTTGTCTAATACATAATTATATAGAATATAAACATAATGAAATAAAAGGGTCTTACCTAGATGTCTTAAATTTTTCTACACTGAATCCTATCGTGGGAACAATATCTTGAGTTTGAGCCTTTAAAAGAAAACAAAATCGTCTTTAAAAATTCATGTTCAATTTTAATACTAAAAATCAGTAATATATTCTCTCGATCCAAATAAATAATAGTTTAAAATGTCACGTGGCATCATATATTTCCCCCTTGTGGCTCACTATGGCTCATTCTCATCATGCTAAACTAATGCTGGCTAAGTATGTGAAGAGCTCAGAATATACTAAAATGCTATATACATGCTAAGTAGCAGTACTGTGGATATTTAGCTTATTTAAATCAGTTATTTAATGCAGTATGATGTTTGTGTTGGCAGCAGAGAACAGTAGTACCAATACCTAAACAGGCAACCTATGGATACTGCAGGAATACACAAGCTTTTAAGAAACATTGGCTGGTGTAAAAGGTAAATGATCCCTGGACGGTTAAGTCCAGTCAAAGGCGACTATGGGGTATGGCGCTCATCTCACTTCAGGCCGAGGAAGTCAGTGTTTGTCTACATACAGCTGTCCAGGTCATGTGGCCAGAATGACTAAACTGCCATTTACCTTCCTGCTGCCGTGGTAACCTATTTATCTACTTGAACTGATATGATTTCAAATTGCTAGGTTGGCAGAAGCTGGGATAAAGCAATGGGAGCTCACCCTGTTGTGCGGAATCAAACAGCTGCCCTTCTGATCTGCAAGCCCAAGAGGCTCAGTGGTTTAGACTACAGTGCCACCTGCTCTCTTATTGGATGGTGTAGCAGTAAGACAGCAGGTACATTTTGTTGGATCAAAACTTAGTGATACATAAGAGAAGACTCATTAAAATAAACCACGACCAGGGTTTTCTTGGTCCTCTCCTCTCTCCATAAAACATGGCTCTTAATTCAGCAACATATTGCAATTCCCAAATTGTACAGTTTTGTGGAGTGGCACAGGGATGGCAACTGCTTTGCGAAGGGGACCTGAAAATGCTGCAATGCATGCAGAGCTCAGCCCATGACCTTTGTACAGTTTGCACATAAAGGTAAAGGGACCCCTGACCATTAGGTCCAGTCGTGACCGACTCTGGGGTTGCGGCGCTCATCTCGCTTTACTGGCAGAGGGAGCCGGTGTACAGCTTCCGGGTCATGTGGCCAGGATGACTAAGCCGCTTCTGGCGAACCAGAGCAACGCACGGAAACGCCATTTACCTTCCCGCTGCAGCGGTACCTATTTATCTACTTGCACTTTGACATGCTTTCAAACTGCTAGGTTAGCAGGAGCAGGGACCAAGCAACGGGAGCTCACCCCATCGCGGGGATTCAAACCGCCGACCTTCTAATCGGCAAGTCCTAGGCTCTGTGGTTTTAAACCATGGCTAAGTGTGAACGAGCAAGCATGCAGGTTACTCAGAGAGAAAATCATAGCCACTTTGCTCCCTCTCTGCTATCTGGAGCTGAGCCATGGTTTGATTTAATGTTACATCCAAACCCAGTCTCTTGGTTTGTTTCCCCCAAATAAATCATGAGTGGTAAACTAAGAGCAAAACTTGGCTACAGTTTGCAATTTGTTTGGAATGAGACAAGCCACAAGTGAAGTTTTGAACATAATACTAAGCCAAAAGAGAGTTTAGCTGCAGGAAGCATGGCAGAGCAAAACCAGGGAGGAGCAAAGAGGCCACAACTTTTGCTCCAGAGAGATGCATGCTTGCTTGTTCATACTTAGTCATGGTTTGGCTTAGCATTTAGGTGCTAGCACGTCTAGTGACTAAGTACTTAATGATTTCAATCTAATATGGCTTAACAAAATAAGTGTGACCTTTCTGTACTAGTTGAAAGTAACAAACCAGTATGCTAATGTTTTGGTTATAGTTGTTTAACACAATAAGCTTTTGCTGAAATCATGACAAAGCATAATTGAAAAGACCTTAATGATATATTCATTCTTGCCCTGTATTTAGAGCCAAGGTATCACAGATACTATTTAAGGAAAAGCTATTTAAAGAAAGGTGTAATAGCATTTAAGAAACATATACATATCTGCATGTGTGCAAAAGGGTGTGTATGTATAAACAGTATTCATTTCCTAAGCACTAGTTGATTCAACTTGAATTTGTTTACAGGCCTATGTGAAAACCCAAACATGGGCAGCATAAATCATGTATTTCCAACTATACAATGGGTGTCTCATATTAGATTTTAATAAATTCACTTTTAATCTCTGCTATTTCTGAAATATACCCCCTGAGAAAAGGCCTGGGATAGTAATGTTTAATATTTTTATTTAATTCATTTTTCTGAGGTCTGCTCTGCTTTTCTATATTAAAACCAATAAGGAAGCTTGCTTTCTTCTTCATTAGATGGATAAAATTACAATTCTGAACACACTTCCTGGAGAGTAAAACCCCTTTGAATAGTGGAATTTCTTCTGAATAAACATCGATAGGGTCCTGAAAATCACACAATAGGAATACCTAAGAAAATTCTCATTTGTACAAGCAGTTTAGAATTATACATCGTATCAAAAATTAAAAATAATGTGATCTACTTCCAAAATAGAAAACAGTATATAAAGATGAATGCCATCTTAAACATTAGTATTTCAATATGGTACAAATGAAATCTTTCTATACATGTATCCAAATATGAGCATTATCTTTACTACAAGATCTGGCAAACGAGCTGGTAACATACTAAAAAGGACTACTTACATTAGATGGTTTTAGCTTGTTAATAATTGTTGTCTTTCCACTATTGTCCAACCCAAGGCACAGAACATGAACTTCTTTCTTCTTCAGACCAAGCCAGCCTGCTAGCTTGTCAAATAATCCCATAATTTTGATATAATGGCACAGTCAACACCTGTGTTTGCAAATAATATGTCTACTTAAAACAGCTGAAATTATTGTAGATGGACATGAAGGCAAAAGTCTTCAGATGCTTAATACATATGTAGATACAAACTCCCAAGAGAAAATGTTTTCAATCTGTGTCAGCAGGTTGGTTAATTTAAGCAAGTAGAAGATAAGCTGATTATTTGGCAAGAGTCTCTTGCCAAAGCAGCCTCGCTGCTTATCACTCTGTCTAAAGCATCACTCTTTAGTTCAATGGATACCTGCATTATCACAGATAGATTATTTTGTGCAACCAGGTTAGTGAATTCATTTACAATGATATCTAATGCAATCGACATTGCAAATTCTCTCTGTTTTACATTTTAAATCCTCCCCCCTTTCACATTTTGAAGGATAACGGAGTTTTAGTTCTTGTATTTTTTTTTTGGAAAGTGAAATTCGGGCTGGTTTGCCTTTCTTTATATGCGAACTGAATTTCTCCCCCATTCCTAGTATTTAAAAGAAAGAAAAAAGCAAGGCCTACTGAATTCATTGGGATTTAACCCATTTGTAAGAAGGGATGGGGGCTGCTCCCTTTGCATGCAATACTGCACAAACTTGGTGAACATCCAGTCAACTTGGTGGTAGCTTCTTCCAAGGAGACGTGAACAGGACTGGCTTGTAAATAGGAGGGTGACGAGCTCCTGCCCACAAGCCATTTCACATGCAAGAGGATATACACACATGTGTGTGTTTGTGTGTGTGTGTCCCCTCCATCCCTCAGAAGCTACTCAGGTGAGGGAAGCAGAAGCACCAAGGAGGCAGAGGTGAGGCAGGGCACCTACAAAGGCGGCTTTCCCTGTGGAGTTCCTCCATCCTGGCTTGCTAAGATACTTCCTGACTCAGCCCAGGTGACAGAATCATAGAATATGTACGGTGGGAAGAGGTTGTTGTAGCCAGTGTTCACTTTTTGTAGAGGTCTGGCCCACACACACACACACACACACATTGGAAAAACAAGTGAGGTCCCAACTAAAGAAGAATGGCAACTTAACCTGATGGAATATGCACAGCTTGCAGATTTAACATATAGAATAAGAGAACAAGAAGAACATATGTTTAGAGAAGATTGGAAAATGTTTATTGAATATATGGGGGGGATTGTGTACACTTGAAAACGTTGGCAGCATTAAGATAAATTCAACAGTGTAAATAAGTTTTGATGGATGTCATAATGGAATACTGAATGGTTTAGTTTATGTAAAATATGAAGGGTTTTATGATATGTAAAATGAACCATGGAAAGAGATGAAGGGAAGTCACTGATATTTTAAGGATGTTTAAACGAGTATTCTAAATTGTAAAACAGAAAATTTAATAATAATTATATATATAAAACACACACACAACCCACCCCCCCACAATCCTCCTCGCCAATGAAGCTCATGAGGTGAACTTTACCCAGCACTCGCCGACCTCGCAGGGTTGTTGTAAGGATGAAAGGGAAGAAGGGGAACGAAACTGCCCCTAGTTTGTCGGAAGAAATGCTAGGATAAAAGCCATTAATAATACTAGAGTTCCTAACTGCTCGACGCCTGACAAGAGAACGGCGCACCCACCAACCCCCCGCCCCCGGTTCAGGCTGACCCCTGAGGGACAAGCCGTCGAAGCCTCCGCCCGCGCATGCTCCCCTCGTCCCCCATTTGCCCTCTGAGGGAGAAACAAAACGCCCAACCGCCGCCGGCGCTACTCACGAAGGGAAACGCAGCCTCCGCCGCCGGCCAGGCCTTGGAAGAGCGAGCCCCTCCCGCGCGCACTCTCTTCCGACGCCTGCGTCGTTGCCTAGGAGACCGAATCGACGCACGAGCCGCGCCCTCCACGGCGAGGCTCCACAATGCTCATTATTCTGATACTCTCAGCAGCCTTCCGTGACGTCAGTGGATTCTATTGGCTGGATGGGCGGGGGGGGAGGGAAATCGCCCATATAGACTCACACAATCTGCCCAATGTTCAGTTTCTGGAATCGTCTGTTTCCCCCTTTCTGCCTGGAGGGAAGTGTGAGTTACCTATCGAGAGCAATGCTGAGGAAGTGCTGTAACTGAGCAGCAGCAAATACAGGTCTGGCTCATGTTTTGTCTAATTTTGATCATAGTTCGTGTGATGTCTTGGCTGCCACTTTATATTGAGTAGGGAAGAAGAGATGTTCCTGCCAAAGCACAGCTATGTTGAATTTCTGAATTTAAGCGGCCTTATTTCAGCCGCAGGAAGACAAAAAACCATTTTTACAGATATTTCAGGGGTTCTGTCTTCAAAAATTGGTGAGATACTCTATACTTTCTTATCTCTATGAGCATCGCAGCCCCTAGGTCTATGACAACAAAGAGGTACAGCATTTTTTTTAAAAAACCATACTGCCGCATGACACTTCCGGTTCTTATCAGAATGCTCCATGTGCGGGGCTGGAGTGTTGGAAGGAACCAATGCAACATTTTAAATAAAACAGGCAGGATCCTCTTCGTTGATGTGATAAAATCTTACTGACACAACTTCCAGAAAGACAGCTGTATTATAACCTGCTTCTTATTATGGCATAAACTGTCATGGCCTACTTAGGACAATGCATCTGATGAAATGGGCTCTGGTCTAACAAAGCTTATGTTCTGATTTATTTGTGTATTATATTTAGACTCCACTTCCTCTACACAAAATTCAAAGGGCCATACATAGTTTCCAAGCCTCATAAGAAGCCCGTCAGACAGGCTAGGCCAAAAGGGTTTGACTGGCCCAAGATCATTCACTGGATCTGCCAGAGGACATTATTTCATCCAGGCAAAAGCACTCAAGGTGGACCATAGAGCAGGACAAGTGAGAGGTGTTGCCTGGGAAGAGACCTCCTGAGGAAAAGATAGGGGGGCATGGAGGGCCATATTCAGTTTTCAGACCTGAGGTTCTCCACAAGAACTAAGGGACTTTTGCCCTCCATGTAAAAAAACAACTAAGCAGCATGGTGTGTTGACTCACCAGACTCAGTTTTTACATTCATATAGGTAGTATAAAAGAGTACTGTTGTAAAAGTTTTAGTGGAAGTGCAAAGCCTAATATGGACAAATTTGCTCAGGTTATAGGTAACCTATAAAGCACTGCAAATATATTAGGGAATGTAAATACATTAGGAAATACCAGGCAGACTATCAGAATTATCTTCATGTACAAGTCTGAATTAAAGTGTAGGGAGCTTCCTTTTTCATCCAAAATTCCAGATTAGGCCTACATTCTTAAAAAATATAATCTCCTGAGCTCAGAAATATAATGCAAACAGAGCCCATTAGGGTTCTGTCTCTGAAACTAGTTTCTCTTCAACTGTTTTCTTGACAGATGCTGTGACAGCACAATTATAAATAGCCAATACATGAATTACTGAGGTACATCTGGAACCAGCAGTGTGGTCTTAAACAGATTGACTTAGAAGGAAGCCCTTCTAAGTTAACTGTAATGTATTCCTAATAAGAATGCTTAGGACTGCAGCCTCCGTCTCTACTAAATCATTTTGGGACTCTCTCTTTTTTTCCTTTTTAGTGGGTAATGATATACAAATTTAATAAACCAAACTACTACATTTATAGTCTCGTCCCTTTTTGTAAAACAGGGGTTCCAGAACTGTGGTTCGTCAACCATCAGTGGTCTGTAAGCTTCATTCAAGTGGTCCACAGCATGTCTGTGGATTTAATGCACATCCATGGCATCAAATGTTCATATTGATTTTTAATTGTATTTTTATAGCTTATTTTATTTCTTATGTTCTTACTGCATTACAATTTGAATGATATGGAATTACAATTGCCGCAACAGGCAGGAAAATCATTAAGTAATCTGCTAAGACCCTCAGCAATTTTCAAGTAGTCCATGGTGGGGAGGGGGAAGTTTGGGTACCACTGTCTTAAAACAAGCTAGAGAAAAATGGAGGTCATCACCTCTATTTCACATGATAAAAGTTGAAGAAAAAATCTGACCTACTGCATGCTAGAGCCTGCTTGTTCCCCTGCAAGAGCAATACCAGCCAGAGCTAATGACCTCACTGTTCATATCCTCTCACCTGCTTTGATGCAAGACAGACAGGCTCATAAACCACAGGGGAGAAAGGCCTCTAGCTGTGCTTTTTAAGAGAAACATTTATCCAGCTATCACATAAAGAGACACATGAGACACTGTTATCTGGGAACTTGGTTTGGCACCTGGTCCTAAAATGCTGCTGCTTGAGGTATTTTGGTTCCTATTGGCTCTAATGCAGGCGAGATTTGATACAATACGTAGCTGGTTTCTTTATGGCCCTTTATGGACTTTTATTAGCATGTACATATCATATTCTGCAAGATTTAGGTGAAATGGGGAAAAAATTCAACTCAGAAATAACCACCAGTACTGTACTTTTATTTGCTAATAAATATCTTAATAAATAGTCTTACTCCATCTGTAAGACCTGATAATGCCTCTTAGGAAATCATAGAAAAATAAAATACAATAATCATCAGTAACTTGTACGTTGTACAAATATCTTATTATGTTGCTCAGCATGTAGCTTTGCCAAACCCCATATTCTTTCTGCAAATAGATGGCATATGAATGCAATTCACCTTAAAACACCCTAGTTATGAGAGCTGAGCATTTTATTATACTACTAACTTATAGGCATGCCAGCACATGAAAATTTACATGGAACATCATATTATCATAGTAGTAGATCTCAAATGAGGAAAATAATAACACCTCTCAAGTAAATGTGGATTACTTCATCTTTAATTTCAAACAGGAAAATGGCTTCATTTCCCCCTGGGACTGCAGATCAGTATGTTAGGCTTTCCTTTGGACAGTTATTCCTGCATTACAATTTAAGAAAAGAAAGGAAAGTGCAAATTAAATATAAGTGGAAGTATAGTAAAAGGAAATAACTGTAAACAATGGTGCAGACCCAAGGGGAAAACAAGTCAGATTTCTAAAATTGACACGTAGCCCTTCTCTTCAAACCTGGTGACTTTAGCTTGCAATTGTCAGTAAGACACAAACATATACATATTCATCATCTATGATGGGCATAGCTTAATGTCAAAGAGCACAAACTTCCCGTTCAAACTCCTTAGTTGCTCAGATGCATATGAAAAGCAGGAGCAGTCAGTGTGTGTGTGTGTGTGTGTGTGTGTGTGTGTGTGTGTGATGTCCACAGTCAGATCAATTGAAGAAGATGTTTCATATGAAATGATCAGTGAATGTGCATGCAAATTGGCTTTCTTCTTTGAAATGTGAAGCTCTCCCAATTTCGGAGTACTCAGAGCAAATTGCTGGATGAGGGTGAAACGTTGTTGTTGTGAATTGCTGCAGTTATAGTTGACTGTAAAAGTGAAAGAAGCAATAGCAAAAAGCAAGAGTTGTTTAATATACAACATTTTGAAAACAATATGGAAAGATAGGTATGTGCTGATGCCACTTAATGGTTGTAAAAAAATCATCTATTTGTTTGTTTATTAATTGTCATTATATTTAGGTATAATAATACTGCCATTTTGAAGCCATGTACCTCGTGTTTTGAAATTGTTATTTTAATTGCTGTGTAAATAATTTGCGAACATATCATTTAACAAATTTTATGACTGGGCCTGTGAAGCAAATTATTTTAGTATAGCAGTCAAATGAACATAAAGACAAAAAATGAAAAAAATTATTTTAATATTCATATATTTCAGGTTTTGAGGAAGCTCAAGGAAGAAAACAAACTAGAAAACAAACTGCATCGTTAACATTAGAACCATTTCAATCTGTATTTTGGAGAATGACAGCCACATTTCCTAAATGGAGTAAATTTCTTAAAAGTCAGGATCAGGTGAAATATTGGACTTGCAAATAGTTGTTTTTAATAAAAAGTAATTACCATACCGAACATTAATTGTAAAGTCTAAAGGTCTAAGAGTTTGGTTCTATTTTACTGGAATATTAGGGTTATTTATCAGAATGGCCCTGAAACACACTGTAAGTTTGCTTCTACTACCAATGTTTAAAAGAACTGCACATATACCGGTAACTGGGATCAGGTTCTGCTTTTTATTATTTAAGGTGTTTATTATATGATGATATCAGTTATTCATCCCAGTCTGTGTCAGTTCCAAAACAAAAAGGAGCTGCTCTTCACAGAACTGTAATGATTGCATATGCAAACATAGTCGTAACTCTATACAAAAAGCAAAACAAACCAAAACCCCAGACAGCTGAAACCCTTGACAACCAAGGCCGCTAAATGAATAGTGTTAAGATTTTGGATGCAGAAGTAGTTAGCTGTAACTGAGCACTGGACTATGGATTTACCCTTGGACAATCGTTCCCCCCACCAAATGGGGACTTTGTAAGACTAGTATCATAGGGCTGCCTGACAATGAATAAGGGAGCAATTCTAAACTCCCAGGAAGGGCAGCTAAGGGGGGCATAGGATACTATGGAATGCCCTCTCCATGGTTAGAGATGAAGAGGTTCACTGCTGGAAACGTTCCTTACTGCAGAGAGAGTTCCACAGTGTTCAAATGGCACTTTACTCTGCTTCACTGTTAAGTGGTTGGGCAGCAGTAGTTCCACCTCTCCCATTTAAAGAAGGGAAAGCGATTTAAATCTCCACTCATCAGCTGATGAGTTGGGCATCACCTGCTGCCTAGGCTGCACAATCCTGCTCTTTAGAGAGACAAGGGCAGCACACCCTATGCAGGATAGACCCCTGTCCTGCCCATCAGCTGGCACCACCAGTGACTTGGGCAAAAGGGCCTGGTGGGCCAAACTGGACCTTCTGGCAGGCCAAGTTTGGCCCATGAGCCAGAGGCAGTAGGCAACATAAAGGAGTGTGCTGGGTGTGTGCCAGGCATGGATTCATGGTTTATAAGGTTTTATGTGTTGGAAGCTGCCCAGAGTGGCTGGGGTAACCCAGCCAGATAGGTGGGGGTAATAATAATAATAATAATAATAATAAATAATGTATTCACCTATTTCTCCAATGTCACCCCAAAATAACTGCAAACCTATGCCAGCCCATAGTTAATCCCTCCTTATATACAGTCAGTGGGAGGGAAATTAGGAAAAACTTTTCCGCCACAAGAAATATGAGGAGATAATGCTCCTCTTCATTTTATGTATTCACCTGTACAAGCCTGCCAGGATCTAGGAAGTGGTGGTTCCTCTGCCACAGACTCTCCCCCTGACCTTGAATTGCTTTGCCAAGTTTTTTCAAAGTAATAAAATACATGATAACTGCACTTTGAAAGTCTCTTATTAGGGACCAAACATTTAAGTGCTCTAGAAATAAGCCACAGTAACTTGGCAGATTTTCATGAATACACCCACTCACCCACACTTTTTGCTTTAACAGTAACTAGCACTTCAATTGTAGGTACATCTGCTTTGAAAAACACTCCACAGTTTCAAGGACTTGTGTATATAAGTTGTGGTTAATTGTAACCGTATGAGCATGTCTACTTGCAAACAAGTTCTGCTTGAAGTCACTGGAGAGCATTTCCTTATAATAAATTAAAGATCAGGTTGTGAGTAGGCTGAAAGGCAAATACTTTTGCTTAAGTACGTGTGCTTTGTGACTTTGGAGAGCCAAGCACATGTCAGCTGGTCCTTGATAAAGTAACAGAAATGTGAATCGCCTATTTTGAAAAACTTGACACAGAAACAATAGATTAGAGGTGGTATAAGATTGCATCTTCTCTTACATTAGACACTCCTATATAATTCTATCTTGCCATTTTCAGGTAGAGATTTTTTGGGTGTCATGGCCCAGGACCCAGACATATACTCAGGAAGTTCCTTAGTGAAGTAGGAGCCTGATGAGCTCAACCCTGTACCATAATGGGAAGCAAGAACACATTTCCATGAATAGTTTTACTGAAGAGGATGAAGAATAATCGCTGGAGACTTCATCCCACCCATTTCTCATCCCTGAAATCACTTCCCTTCCAGCATCTATTAGTCCCTGGCATCCTGTGTTCATTGCCACATTGCAGTGGGTATCCCAAGACATGTATTAACATTGACAGAGTATAATTAGGGTAATTGTGGGCTAACTTCAAATAACACACACCTATTTGCAGCTCAATAGGCTCCTATTGTGGGGGCATCTCTTTAGGCATGGATGGGCAACCTGTGGCCTTCCAGATGTTACTGACTCCCAACCCCATTAGCTCCAGCCAGCATTACCAAGAGTCGGGGAAGGTGAAAGCTGTAGTCTAACAACATCTGGAGGGCCACAGTGTCCCCACCCCTTTCTTAAGGCGCTAACTTGCTAGCATTAACCCTGAGGAGAACTCACAGTGTCTCCAGTCCAAGATTCCTGCCCAATTGTTACATAGAGATGGAAGGTGCCCTCCACTGTGAGTAAGTTTCACATATCATAAATAACTGATAGTGACAATGAAAACAGTGACTTTATAACTTCCATTCATACTGCCTGTGCAGTCCTTGAGCAGGGAACTTGCACATCTCAGCACAGCTTAGATGTGCACACAGGAAATCTGAACAGAAGATTCCCAAGCCAACTGCCATTTTGTAAATACAACAAAATGATAAAAATACGGAATGCAACAAAAAAGGTAGAGTAGGAAGCTTGATATAACTGTGGATTGATATTTTTATTATAAAAGTTTCAACATCCTGAGGTTAGATTCATTTTTTTAAAAAAACAACTCTATACATTTATAAAAAGTGGGCTGTATGCTTGTCTCAGTAACACAAGTTGAACTGGGAAGGCTCAGATATGGTGCACATTGCGGGGGGGGGGGGGGAGAGATTGTTCACATGAACTGTTCTAGTTTTTAATATTAAAACATGATTTAAAACTTCCCTAGTGTTTAATGTAATTCATTTAAAGGCATGACAACATTACTGATTTGTTTCTTGGAATACAATAACATTTAATATAACTTACTTTTCCATATTTTCCATATGGAATATATTGTATGTGTTTTGTGAAAGGCAAAGGGAAGGTTCCTATCAGACAACATCTGAGAACACTAGAAAATATTTAGCAGCTCTTAATATTTGTTACTCTCATTATGTAGTTCAGCATATGGGTAAGTCTTACCTATTGATGACTGAATAACATTTGGGTAGCACTTGTATAAACTGATCAAGTGAAATTACTGTAAAAGGAATTCAGTTTTAATACTCTTTTAATATAGTTAGTGCCATTCAGCACCTGCAAATGGGAAGCTCCAATATGTGCCAGTCCAGCATATGAGGTTAGTTCTCATTAAAAGCAAAAAGTCTTGAGGCTGCATTTTAAGATAAGGCAGGATGCTTGTAGTGATCAAAATATAGCATGTGATCTTTAAGACATAAGCTTCATTCTTCAAACTCTTCATTCTGAAGTATAACTGAAATACACAGGAATATTTAAGAGCTGCTGAAGAATAAGCATTTTGGATCATTGCCCTAAAAGACACAAACCAGCTATCCTTTCTTTGAAAATTAAACAATGAATGCCTAAATCCATTCACCCTGATCCAGCAAGGTTTTCACACACGGGGCACCCTTTTTGGATCTGAATTCATGTGTACAAAACAATGCTATGGAAGATGGGAGAAACAGTCCTGGGAATAGGTGCAAATGACAGCCCTGTCAAGATAAAACAGAAGCTTGCATTAACTTTGAACAAATCTTTCTTTGTAGGCAGGATGGGGTGGCCATGCAGTTCTCTGGTGGGAGTCAGAGCTGACCAATTCTGCCACACTTTGCATAAATAAGATGCTGATTGAATTTCGACAAAACGAAACCAGTGCTTAAGCTACCTCAGCTAGGTTTCTGTGCTACAGACCTTCCCTCAACACAGGTTTAACCCAGGCTTCCTCAACCTTGGCCCTCCAGATGTTTTGAGACTACAATTCCCATTATTCCTGACCCCTGGTCCTGCTAGCTAGGGATCATGGGAGTTGTAGGCCAAAAACATCTGGAGGGCCGAGGTTGAGGAAGCCTGGGTTTAACCCAACACAGACTTAAACCAAGTGAAATAAATGGGCTGATGAGACACATAATTTTGGCCTTTGTATTTCAACGCTACTATGCAGGTCCGGTGCTCAGCCATGGAAAGATTCCTATGGCGCTCAAGTTACCCAAGTTTGACTGAACAGAAGGGAGGGCTGGATGGAAAATATACCCATCCCCTATTTTTCATAGGCCTTTCATGATGTCTATGTGTGTGCTCAGAGAGAAGGGGACACTATTAAGCCCAACTGGGAAGGACATTGTCCCGTTTACAAAAAATTTGGTAATGTGCTCAGAAGCAAATGGTGAAATGCGAATCCTCAGTTTAGATAATGATATTAATGATGATAATAATAATAATAATAATAATAATGATGATGATATATGCACTTCAGAAATATATTTGGTCTAGGTCAAGATCTCCAAAATAGTACCACAGGGTTTTTAACTGAAAGAAAATATGCAGTCCCTAATTAAAGGAGAACAAAACATGTGAGAATTTCTTATCAACATTGTTATTTATGCTGTCTTCCCAATCCAATGATTTATTAATATTAAATATTAATATTTAAAAAACTGACTGTAATGTAGAAGCCTTCTCTTACACACCTACACACACTCTAACAGAGGGATTTGGTTAGAGCAAAGAGCCTTGCTACTCATTGATGATACTTTATGCCATCATGCTACAGCCCTCGTAAAGGATAAAATGCAGTATCTTATACTCACAAATTATTTTAATTTTTTTAAAAACTGACCTCTATCATATCCTTATTCTCAGTGTATTTTTAATGAAGTATGTTTTCCTCCTGTTACTGACTAATTTATATTTATCAGAAAATATTGGCATATCTATTTAATTCTAAATATGTGGAAAATCTTAGTTTGGGTGGAACAGGGGAACAGTTTTTAACACATGTTTAAAGTCCACATATATTTTTGTTTGTGAAAATGTTCAAAATAATTTGCATCATACTTTATACTTACAGAACTGGCTTCCCATCAGAGATCAGACCTATGAAATGCCCCATTACCCTCCCAAAACACAGTTTCTAAAACTTTGAACTTGCATTCTGGATTGAGAAATTTAGAAGGAAAGGGTTACACAGTTAGCCAAGGGAGCAGGAGGAGAAGCAAAAGACAAAACAAAAACTAAAAACTACTCATCAATTGCAACAAAATTAAGGAGAATTTTATCCAAGGTAAGTTACTAAAACAATACTAACTTCATTCCTTTTCATTTTCTTTAAATGCTTATTGTTATAAAAATAGATTTAATAAATGTTTACACTGTGATTTCCCCCATCCTTTCTATTGAAAATATATATCTTGATAGAGTGATAAACCTGGAAATAAATTGCCCATAGATTGTAACTAGATTGATGAATATGCAGCATGCATCTTTTCAGCCATACGAATGAAAGGGCACAGAGAACTACATTTGAGAAAGGGCTTGTCCATACAGTTCTAATAAATGTTGAGTGACTGCAGGTACTCATTTGGTAAACAAATAGTTGCTACTCCTTCACATATCTCTATATACAGAGATATATGTCTTTAGACACATTTACTTGAAAGTAAGGCCCCTCCACCCTGTGCCTCAAGATGTGTCCCCAGATAAACACAAATCCACTTCTGCATTCAGATGGAAGTGCTTCTTCTGATGTTCAAAGACAGAACTTGCATAGCAAAAATGTGCTGGCTATTGTTGCAGGCACACCTGTGCAAGTTCCCTTCAAATGTCAAGCAACACCAGCTGAATACAGAAATGACTATGCAATTGGTAGGGGCACCAGTTCATAGATATTTGAGATTAAATTGTAAAAAAAAAGAGTGCATTTTAAGAGCATTTGTTGTATTCACAGGTATCTACTTAAAACAAACAAACAAAACCCAAATAATTATAGCAATGTTACTAAACAAAGGGATTTGTGCCTTTTGGCACCTCACAAACATCCAAACAGACTTTCCCACCAAGCAGTCGTTTCATGGCCATTTTAAAGTCAGCAGTGTGGAGACTGCTCCATCCATCCATGTGTAGCTGCTTGCTTTGTGGACCATGCTATGACAAACCATGAAGAGAATTGCTGTGACAAGGTGGGCCTGTGTGGTGAGCAGCTGCACACAAGTAGCTCACTGCAGTGAGAAACCCTTTATAGCTGCTTTTAAAATGGCTTCTTGCTTGTGTAAACTAGTCCACAGTCCCAGGATTTCAAAAGATTGCTGGCAAACCCATTCAACTAGCATAAATTTGAGCGCCAAAGATTTGGCGGGCAAGTGAAAAAGCTAAACAGCAAAGGAAAGACTTGTTTCTAAACATGAGGCTGAACTTTTAAAAATTACAACTTGTATGGCTGCTTTTCCCTTAAAAGATAAAGAGCAACCCCCCCACAAACATTAAAATAAGCACCCCCCCCCCAAATCATTTTGAAATACATGAAGCGAAGCAAGTTTCATCCAATCCTGCAACCAAAACCTGACACATTGAAGGGGAGGGCCCGCATGCATGAAGTCAACTTGAATATGTTGCAATAAATTCAAACTTAATTAGGTTGAAAATATTAGCATCCATTAAGTACATGATCAAAGCAGTGGTACAGTTAAAATAAAAATATCCCATTGACTTCATTCCACACCTTTAAAAAACCTGTGTTTCTTTCTCTTTTTTCTTTTTTTGAGGACTTCTTAAAAAGTTAAAAAGTAGTCTGTCTTACAGCCAAATCACACTGAAATCCAGTTATACGAAGAGTAAAATAAAAATAACAATTGCATGGTGAGCCAAAAAGAACTGTTTACTGAAACTAGACAAAAGGACCAACCTTTGAGGCTCATCTTCCTATGGACTTTAGCTTGACATACACAAGATGCCCTTTTCAGCATCTCTATCCTTTAGACTGTAAATTGTAAGCTTTTAATTATTGTGAAACTCTAGTAATCAATTTGTCTTAAATCTCCCTAGTTTAGGTGCTGCCCATATCCATTATTAAAGTGTAAATCAGAAATGCTCAGGTATAGTGTAGCTTCACATAACTGTATAAATGCATTGTGCTGTCCCTACAGGTGGCATATGTGTAATTGTGCATGGCTTTCAGAGCATGCAGATGTGCTCATTTCTGGTACACAGCAGCATATATCCCATGCAGAATTTGTATGATGTAGCCCAGTAGATCTATGAAAGTTTTGTAGAGGTACAGATATTTTAGAGCATTTTCTTTCATGTTTATTGTATGGCTATTAGAGTTTATAAATGCAAGGACTAACTTACCTACGGTATCAGTTAGGATGGCTAAGTTAATGAGCACCACCTGATTAGTTATTTGAATTCATATTCATCAACCTGGTTTCCCTCTCAAATAGACATTCCTTGATACTGTTATTTTGGGTCACATTCTTGCACAGCCTAGTACTTGGACTTGATATTAATGGGTAATAGCATGATACTATTTGAAAATAATGTCATCACTTGAATGCTCTTCCACTCATACAGACTGGAAAACTTGACAAAGCAGGGAAAACTGAAAATATCCCAAGACAGAAAAAGTATTGGGAGAAAAATTAACATTTTTCATGTAATTATATTTGGAAAAAATGGCCCTTTGCATTTTTTTTAATAATAAAAAAAATGCCTGGCCTATCGAAGAATAAATATGCCACAATAAAACTGCTATAGTGAAGCATTTTCCTATGCAAATATAGCAAATACTTGGGGCTTTGCAGCATAAGTGAATATTTATAATTACAAAGCCTGCATAACTGCACTATGCAGGATAGCTGACAACTATCATGTATTGCATGTTGCTTAAAACAACCTTTCTGGGATAGTTCAGTCGAGGCATATACAGACAATTTAAAAACGAGTAACAGCAAAAGTAGCAAATAATTAATCTTACCAGTTACTCTAGACTAGGGTAAAACAGACTCTGCTAAGTTGGTGCCCTCCAGTAGTTTTGGATTACAAGTCACATCAGCCACTGGGGCTAATGGGAGATGTTATGATTTATATTGTAGTGGGCATTGTCTACAAACCATAAAAATCAGACTGACTGATGAGAGTTGCAGACAAAAACCTGGAGAACCTCAGGTTGGCAAAGCGTGGGGTAAAGGTACCTAGTTTTCAAGCAAATTAAATTTAATTAATTAAACACATCACTTCACAAGCATGTGATGGCCTATCATCCTCGCAAATCGTCCAATTCAACCTGGTCACACACACACAAAGTATTCACTGTAAGTTGTCATTGTTCATCCTGACCAAGAATTCTTACAACTTCCATACGAGCCTACCAGCAATTGAACTATTACAAAGTAAATAATACAACACAAACCATACATCTGGGATTTCCCATTATCATAAAATAAATATTTATGTCAAACTCTTTTTTCTCGATTGCACATTGTATATTGGAAGCTAATGGTCACAAAACATGAAAAGAAATGTCAATTACTTTTTTTTAGAAAAAAAAACTATCATCAAACTCTAACACATCAAGAAGGTAGCCACTCCAAGCCTAGAAGGCTTTAACTTTCACAGAAGTCAATGAAAGTTTTCCAAATACTTTACTGTTATACAAAGTTATACATCCATGCTGAGCTATTCACCGTTGTGCAGCAACAGTCTTGCAGTGGGCCAGGATGTTATTGGCAGTTTATTGAGGGAGGAGCTATGCAATGTGATTAAAAATTTCAAGTTGGAAGTATTAACATAAACATTATGTGTTTATAGTATGAATAGGAAGTTTCAGTTCTTGAAGCTGGGAAGAGCAGAAAGAAGGATTGAGAGTATCTTCCATTTTAGAAATGCTGAGGCACAAAACACAGTTGCTTCTAGAACTTTCATACATGAAATCCTTTCTCCTGTATGTGCATCATGTGTAATCGCAAAGTCTGTAAACTGCTCACTATTCGTCTCTGGTGTCCAATAAGTACAACACCAATTCTTCTAATTTCACTGTAAGAAAAAAGTATGTTTATGAATCACTAAACATCGCAGCTGCAGTACAGAAAACAGAATTCAAATGATTTCATATGCTTATTAGCCTTAGACTTTCTATATTACAATATGTCGTGTGATGCCTGAAATGATCAACAACAGAGGTGTATCTCCAACTGAAACGAAAAAGAGCCAGGAATCCCACTGAACTAAGACCTGGCAAGTGATTTATTTGTGAACAAAGTCTGCAATTTCATGCCTTGTAAATTAAAATTGAACTGGAGTGTTATGTTCTGAGTTGAATAGGATCCAAAAGGTAGCAGTCTGATTGGTCCACAGGAGCCACCCAATCCAGCTCCAGGTGGAAGTGAATCTGCAACCTGATTGGCCTACAGGTGAATCCCAGAATTAGCCAATCACGTGGGGCCCATTGTGTAAATAATGTATATAAAGAAGACATTCTGGGGGAACTTCCATTCCTCCTCACCACTGTAAACTGAATAAAGAGCATGAAATCCACTCTCGACTCTGAGTATATTTCAAGTGTGTAAAGAGATGTTTAGAATGAACATGTAATGAAGCCCTTGGCTTTTTATTTGTAGTGGGCAAAACTGCCCCAAATGGCTTGTATAGTTGCACTTTCCACTACTTTTGCTCTACTGGATGAGAAATAATAGCACCTGAGTTATACTTCCTGCTTCTGTCCACAAGGGCCTGAAGCCTTCTTTGAACAAGTGGGTTTTTTGTCTGTCTGTTTGTTTAAAGTTTCTTTTTTTGAAGGAGCAGGAGGGAATCAAACCCATTTCCACCCCCAGTAAGGCACTTCTTTACAGCAGTATAAATAGTTTACTTACTCAATGCTCATTCTTGAAACAAGATCCATAGTTGTATACCCTGCTGCCATGAAGTTATTTTTGTATTGGCCCATTTTTATTGAGTCCAGCCAATCACTGACTGATACAAAGAAAGGGTATTCGGGAACTTCACCAGGTGAATCTGGCATTCTACAGGAGCACAAACACAGGGGCAAGAATGAAATACTGTACTTCATTTAATTCATGATAAGGATTGCTGACAGCTTATGTGCAAATTACTCTAAAAAATGAATTAGATCAGCCAAGCAGTAAAGTTCAGATACTAATCTAAGAGCACAGTCCAATTCACAATTATCAATCATAATTTTAGAAACAAAAGTTGCTTTTTAGTTTCAGCTTCTTTCTTTTTCAAACAATACAACAGTAGAACAATATAAAATCTCTATCTATGTAATTAATTCAGAACTATGGTCCACCCCCACAATTTGGAACCCTATGTGCATATAATTCCAATATGACCCAACCTGCTCTCCCAGACAAATATTCAGATTGGCCTTTTGAACTTCCCAGATGTTCCAATCCATTTTTTCAGCTCTATATTTTTAGATAAAAAATATTTTTAATGCAGATTTAAATAATAGGTTTATGGGTGAAAACATTTCAAAGTGAAATGGACTGGAAGTAAATAAATACTTGTGGATATTATTTGCTCAGTATTTGCTAAAGTATTCGATTATTTGTATTGTGTGATCATATATATGGATATTCTTTGGGACTGAACAAATACAGATCAAAATGTGATATTTGCTGCATACATGTCTGCCAAATTATCTGCGTTAACCTAATGATATTCCTTGTGGCAATTTCCTCAATCACAGCAGCACTATTACCAGCTGTTGTGATTACAGAAATCACTTTCAAGTAGATGCAGCTGTGTTCATGGAGATACTTCATTCCACATCACTGTTTCCAATGTGAATGTATCCCTGGAAAGAATTTAAACCCATCAGGTGGAAAAGAGGTTTAACACCTGAACTGGCCTTTATGCATGTGATCTAGGGCAAGATGAAGAAAGAAAAGTTAGAACGTCACACATGAATGGGGAAATTGATCACTTTTATACTGAAAACTTTATTTTGACAAATTCTGTGAATAGCATGGTGCTGTCTAGGGACTGTAATACACACAGGAAGAGCACACTGATCTGCATCTTACACAAGTACATCCTCCACTAGGGTATGAAGAGAGCTGGGGTTGCGTATCAATTTGTCTAAGAAGCTGACAATGTCGGTGAACTTTGGCCGGTGGTTTCTCTCCTTTTGCCAGCAATGAAGCATTAGTTGGTGGAGAGAAGCTGGGCAGCCCATGGGAGCTGGAAGCCTGTAGCCTTCTTCTATGGACAGGATTACCTAAATAGAAGAAGAGGGATAGGGGACACAAGGCAAGTTCATATTACTTGACATTTCCATATGCAAGCTATGCCAATAAAACACCAGTAGCCAGTGTCCCACACTCTGGTGTGAATAGACATGGAAGCTAAATGGCCTGCAAAAGGTCCTAATGTCACAGTTTTTCCTATGCATAAGCTGAAGTAATTAATAAGCTATTTTAGATGTGATGACAGAAGCCCTCCTATAAGATGTTCTGAATGCTAATCATAATAATCATCTACTATCATTTTTTGAAAATTGGGTTCTGCACATTTGGACATCTCTAAAAATTGATGCTTCCTGATATGATGGAGCCTGTTTTCATCAGTGTCTGGATACCATACGATGGCATTTAGAATCAAGATGGCAGACCAAAACATTCCAAACTGCATGCTGCAACTGTCATGCCGCTGGAGGAATGTTCTTCTGAGGAAGATCTGGCATTTCCACAAGAAAATGTTACAGAAGAATTCTAGTATTATGAGAGGAGAAAAAAACACCCCTCTATCCATATCCCACATACTTTTGTAAACCTATACCATAGTAAAGTCCAGAGAAGCAGAATTTATAGTCAGAATTTGCAAGAACCTATATAAAAGGAGGTGGTCAAACCCCCTCAAGTGAATAGGTTTGTGACAGGAGAACTCACTCACACCTCCTTTATATTACACATTCACTGAATTTTACAGTGTCCCAAACCTAATCTCTCAGTTCAGTCTGTTCAGCAGCTTGCTAATTTCCACAGGAAGTTCAAAAGCCTAGCTAATGTTTATTAATTAACCAATAAGATATGAAAGATTGTGCAACACCCACAATTAATGAACACCTCTAGTATCTGCCACACAGCCTAAGTATGCATTAATCAAGACTACCACAGCTTTGAGTGAATACAATAATAATATAGTTATCTACTTGAGCAAGTAACATTTCTTATACCAGAGTAATAAAGTGAATATTAAAAAAATCAATCACTGTATTAATATGTAAAATTTATGCTCTATATTTTCAAGCCTCTGTGAATTAAATATAATCTAAAATCCAAGTTCAGACACCTAGGCTAGAATTACTTTGCTTTAAGATACTGAGATTCAACATTCATGCTCAATTTATGTGCCTATGAATTCCAAGGATTTAAGATAACATCACACTCATTTTAGTTGCTTAAGTATGGTGTTATATGCACTTTGTGGGTGGAATGTTTCATTGTATAGCTTTTGTCCTACACTGAAGACACTCCTCTTTACCCTAGCTTTTGCCACCTAGGATACACATATATTTTAGGATCTACCCTTTCTGACTGTAAATTGTTTTAACTGATTTCAGTATGTTGTGTTTTTCTATTGTTACATCCTGCCCTGGGACAGCTGTTGAGGGTCAGGTAAGAAATAAAAAAAAAATGCTACTACAACTACTATATTGGCCTGGGGAATCTCTTTCAGCCTGAGGGCCTCATTCCCTTGTAGGCAAGATTCCACAGGCATCATGAAGTGGTGAGCATGGCCTGGGGTAAAAGTGAGTGTGGCAGAGGAGCCTCTTACCTTTGCTCAGTATACTACATTCCAGCTATTCAACAGTCAGAGGTTTCTACAACCCCAACCCTCTTCATCTGGGCTAGGATGTGGAAGAACACATTCCAGCCAAGCAAAAGTATTTGAGAAGAGCATAGATCTGGTCTAATGAGGGGTGTAATAGTCTGGGGAGAATTTTGAGGGCTGGATATAGAGGGCTACATTTGTCCCTGTTATGTCTCAGTCCTGCTTTATATCTACCATCTGTGCAGAATGAATAAAGCTGCTTTATTGATTTCTTTTAACAAGAGGAAAAGTGGGTATGAGTCTGTACAAAGGAAATTGTGGGCCAAAAAGGAGACAGAACCAGTAAAGACAATGTAACCAAGTTAAGTTATAGAATTATGCCATGTGTTTTCTTCTGGATTCCTTTTCATTTCATAGAATCATAGGATTGTAGAGTTGGAAGGGACCCTGAGGGTCCAATACCCTGCTATGCAGGAATCTCAACTAAAGCACCCATGACAAGTGGCTGCCCAACCTCTGCTTAAAAACCTCCCTTGAAGGGGAGTGCACCATCTTCTGAGGGAGTCCATTCCACTGTTGAACAGCTCTTATTGTCAGAATTTTCTTCCTGATGTTTAGTCGGAATCTCCTTTCTTGTAACTTCTTGTTACTCTGGAGCAGGAGAAAACAAGCTTGCTCCATCTTCCATTCGACAGCCCTTTAGATATTTGAAGATGGCTATATCTCCTCTCAGTGGCGCCCGCCCTGACATCAGATGTCAAAGAAATAAACAACTGACGTTTAGAAGACATCTGAAGGCAGCCCTGTTTAGGGAAGTTTTTGATGACTGATATTTTAATGCATTTTTAATCTTTTGTTGGAAGCCGCTCAGAGTGGCTGGGGAAACCCAGGCAGATGGGCGGGGTATAAATAAAGTTGCTGTTGTTGTTATTATCAATGTCCTCTTTTCCAGGCAAAACATACCCAACTCCATCAAACATTCCTCATAAGGCTTGGTTTCCAGACCCTTGATTATTTCCTTACAGAGATAAGCTAATTTTCCATTCTGCTAGGAGCGACAGTTCTGCAAATGCCTACACAACCATGTAAAATGGCCACAATCCAACACAGAGTTGTGCATGCTCAATAATCAATCAATAATAGCCCCACTGACAGTAATAGGGTTATTCCTAGTTAGACATACCAAAGGCTTTACTTAGAATGTATTCCATCTAATCAGGACCAGCCAAAGATATTTTGGCATCTTAGGTGAAACACAAAAAGACCCTCCCCCAGCTGAGATGGGGTGGGGAGTGAAAATCAGCATCAGAATGAAAGGGGAAAGTGAAGCTCAGCCTGGAAATCAAAGGGGAGAGTGAAGATCAGCCTTGGAATGGAAGGGGAAAGTAAAGATCAGCATCAGAATGAGAAAAGGTGGTGGTGATGGAGGAAGGGGAAGCAGAAGCAGAGGCAGCATCTGCCACTCCTCCCAGGGGGTCCACATCCATCGCTAGAGGTGGCTGTCTCACCCTGCTACATGGGTGAGCCGGCCCTGAATCCAGTATCAATGCGGTAAGCATTGCCACTTTCAAGAAAGAACATTTATATAAACTAATTTTGCCTGAAAATACTTACATCCTGGTTAGACATCTCCCAATATGGCCTCTCTCCATATGACATTACTTCCCACATGACAATCCCATAACTCCATGTGTCACTTGCGGAAGAGAACTTCCTGTAGGCTATTGCTTCAGGGGCTGTCCATCTTATGGGAATTTTTCCACCCTGGAAAACACATTGAAAAATTATCAAGATATAGTTCTGAGAACAGGCATTCTGCGTTGACAGAAATACCAGCTTTCCCCTGAAATCTCATTTACTAATTTGAGACTGCTTGAATAGTATAACAATTAGAGCATTTTATGTTCTTTAACATTCATATAATTAATCAGACCACATCTTGTGGCATCTTTAATAACTTCTAAGCTATATCTGAAAGCTCATCAAATATAATGAGAATAACTGCAGAAACAAAGCACACAAAGCCAATTGAACAGGGTGGAAATTATTATTTCCTTTAACATTTATCATTATTAAGGTTTCATTTTTAATATATTCCAAAATCCCTTGGTAGGTTATAAACAAGCTGTGGTTCTGCACACATAAGCAGAAATCTCATTGAAATTGATATGTGCAGTATAGGTTTATCCTGAAATAACTGGCATATTTTGCATCTTAAAATCATAGGGGTGTGTGTGTATGTGTGTGTGTAAATATGCAAAACATGTATACACATACATATGTGTGTGTGCATGTACTACAAGATGGAAATTTGGTTACTTTAGAAAAAGAAGGAGTTATATTAATCTTCTGCATCAAAAACAGGGGGTCCTGTAGCATCTTCAGCTGCAATCTCAACACTACTTATTTGGAATTAAGAACCACATTAAATTAAGGTTATCAGACGTCCCCGCTTCCCAGGGACAGTTCCCAGATTTACAAATCAGTCCCCTGACAAAATCCTATCATTCCAACTCATTTCAATGAAGTGTCCCTGAATTCATTGAAAAAAATCTGGTAACCTTACATTAAATTCCATAGGACATACTTCTGATCAGACATGGTTAGCACTTGCAGATTTATTGTGGAGTAAGACTGCTTGGAAGAGAATACACACACCTGACAAAGTCGTCTCTAGTACATTAAAGCTTATGCCACCAACATGGCACATTTCATGCCCAAGAGAGAGACATTAGAAGACTTTTGGAACCCCAAGGTTTTCAGAAGTACAAAAAATATTTTTTTTAAAGCCTGAAGGGGAGGTATCTGGTTGGCAACTGTGAGACCATGATGCTGAACTAGATGGGACACTGGACTAATTCAGAGAGCTCTCCCTAGTATTCTAATCCTTTGCCCCACTCTCTTATTGTTTTTCACTGACTAGTTAAAACTTTCCTGTTCCAGTGAGTATTTATTTTGCTAGGCAGATGATTTTTCTGCAGCAGACCCTCATTTTTAGAATGCTTTGATCTTCCGCCTGTTTTTATGGCTTTTATGGAATTGTTTTATGTTTAATTCTTGTCAGCCATCCTGAGTGATGCAAGTGCATTGGAAGGACGGTGAATACGTTTTCTACATCTACATCAATGTCTGCTTCATGTGTTTTTCTGATCCTGTTTAAGGGTGTGCTTAATTTCCAATTCAGAATTGCAGTAGCACTTCCAATCAAGGCAAGCAACCTACTTGATCATTCTGAAGAATGTCTGCCTAGATTATTCTCAATAAAGTACATACCAATGTTCCTGTATATTAGGAAAACAAACAGAAAAAGGAATGGCAAAACAGAATTAACAAAATTCATAAAGGTGCATCTATTCATGCTCAGCATCGTGACATAAGACAATCTCTTATGTTACGGCTAATAGCAAAAGGAAATTATATTGTTAATATTCATACAGACAATGAATTACTTGTGTAAGTCATTATATGCACAGGAATGGGAAACTTCATTACTTAATTACTTTTGTAAAGTATATTTTAATGTAAAAAATCTTTTACACTTTTTGTATAGAAAAGTGAAAGGCTGAAACTAAATAAGATCTGTTCATGAATAATAGAAGGGCACATTTGCTTCTGCACAGCTAAAATAATATTTCCAGCACTCGATCAAAGTAATAAAAAACTCTAGCCCTGCTGGGCATCTTCTTTCTGATAATACTCATATTAAAAATATTTATTAAACTCTATTGTATATAATGTGCTCCATCACCAAATTAAAATAAATATCCATTGTTATCAACATGTAATTTCTACAGTCGATCGATCAAAACTGTCACTATCCTCATATGGTAAAACTTCATATGAGCAAGCATTTCCCCTCTTGCCTTCTGAAGCCATGCTGCATCTTACCTCATTTCTTAAATTTATAATGAACTTGGGGAAATGCTAATGTTGCTTTCCTGTTATAACACAGCAGTAATGGTACTATTCAAATGCTTATGATGTAGTCTGTTTTCATCTGCTGCCTCCTGAATTATTCTTGATTGCAGCTCAGAGACAAGATGCCACTATGTGCTGCCACAAACTCCTTATCTAATGAGTAAGTGGAGTGCCAGATCACTCAAGCAGAGCAGCATATTGTTTCAGCAGGACCCATATGACTGAAATCAAAGTTTTCCTGGTTCTCATAGTCCAGCTCTCTATAAACCCAAATTGCAGCTCTCTAACCTGCAGCATTATCACATGTGAAATAGGAAGGCTGAGACCATGCTCCACTGTTGCACATGTGCCCATATCTGCAGCTACCCAGTGGCTAACAGCTATGGCCGGTATGAGGTGGCAGGATGGGGTGACATCACTCACCAGGCATCTGATGCTCCTACAGCACACCAGCCTCCCCGCTGCCTCACCCCTCTCCTTCTTGGTTACCAGTGGCGATCTCCATGTTGGTGAAGCCAGGTGATCAACGCCGCCCTACCAACTGCTACTAGCTTTTCTGCTACAACATCTACTAATATCACTGAACTGGGTTGGGTTGGGATCCATCTGTCTCGGGAGATACTGGACAATCAGTGAACATGCTCAGTGATTCTAATGGCCATTACATGTCAACAGACTATGCGAGCTGTCAGGACTGTAGTGCAAATGTAGAAAGCATGAAGCAAAGGGCAATAGCATCAAAGGTAAGCGATTGAAATATGATGGGGAGATGTAGAGCAGCAAGAATATAGGCTGCTCGCAGGTCTGTGATTCTGGGAAACGGACGGAGAACCATTCTGTTGTGCCCTATCTTGCATTTCATTTTCATTTTCCCCTCCATTTTTCTCAATACTATATTAAAATTTAAATATGTTGAGAAAGGTGGAGGAAAAAATGAAAATGAAATGCAATATTACCGTATCAAGCCTTACAAGTTGCGACTTCTGAGAGATGGTTAGCAGCACTGCCACATAGTCCACTGTTATTACTATTAATTAAATTTATACGCCACCCTTCATCCGAAGATCTCAGGGCAGTTCCCAAGATAAAAATACAGGGGGGAAAAGCACACACTAGATAGTTAAAACTAAAAGGCCATAGAATATTAATCACCCAAAGGACTGGTTGAAGTGGAACATTTTCACCTGGTGCCTAAAGATGTATAATGAAGGCACTAAACGAACCTTCCTGGGGAGACCATTCCACAAATGGGGAGCTACTGCAGAAAAGGCCCATTCTCGTGTTGCAACTCTCCAGACCTCTCGTGGAGGGGGCCTCAGATGATGGTCGCAGAGTCCAGGTCGGTTAATATGGGAAGAGGTTGTATTTGAGGTATTGTGGGCTTCAGCCATTTTTCAGAGTTGTCACACAAAGGGCATGCCAAGGATAAAAATGAAGTGTCTCAGGCCATTACTACAACTTTGGTCTACCTAAGAAAATCCCGAGCCAGTGAGAATCAGTAAAAGGAATAGAACTGTAAACCACAGGCAGCCTAGCAGGATGTTCTTCCCTCAGTCAACAGATTGTGAATGGGACAGAGCAATACTAAGTATAGGAAGCCGGTGAAAACTATCCTTATTCTTGGTTTTTGCACCACCCACAGATGGTGCCAGATTCACCTTCAACATCCAGATCTACTGCTTTCCTGTTCCTTCTGCACACTCTACCAGACTCAGCCGGAAAAATCAGTTTCAGTCTCCTAAAGGAGATTAACACTCATCCCAGATGCTTATAATTGCTAACTGCCTCTTAGAGTTAATTGTTTAGATCGGTGAACTGTCTAAGACGATGGAATGACAGACCATACCAAAGCCTCAAAAGAGTTTCATGTCTCTATTTTGTATGGCACATCAACATAGCTAGAGACGTATATAAATTTATCTTACTTCTAGTTCACTGAGCCACAAACATTGATGCTTTCTATATACAAAGGGGCAAATACTGTAGTTCACTGAAAAATATCACTGGCAAATTGTTTAATCATAGAGTGACCATATCATGAAAAAAAGTCCAGTAGCACCTTAGAGACCAACTAAGCTTATACAGTCATACCTTGGGATGAATACGCTTCAGCTTAAATATTTTCGGGTTGCGCTCTGTGGCGACCCGGAAGTAATGGAGCGCGTTACTTCTAGGTTTCGCCGCTCACGCATGCACAGACGCTCAAAATGACGTCACACGCATACGCGGAAGCGGCGAAACGTGACCCACGCACACGCGCAGTCACATCTTACGTTTGCTTCAGGATGCGAACGGGGCTCCGGAACGGATCCCATTCACATCCAGAGGTACCACTGTACCCAGAACAAGCTTAGTTGGTCTCTAAGGTGCTACTGGACAAGTTTTTAATTAATTAATTAATTAATTTTGACTGCGTCAGACCAACACGGCTACCTACTCATATCATGAAAACTTTGGCATGGAAATGTGGATAAAATTGGGATGAAATAATACTGTAGAACTGAATCAGTTTCAGGTATTTGAATGGGAGACACTTTCAGGGTAACTCTTTATCTGTGCTCTTTTATCTTTTTTTAACGAATACTGTTGTATTCAGTTATGTTGGCTGCTGCTAAATTAATATGTGCTGCAGAGGTCTGTAGAGATTGGTCTGATTTACAGCATCTTAGAATCCAGTTCATACAATGCAACTTGCTACAGTACTGCACAGGCCTCTAAAACATTTCCCAGCACCTTGGGAGGGTGTAATATATAAGCATACCCTAGATATAGAATCAAGGGACCTTTCATCCTATAAATCAGCCAAGTTTCTTTCCAGTTTTATATACATGTATAATTCTTTGAACAATATATCATCAGGTCATCGGTCCCTGACCATATATCATATTAAATCATCATCATCTGGGGTGATGATAACGATGACAATGACACATTAGTATGTCATCAGCATATCTTACTCACAAGATGTTTATGTTTATATTCTATAACCTATTAGGTGCTACTTTAACAATGTATTGTGGAACATTCTCAACTGAAATAGTACTTAGCATGAGAACAGAGATAAACAGACCTATGTAATGCTTTCTTTTTTGGTATGTGTTTTAACCCTGGTTATTTCTTTTTCTTTTTATCTATTCAACTAAATAATTTACTATTACAAGGATTTTTTAAAAAACAAAGAAAAAAATGATTTCATTTCGCAACAGTCATGGTTCTGAATGAGTTATTTATATGCCACCTTTCCCTTTCTTTGTGAAGGAATTGCCTTCTCTTCTAGGCATATTAGAGCCTGCAAGCGAATGGGACTAGCACAGATAAGGCAGGTGGCTGTAGTAAGAAGCCCTTAAAATATCTCTGTCCTTAGCCATACAGAATGTACTGTAATGCATAGGACATGTGGGTGGTAGGAGGGGTATTGCAAAAATATATGATTTAGTAGCTGCTAGGAATGCACAGGGAATTTTTTTTGCTCTGCTGAGAGAGCTTGCTGGATTTCAGAGTCTTGTGTGCCTGGTTTTGTATCCCCATAATATCTGCTAACCATGAATACTGCAAGGCTGTTTCCTCCAAAGCCATCTGTCTCTTGCTCATGGGAAAAGAGCATAAGAACCTAAGATGAGCTTGCAGGATCAGGCTAATGGCCCATCTAACCAGGCCACACAGAGCATAGGTGCCACCTCACACCGAAGATTGTGGGTGCCTGCATTGAAGGGCTTAAACTTTGTCCACTGACTGATATATTATTGTGGGTGCCAAAGCACCCATGGCCCCCTGTCACAGAGGCTAACTACATACCTATGGGAAGCCTGCAAACTGGACATGAGCACAACAGCACTTTCCCCACTTGTGATTCCCAGCAAATGGTGTACAGAGGCATATTGAATACCATAATACAGAGATTTTCAACCTTTTTGAATCCTTGGCTCCCTTGACCAACTACCTTCCTTTTGCGGCACCCCTTTTTTCTCACCCTTTTTTAAATATCCTCCCTTGTGGAGTGTTCCCTCAGCCTCCTCCCCTCTCCCCTCTCCTTGGGCGTCCTCTGGGCAGCAGCTACTGCAGCCCCTGGTCTCTGAGCTGCCCCTGCTGCCCCAAAGAGAGGTGCCTCCTCACACTGCCTCACAGGGACCTCGGACTTGTCTGTCCATTCCCAACAGCAAGGCTGGTGGACTGGCTGGCTAGGCTCCCTCGCCTGCTTGCTTGTTTACTCCAAGGCCACCTCAGCTCCTGACAGCCAGCACCTTCTGACCAGCCCCAGAGGCACCATTCACATGCTTGTAACCAGGGCTGTTGCAACAAACAGCTGTGCAAGCCTTTGGGAGGCAGAGATGCAAGAAGGCATTAGAGGAGAGAGGGAAGAAAAAAAGGACAGAGGCCAGTGTTGCCCGTGGCACCGCTGACCATCATTCAAGCCACCCCAGGGTGCCTACAGAAGGCCCCAAGGCCAATGACATCTCAAGTTAAAAAGAACTTGGTAACAGGTGACGGGAATGACCCCTGCTGGAAACCTTAGAGAGTTTTTTTGTCAGGCAGTATTGGTCTGGATGGACAAATGATTATGGTCTATGACAGTGCTATTTTTATAGAAAAAGAGGTACTGGAACTCACCACGAACATCTCCCTTGTTCTATAAGAGAATGGCAATGACTCCCACCTGAGAGGTGCCAGAACTGAGGTCTGGCTGAAAAAACAGCCCTGGTCTGTGATATGGTCATCTACATGTTTCCCTCCTCGCTATATCCTCACAGCATCCCAGTGAGGTAGGTTGGGCTAAGAAAGAGTGACTGGCCCAAGTTCACCCAGTGAGTTTCATGCCCGAGTGGGGATTTTAACCCTGATCTCCAGGTTCCAGTCCAACACATGTGGGATGCGCATTGTTGATCATTTAGTGGCTGAACTGGCTGCTTATTAGCTTTTGGATCGAGTGCAAGGTGTCAGACCTAAACATTTAAACCCTTCAGAGCCTGGGCCCTCTATTACCTTCCAGACTGGTTTTGGATTTGGGATTAGATTCAGACTTTGCCATCTGTGGGTGAAAAGGCTTTTTATCCCGTGAACAGATCCTGCTGGCAGGGTGGGTGGTGGGAAACGTTTGCTGATTCCCTGCAGCACCGAATGCTACCTCCCACTCAGGGAATGCTCTTCCCAGCAGGCGTGACCTCTAGATCCAGCCTTTTGTTTTCAAAATGCTGTTGTGAGTTCCATGGATCATACAAAAGATGAGATAAAAATATTTCAGAATAAACAGAATTTTAAAATATTGAATTTCTTAAGGTTGCTATAGTAACCTTAATATCTAAAGAATTTGCATTCAGGAATTAAGTGTACGTTCCTTAAACACATTCACATAAATTTAAAGCACCCTATGAAAATTTTAGAATACAGTGGTACCTCGGGTTACAGACGCTTCAGGTTACAGACTCCACTAACCCAGAAATAGTACCTCAGGTTAAGAACTTTGCTTCAGGATGAGAACAGAAATCGTGCGGCGGCAGCGGGAGTCACCATTAGCTAAAGTGGTACCTCAGGTGAAGAACAGTTTCAGGTTAAGAACAGACCTCTGGAATGAATTAAGTTCTTAACCTGAGGTACCACTGTAAAAACATGTAATAATTATACATAGTTTCCCTTTCAATCTGAAACAGTCCCAAAATTGTCTAGTAGGGTTATTTCTTAGTTTTGCATGTTAATTGAACACTCAGCTAGATCACCTTAAGCACTTCATTTTAGCTACAGGTTCACAGGAAGAAACCAATCACAATAGATGTTTACTAAGAAATACTGCTCCTAGCATTCAAATCTCATGTAAATAAAGTGTGTCCATCTGGCTAAATTGCATCCAAATTAGTTTGACTGTTGTCCTGGGGTACAAGCAATTGCTAGTGCTGGGATTATAGGAACATTTTGCCTAATAGTCCAAGCACAGCTTCTGCGGGAAGTCTCTTCTGTGTACTGTAAAAGAAGCATATGTTCCCTCTTTCTCCTCAGTTCAGTAATCTCTGAAAATGCACTGGATATATTAAAAAGAAGACCCTCCAAATGTCCCTATTTTCCAGGGCCATCCCTGATTTAGAGAAGCCACCCCAGTTTCTGATTTGATCCCAGAATGTCCTGCTTTTCCTTAGGACGACCCTATTTTCACTGGAGAAATGTTGGAGGGTATGGAGTTATCTGACCCGAGCCGTCTCAAGGCAATCCTGTATAGGGAAGGTTTTTTATGTTTAATTTTTTTTTATGTTATTTATATATGTTGGAAGCCGCCCAGAGTGACTAGAGCAACCCAGTAAGATGTGTGGGGTATAAATAGTAAAATTATTATTATGGAATGGGAGAAAGAATTAGTAGCCCATTCTAAATGGCTCCCCCCATTTCTTCCTTTCCTCCTCAGAATTGGTGCTTTTGCAATCTGACACTTCTTTCAGTTACTGCAGGCTGATAGAAAAATGTCTCAAATTCAAAAAGCATTAAACTCTACCAGTGGTTGGAAAGGAGTGTACTTAGAGTGAACTCCTGAACCTTCCTTTTCAATTTGGCCTCTCAGGTTTACCTGTCCTATACCTGATGTCACAGTGTGGGTGTGACGTGGGACAAATAGGGAAGCCTGATGGGCCAAATTAGGCCCTCAAGTTGGCGGTTTCCCACTAGCTGAATAGAGCCCTACTTTTGCAACGCCTGCATATGACATACACATTCATGTAGATAATAAAGAGAAGGTAAGGCAAAGGGAATGTTTCGTTCTTTAGGAATTCTCACCTGCTCACACAAAGACAGAACTTCCGATCTGTTGTCAAATAAGAGAACTTGGTGATTGGTAGGCTGTGGTTTCACTGTCAAGTAAATTAAAATGAACTACTGTTGCCTAGTAAAGGCAATTCTAGAATGAAGTATGAAAAGGCTGATTAATGTCGAGTGAGATGCATGGGAATACAAGCTTGTTTTTTATTACAACTTCTACAGCATTTTAAGGATTTTTAGGTGCATTTTTAGGTGCAGTGGATTCATTTTTTTATTCCCTGCACCTCAGGACAGCAGCCCCATGTGCTATATAAAATGCTACCCCCAGAGTAGCACCAAGCTAGGACAGCAATTTGTGGGCAGTGCAAGGGGTTGTTTTTGGAGGGTGGTGGGAAGTATTCAGAAGATCAGCTGGGCTTGCAAAGCTCATTGTCTTAATGTACAAAGCGTTTTGCACTTCTTATGCTGTACAGCTTCATTTCATCTCCGTGGTAACGTTAACATTTCCTGGGGACTGATGCTAAATACAGTGGCTTGCCAACAAGTATGGCAGAGAAGAATTTCAAATTCAAGTCTTCTGGGGTCAATCCCAACACACATTCTCCTGTGCTATCCCAGCTCTCTTCAAGGATACGAAGATGTAGCACTAAAACCTATTCCCGACAGTTATCCAAGCATTTCCACACAATACCCAAGTTGCTTAGAAATGGAAGACTATATGTAAAAATTTGCCATAAAATCTGCCTCTCTGTTGACTTTTTAGAATTATGTAATTATTTGCTGTGTTTACAATAAATTATATTGGCTCTTTGTGAGGAAGAGGACTGATTACTCAAATTATAGAGGGCATGGGATAAGGTTTTGTGATTAAAATGTTGTCCTTTTTCATAGTCAGTGGGTAAACTTCTCTAGGATCTCAAGGCTGCTTGATGATTTCATGCACCAAGTGAACAGCAGGTGCTGAACTGTTTGACTCTCCTTGCATCGTTTCTGTCAGTACCTCTGCTTTTGAACTGAACAGCACAGCATGTGCTACATTAGGCAAGGTACATCATGTATAGTTTTCACATCTGTGCATCTACGCGGGTGATGTTGTTAACAGTAACTGTGATTTTGGGGGAAAACAACACTGCTTTGACTAGGTATGAATTGATTTCTTTTGGGTTTTAATTTTCTTTAAAGGTTGCCTTCATAATGAGATAGAAATAGGTAACCTTCCCCCCTTTTCTTTTAAAGAAACTAATGTGGTGGTCAATGGGTTCTTATCAACAAAAATAAGAACACACCTCTTTACTGTCTGAAACAAAGGAAGCAAAGATACATGGCCCAGATCCTGACAATTACTGATTGCATGCATGTGTGCAGGTTCATGTGGAAATATCTGAACCTTCCCCCTGGCTTTAGGTATTCCAAAATTGTGAAGCACAAAAATGGAAAGAAAAGAAAACACCTTGGCCAATATCCCAGTTGTTTTAGCACCTCTTAAATGGGGGTCAATGTAAACAAACACAGCATTGCAAAGGAAAATCAAATGGCAATTTTGCAGTCTTGCACTTTTGAAGACCTCTTATATCATAAATAATTCAAGGCTTTTAACAGGATGTGCTATTTCTGGGCACCTTCCGAAACAGAAGGATGCTCTGGCTGGCTGTAACTACAAGAAATAGTAGACACTGGATTTTTTATCTATGGACTGTTAAAGAGCTATGGGTTGAAGCTTCCTTATTGACATTCATAGCATTCATACCAAATGTACCATGAGAAACCTTGAGTCTGGGAGAAAAATTCTGTTTTTGTATTGTTCTCAAAAGGCCCCTTTAATTAAATGAAACATTACAGAGAACACTGTTATAATTATTCCTCCCTGCCTCCACGCTGTAAAGAACACAATCTTTTGTGTCAATAGCTATTTCTACATAGTATTTTCCATAACTATTGCTAATTAGAAAACAAAAGTTTCCGAAAGCTCTTTGAATAGCTGATTTTATTTTCTCCAATTGGCATTTTTAATCTTCACTGTACGGTGGCCATGTATCTTACTTTACAGTGGACTGTCCCCTGTTTGAATGGCATTCATACATTCATATACCTCAGAGAATTTGGATTCATAATTTGATTCAGTTTGTTGAAGGGGATAAGAATGGGGAAACCTTCGATTACGAAGTAGGCAGGCTCTGAAATGTGACACACTCGAATTCAGCTTCTGTATGGATTAGCAAAGAAAATTAGGATGTGATCTTGTATTGATTCAGACCGATGACCTGTTGGTCCAGGGTTGTCTGCTCAGACTGGCAGTAGCCCTCCAGGGTCTTACCAGCCCTGCTACCTGAGAGCCGTTTTAACTGGAGATGCCAAGAATTGAATTCAGGACCCCTAACATGCTAACCTTACAAAGTTCTAGCAGTGGATCATGGGCTCTCTCATTAACAAGCCAATCGAAGAAGTGAATGAACATAGAGGGATGCTAGTCAGGAAGAGGGCAGGGCAGCATATGACTGGGATCCTGAACAATCACATATAACCCAGTTGCTTCTGACACAGTCTGTGCAGATGTTCAATCTGTATGCCTCATTGATGAAATAGGGTTCTTGCTGCCCCTACTGTCCCCATAGTGCACTCAGCTTGATATCTGCATATCTTCCTACACGTGTAAAGCACATCTGGTATATACCACAAAGATAAGATGTGGATCATATAGGTTTTGGCCTATGTTCTTTGGCTTCTAACTGCACAGAATCCATATGCAAATGTCATGAATATCAGCAGCCTGACATGATTTGGACACCAGCCACCCACTGTGCACAAAATATGAACATCTGCAAAGGGCTTTTCTACCTCTTAAATGAGACATATTGGTTCCGATCTATAAAATCCAGGAAGTGGAGCTCAATAAATGTGCCCCTATTTTGTGCGAACAACAGTAGCAGACTGCGGGGAAAATATGTTGTTCTACACATAGTGTTTGTTCTTTTCTTTCTTTCCCCTCTATAGAAGCTCTCTTGCTACTCAGCTTCTTTGTTCCCTGCCTTGCCGCTACCCACTGACTGTGCCTTCTTTGATTCCAGCACATACACCAGAAAAACTTCTCTTTTTCCTTCTCCCCTTTCCTGAATCACCACAGATTCACCTGCTTGGTGCTAACTACTATAGTTTACTGTCTCACAGCAGCTATTCTTTCTGCTCCATCAAACTGCCTCTCCATTGAGTATTGCTTTCTGACAAGGTTATTTATATTGTATGCCTACTGCACATGAATAATTTCAGTTCTATTTTATATGCCTAATACTGTGTTGCTATTCTAAATGTTTGCTAATACTAATCATAAAAAATACCCACTTGGAGGAAAAAGTGACAAAACAGATGCTGGCAAACTGATCAAAGGTTTTTGCATTTGACATTCGGATGACATTCAGCAGTACTGAACACCTACAGTCGCTTACAAGGGCTAAACAAGCAGAACAATGTCAGAAGCGGGGAGAGCATGCTTGGAACACTCTCCCAGGCCAACTTGCTCTCAAAACTAAGAAACCTTTCCAGTGCATGGCATATAATCATCATAATAACCATTACCATCACAGTCTCTTTAGTCAATTCTGAAGTTCTTGCAAATCATTGTTCTGTTGCCTAGTTTCTTTTCATACAAGGAACAGCACTAACAGCCATTTGCACTGTGTTGGTAAAAGGCGAACCCTACTGCTTTGATCAATGAAGTTGTATCCTAATATTTACTCATTATAGGCAATTATTGTTTTAAAAGGAAATAGAAAAATGAGCTTGAGTAAAATAATTGCTATCAAAAATGTCACCTGAAAATAGCTCCAATGCATCTACTCTCAGTAGGTTCTAATTGTAAATTGTAAACTGTTTCAAATATTGTATTTTAATATTGTAACCCCCTTGGGAACTTAAGAGTGAAGAGTGGGTAATAAACAACAACAACAACAACGCTAAAACTAGAGGTGACTAGGTGTGTGGGTAGCTTTCCTCCCCAGTGTTCATACACAAGAGACTACAAGTCTGTGTAGAGGAATGAGGAAATAGGAAATATAGCTCCTTAACCATTTCCATTCTGCTTTTTTCTATGCAAAACATTCCCTCTCTAAGCTGTGTTTCTCCCCATAGGGGAAAAGATACAGATACAGTACTGTATCTTTTATTTGCTAAAAATTGTTATTACAACTGTATCTCTTTCTCATTTTGTGGCACAGAATAATCCCCCCCCCCGTGCAATCAATAAAATGTGGCTTCTTGATAAATTCTAATTTTTAGAATACAAGATAAATAAGTCAGCAACTTCATATGACTAATGGCTGCTTGAATGCTTCAAAACAGATGTGTAAGACCTCTTAACTGACAATATGAAAACTGCAATAGCTCTGAGTGAATAAACAGTGGGAACACCGTGGACACTTATAGACCTGTAGCAATACTTTAACTTTGTTCTGGATTGCTGTAGCTTTGGAAAACTTTGTAATTGTTTTTGTTTCCTATTGTATCATATTATGGAAAAACAGGAATGCGTATTATGCTACCAATACCACAATGTTTTCTTTGTTAATGCTGCTTTAATTATTTTTACTTATCTTCTCCAATGACCCATCTGCCCTCACAGTTATTAATTTGGCACCTTTGTTATGACAAAACGAAGGTGTGCAGAAATCTTCAGATTTGAAAATTATGAATAATCCATGCTGCCCACAGAAGCCCTCCTGAAGAAAATGGATGTGACACAATCAGGTTGATTTCCTCTAGAACAGGGGTCAGCAAACTCTTTCAGCAGGAGGCCGGTCCACTGTCCCTCAGACCTTGTGGGGGGCCGGACTATATTTTCAGGGGGAAATGAACGAATTCCTATGCCCCACAAATAACCCAGAGATGCATTTTAAATAAAAGCACACATTCTACTCATGTAAAAACATGCTGATTCCCGGACTGTTCTCGGGCCAGATTTAGAAGGCGATTGGGCCAGATCCGGCCCCCGGGCCTTAGTTTGCCTACCCATGCTCTAGAACATTAGCACAGCGTTCCTTCCTTCTTGTTATTACTTTTTAAATTGAGTTAGCAATGTGGGCTGCAATCCTGTAGCACTTCTTATCTGGGACTAAGTTTCAGGACTTACTTCAGAGTAAACATGTACAGTACAGTTTTGAACTGTTATAAATCTATTTCACCATTGCTTGTCATTTAGTGTCACTAAGGGCATATTTACACTTAGGAAAATTATGTGCCCTACTGGCCAATATGATGAGCAGGGGGCAAGTGCAGATGACAGCAGACTTGCCAATTCTGGGTATTCTTTACTAACCCAACTCCAAAACTTTGGCAATGATAGTTGCTGAAATTGCTCTTTTAAGCATATGTCACAAGAGTTCAAGGTATTATCTCTGTAACTCTCATCTTAATTCAAAGTAAATCATGACTGTATCCGCTATAAACCCTCACACAATTTTTTGGGGAAATAGGCACTGAATGGTTATCAGCTGTTCCACATGTTCCGTAACATCTGCTTTGATACAAACAAAGCTTACTGTATGATCTTTCTCAAAAAAACTGTGCCACAGCTGGAAACATGTGAATGGAATTTTCTGATTTTTGGAGTGTCTCTATTCTTTTTTTTAAACCTAGACCAAAACTGTAAAATTTATTCCCTTTGCGTGGACAGGTGGAGTCCCTCCTAAGCCCAGACGACTCCCGAGCGGAATAACGACTCAAGACAACGTGCTATGGGATTAAAATTGGCCACAACTTTCATAGAATCATAGAATCATAGAATCATAGAGTTGGAAGAGACCACAAGGGCCATCGAGTCCAACCCCCTGACAAGCAGGAACACCTTTATTAAGTTTCAGATGTAGGGAGACCTTGGCTCAGGCATTGGGTGTTTATCCTTCCCAGTACCCAGCTGGGGATATGGGAGACTTCAGGGTTATCCAGAATGTGTGGGGATTGGGCTGGCTCTGGAGAACATATGTTCAAGCAGAGAGCCCACCCCCCATTTTGCCGCCGTCACAGAGGAGAACAATGACAACTTCTTGGCATATGGCCAATGCTTCCCCTCAAGACCCCTTTAAAGGGGAACCTTGGGATCACCGCTGCAAGGGGGGGCGTGGGTCACCGCTTCACCCCCCCCATTTAGGAAGATAGACTAAAGGATTCTGCCCAAGGCTCGAAACCACCAAAGTTGTGACGTTTTGCTACGGGGAAGGCAAAACCTGCCAATGCAGGAAAATTCCTTTCTGGCCCTTCAACAGCGACCCTGACATACCTGTGAAGAAGAGGTTAACCTGCAAAAGACAACTTAACTGAGGGAGGGGAGGGCGGGAGAAGCTCTGGAAAAGTGGTAAGATTCACCTTCCGTTGTGTGGGCAGGATGGTCCCTCTCCTTACCTGGCTAATCCCCTGGCTGAGGTAGGTGGCTGAGGTAGGTGGAGATCTCCAGGTATCCAGCCTGGGGAGGATGAAGCCAGCCTGAACTATCAGAAGTCGCACTGGGATACCGGGGGGGGGGGGGGCTGCTGCGCGCGACCACGCAAAGGGCAACCCCATTTGATGTGGGAGTGGTCATTACTGAGGTCCTTCATTCAAGCAGCTGATCCATAGGTATGCCAATCTTAACAACCATGAATTGCAAATAAAGAAGCATTCTGCCACCTTCTCCCTGTCCTTACCGTACCTGCTGTTCTGGGTTGTTCTCTTTAGCCCCTGAAAGCCAATGGGGGGGGGCATAAAGGGCACACAGAGGAGGACATGAAGTCTTTGCTTGGGCTTACACTGACAAGACTCATTAGTTGAAATCATCCCTTAGATCTTGAGACTGCAATCACCCATATACTGATAACCAAATAACCAACTATAGTTTCTTTTATATAAGCATAATCCTAATATTATACATTATAGGAACTAACAGTCTCACTGAAATTGTCCTGTTTGGGACATGCATACTAAATAGGATTTATTTTCCCATGATATAAAGCAAATATGCAACCTTACTATTAGAAAAGATACTGTAAATTATTCCGCTTATCAAAGTCCTTACGAAACAACTTATTTTCCTTGTACTGCATAAGAAATATGTTAATTTTTCATCTTCTAATGATGACTGGAATGTACAATCAGCAGGAAAGTAATCTGCTTTTTTCTTTTTTAAAAAATACAAACCTCATGTATTAACTTAATGGATTCCAACTATTTATTTCAAGGAGCAAGCAGTAAGCCTTTTAAATACTTTATGAGGAGGATTCTTCCTTGAGCCATTGCTTTTGGTAGCACCCATTTACAAGAGGCTTTAAGAAGGAGCTTTGTATGCACAGCATCCATTACTTTTATTTAATAATTTACGAGGAACACAAGGATAAGATTTCACTCTCTTTTTCTATTGTTAGCTATTTTTGGTAATGAAATTACACAGTGAGGCATTTCCTACTTTTTAGCCATTGCTATTATGAGCAACTTTTAATTTGCTTTCCTCTTATTTTGTGCTGGTGCCACGGGGAAGGGCCATAGCTCAGTGGTGAAGCATCTGTTTCGCATGCCGAGGGACTAGGGTTCAATCCCCAACATCTCCAGGCAGGGCTGTGAGAGACCCCTGTCTGAAACCATGGAGATCTACAGCCAGCCGGTGTGAGCAACACTCAGCTGGATGGACTAATAATTTGATTCGGTAAAAGGCAGCATCCTGTTCTTAATCTGAAGACATAAAATATTGAGTTCATTTTATTAAGCATAGGTAGCGGAGAATGAATATCACACACACACACATGTGTTCAAGGGGCTATTTCTATTAAGAGGAAAGTCAATTTATACTTGAAATATTGCCATGCCACAGTACAAAATAATAAATCTATTGTAACTGCTTCTGCTAATAACTTACACTGCTGTAATTGATGCTAAAATCAACACTAATAACTGTGTCAACTTTAAGAATAATGAACAATGCAATAGTGAAGATTCCCTCCCCCCAGTCTCTCATAAGTTACCCAGACTCCCCTACTTTTATATTTAATTAAATACAAGTTAGGACCCATACATCAGTTTGGGATGTCCAGTACCCACAAACACACACAGCTGTGCTCTGGGTGGGGCTCTGAAGGCTCAGGGTTCCTGGCACATAGTGCTGGAACAACATCCTTGCACCCGGCTTTCCTTTTGATGTAGCAGTATACTGTACAACACCTCTCACCCCACACCTTTGTTCTGACTTTCACCAGTTTCTGGAATTTGCCTCTGTTGCCCTTGTGTTTTGACTTTTGAACGCCACCAGATGTAGCTTTTTGTCTTGCCTCAGTAGACTTGAAACTGAAGCAGCACAAGGAGTTGTTCCAGCGATTATCAAATACAGTTTTAAAATGTCCCTTCTATTCTCAATTTACGTCCTCTACAATAAAATTTCTTCTATTCACGGAAACATGGGGAATGCAATTCTTTTTTCAGAAGCAATGCTGAGGTGTTGGGGCACAATGATAGATTATATGTCAATATTATCAGCAGAAAAAGCTGTGATAATCCATCTCAGGGAGTTTTGTTTTTTAATATGATCTTCTCTGTTAATGCATAATCTGCTTCTTAAATTCACACATATATCTCAGATCCAATTCAAATATTAACTCCAGAAGAGGTTAGATGATAGTGGCTCCATAGGAAGGGCTAGTGGGAGGGAAATGTTTTTAATCTTTTGACCCCGTGGAATGCCCATATTGTGTGAAAAATTCACACCTGTTGACCATATTGCAGATATGACAATAGTGAAGAGCTTTCCCCTCAGTGAGAGGAAAGATCCATGTAGTAAGCATTACAAACGTTGTAGTGGACTCACCTTCATACAGTGCAGGGACCTTCATGAGTGAGTAATAATTGAAAGGGAAGAACATTTCAAATAACTCAAGCCCCTGCTATGATGAATTACCATCACCATGACTATCGCAGCCAGCCTGCTTCACATCAACCAACACAATCCAGGCATTTAGCAATGATGTACAAAAAGGAACAATAATTTTAATGCCTTGATGAAGGTTTACAAAACCGCCCCCCCATTGAAAAACCTTGTAAAGGGCTGTGGAGTAGTGTGAACTGGCCCTGCCTCTGAAGTGCCTGCTGCTGTGCCACTTGCTGATCATGGATATAGCACCTGTGCGCACAGTTGAACACAGTGGCATACGGTTCTTCTATGTGATGGGAATCATGGCAAGGGCAGACCTTGGTAATACGACGCCACATGCAAGGTAAAAATCGGACAACCTCTAGCAGGGGTGCCAACTTGAATAAAATATTGTGGGGGCCCAGGAAAGCCCCGCCCCACATAATTGATCACATGATGCAGTGCGTACACACCATTTGAATGGGAATGCCCAGCAACTTTGTGGGGGCCCAGTTCCCTCAAATATACTATTGTAGGGGCAGATGCCCCCACAGCCCCTAAGAGTTGGCTCCTATGCCTCCTAGTCCTCGTGCTGGCTTTCCAAAACCGGGTAAGGGAGGTGCCGGGCTTTGGGAAGGAGGTGGAAGTGTCCTTGAGCCCCCCTGCCTCCTTTCCAAAGCTGGACAAGCACTTACTAGGCTTTGGGAAGGAAATGGGAAGACACTCCCTTGGCCCCTGCACCCAGTATGGGGGAACTTGTTGCATTGACTTAAATCTGCCTCTGATCATGGGCCAGTCAGGAACCACTCTCACGTAGGAGCACTACATTCATATGACCCTTTCTCATGGTCGCCAAATATGTAAGCTGGTGGTCATACCCAGTGAGCATATCAGTGGGGCCAGGGCGAATAGACCACATCAGCTCTCCTCACTCTATCAAAATACGTGTCAATTTAATTAGGAAGCCTTTTAGTAAAAGTTGCAAAGGGTATACAATAAGAGCACAAAAAAATCACAAAATAAAGAGTGACCATCTTCAGATTACCAGAAACAAGAGCCAATCCATGCAATTCACATACATATTAGAAAACAAAGCTGAGTCCTTGACAAGTCCTTCAGGCTCTAATTAGTTGGAAAAGTAGTATCCTTTCCACCTGCCTCATTTTCAAGTGCATTCATTTCAAAGTGACTTCTATTAACAAATGAACTTAAGGGCTAGGTCAGTACAGTGTTTTTAAAGTTCCTAGGCTCACTCATTTATTGATCTTTATTGAAATAAAGGTATTCATTTAAGGCAATCAAGCAAAGAAAGCTATTTTGGGCAAATGATTGGGCTGGTTGACTAACTCCCTGATTTTGCCCTCAGTTCAGACTAAATTCAGCAATATAATTGTGTCCAGAGAATACTTAAAGTGAAATGTATAAATCAGATGACTTCCAATACAATAGCCAATCAGCTCATCAAATATATAAGGAATGAGTTTACAAAAAAGAAAAAGAAGAAAATGATTATTTTGAAAAGTGCAGGTTTGTCATAAATTCTTTTAAAAAGCTAAAGCACCACATAGCACAATATCAGACAATTATGGCTGATTGTTGAACACTATTGTATTTCCTGATGATCACTACTTTTATATAAAAAACTCCACAACCCTCTACTTGTATACAAAACCTAATTTACATAGCAAGACGTAAATTATGTATTTTTCAAAAGAGGCAAAAACAATGTTAGATGACAGCTAACAGTTATTATGTATTATAATATAATTCCAGTGCAGCCACAGAGGGGCAGTCAAAGGCAACGAATGTCATCCATTCCAAGATACCAAAAAGACAAAGTTCAGAGCAAATTTTTTTTTTAGCCCACACAGGTTTCCTGCTGAGACTAGTACACACTTTGTTTCAGTATCTACAAAGTTAAATCGGTTATATCTGTGGAAGATTTGTCTGAACAAATAGATCTAAACCTGTTGGCCACAATTCAACAGAGAGCTAGGCCCACGGAGTGTGTAAGCTGAGCAGAAAGCAAGCTGGAAGCTGGACATAGAAACATGCTTGATCTGTGTGGGATCCTAAATTGTGATTAATAGAGCAGCAAGTTTTGTTGTGGTGTTAATGTGAGCACCTCCGTCTTGTGTTCAGGTTATATATATTTGTAAATAAAACCATATATCCTAAAGACACCAGAGTCTACACTGACCTTCATTCCAAGGAAGCTGAACCCTGGGCAAGCACCATGAACCCTTGTATCCTCTCACTGCTCAGAGATCAGGCTAGCATGCAACAATATTAAACACTCACAAAATAATAGAAATAAAAAATTCACAGAAGCAGACAGAGCAACTATTTCCTCCAACCTCAACATGCCAAAATAAAAAGAGACGTTTTCAACTGATGTCTAAAGGACATAAACAAGAGGGGCAAATATATATTTGACCAGAGGGAGTTCCATAGTCAAGTTCCATAGTCATCATTGAGAAGGCCCTACAACATGCCACTACAGAATGCACAGTGGTTACAGACAGAACTATCAGCATGGCCTCCCTGACAAATGTCAGGGTATGGACCAGCTAATACTGGGAGAGGCACTCCTTCAGGTACCAGGGACCCAGGCTGTGTAGGGCTTTCTGCACCACAACTCGGCCTGGCAGCAAACAAGTCAGCTGATCCACTTCTCTCAGGAGTGGTTTTTCACACTCTTACTTAGCTCTGTCAACGAGTAACTAGGAAGCTGCATTCTGCACAAGCTACAACCTCTGGATCATATTAGTTTTATTATTTATTAAATTTCTATCCTGCCCTTTACAGGTTTACAAGATAAAAACACTAGAATACTTAATGTAGTAACAAACAAAAACAACAACCACCCCCACCAACAGCCCTACTTGGCGTGAATTGCAGTGGTCTAAATGGCTGGTTACCAGAGTGTATAGCATTTTTGTAATGGTATTCTGGTGTAGGAAAGGCTTTAGCCAGCAAACTACCCACAGCTGGAAATACGTACTTCTTGTCATCGAGGCTACCTGAGCCTTCAGAGACAATGTTGGCAGCACCTCCTGGCTATGAACCTGTTCCTTCAGGAGGAATACAGCCCCATTCAGAATTGGCTTCCTCATCAACTCCCAGACCCAAGACCCACCCACCAATAGTGCTTCCATCTTGTAAGGATTCAGCCTCAGCTTATTGGCCTTATTTACCCCATTACAGCACCTGAACAGCCTCTCTTGATTCAGATGGAATGGAGAGATAGCGTTTTGTTCAATCATGGAATATGGGTACAGCAGAAAGAGGGAGTAAATATTTCTTACCTTAAAATTCAAGATAGCTGTGAGATAGCATTCCCACAGTGATTTAAAAGTAAAAATAAAAGGCTAGTAATAGCATGTTTGTTAACTAATATATTAATCTGCGCGCTAACATCCATAGCTTTTAATTTATTTCTATGTGTGGAAATCATGTCATTGTCATACATCTCTGTAAGGCCGTGTTTAATTTTATTCAGTGATAATAAAATTCAGATTTTGGTCAATTAATCAGTATCTGGGAAACTTATATTTACCCACCTGCTTGGTAAGCCAGTTGTAATTGTTAAACAATTATTTATTTTTCTCTATTGGGCTCTAGTGACAATCTCTATTATCTCTGCATGTGTCTTGGCCCGTGGGACAGAACTCTGTGAAGATAATCACTAAAATATTGACTTACTCTGCATTATGAATTAGCATATACATTTCTCATAATTCAGCTCTATATAAAATATAGATTCTAACTTTGCTCTATAAATCTTAATAGCAGGAACAATTATTCTGCTGCTGTTTTGGTTTTTAAAATTATTCCTATGGTCAGTTTGCTTTCAGTGTTACCAGTGTGCTTACTATGTTTCTAATCGATCATATGCATTTACTACCTCATCAATATTGGTGTGCCAGCATTACTTATTTTTAGTTATCCCCTGACCTAAAGAAAGTTTGCAGGTATCAGTTACTAGATCAGGAATCAAGGATTTAAACTAACTGTGTCCCATTGCCTCAGCTTCAATTCACCATTGCCATGCATCCTGATTCGCATTCCAGTACAACTAGTCATACAAAACAACAGGTGTGGTGATCTCCAGGTTAATTAAATTATTAATCTTTACAGTTTTCTGTGTGTTCTCATTTTTATTATTTAATGTGGGACTGAACCGTGTAGAACCAGGTACTTGGTCAAACATCTTTGTGGAGGGACCTTACTGTGAATGGCAAGCATAAGTTTGAAGAAGGTCAGCAGCAATAAGAAAAATGATTGCAGATGTTTGATACTGGGGATCAGTTTACACTATAAGTTCTGCATATCATTTTAGTATGCAACCGTATCAAAGGACACATACACACTACATTTTTAAAGCACATCCAAAGCATGTTTTTCCTTTCAAAGAATTCTAGTATTTAAGGGTTTCTGGGAATCATAGAATCATAGAGTTGGAAGAGACCACAAGGGCCATCGAGTCCAACCCCCTGCCAAGCAGGAAACACCATCAGAGCACTCCTGACATATGGTTGTCAAGCCTCTGCTTAAGGACCTCCAAAGAAGGAGACTCCACCACACTCCTTGGCAGCAAATTCCACTGTCGAACAGCTCTTACTGTCAGGAAGTTCTTCCTAATATTTAGGTGGAATCTTCTTTCTTGTAGTTTGGATCCATTGCTCCGTGTCCGCTTCTCTGGAGCAGCAGAAAACAACCTTTCTCCCTCCTCTATGTGACATCCTTTTATATATTTGAACATGGCTATCATATCACCCCTTAACCTCCTCTTCTCCAGGCTAAACATGCCCAGCTCCCTTAGCCGTTCCTCATAAGGCATCGTTTCCAAGCCTTTGACCATTTTGTTTGCCCTCCTCTGGACACGTTCCAGTTTGTCAGTGTCCTTCTTGAACTGTGGTGCCCAGAACTGGACACAGTACTCCAGGTGAGGTCTGACCAGAGCAGAATACAGTGGCACTATTACGTCCCTTGATCTAGATGCTATACTCCTATTGATGCAGCCCAGAACTGCATTGGCTTTTTAGCTGCCGCGTCACACTGTTGGCTCATGTCAAGTTTGTGGTCAACCAAGACTCCTAGATCCTTTTCACATGTACTGCTCTCAAGCCAGGTGTCCCCATCTTGTATTTGTGCCTCTCATTTTTTTTGCCCAAGTGCAATACTTTACATTTCTCCCTGTTAAAATTCATCTTGTTTGTTTTGGCTCAGTTCTCTAATCTGTCAAGGTCGTTTTGAAGTGTGATCCTGTCCTCTGGGGTGTTAGCCACCCCTCCCAGTTTGGTGTCATCTGCAAATTTGATCAGGATGCCCTTGAGTCCATCATCCAAGTCGTTGATAAAGATGTTGAATAAGACCGGGCCCAAGACAGAACCCTGTGGCACCCCACTAGTCACTCTTCTCCAGGATGAAGAGGAACCATTGATGAGCACCCTTTGGGTTCGGTCAGTCAGCCAGTTACAAATCCACTGAGTGGTAGCATAGTCAAGACCGCATTTTACCAGCTTCTTTACAAGAATATCATGGGGCACCTTGTCAAATGCCTTGCTGAAATCAAGGTAGGCTACATCCACTGCATTCCCTTCATCTACCAGGCTTGTAATTCTGTCAAAAACGAGATCAGGTTAGTCTGACATGACTTATTTTTCAGAAATCCATGCTGACTATTGGTGATCACAGCATTCCTTTCTAGGTGCTCACAGACTGTTTGCTTAATGATCTGCTCCAGAATCTTCCCTGGTATTGATGTCAGACTGACTGGGCGGTAATTATTTGGGTCCTCCCTTTTTTCTCCTTTTTGAAAATAGGGACAACATTTGCCCTCCTCCAGTCTGCCAGGACTTCGCCTGTTCTCCAGGAATTCTCAAAGATGACTGCCAGTGGTTCTGAGATCACATCTGCTAGTTCTTTTAATACTCTTGGATGCAGTTCATCTGGCCCTGGAGACTTGAATACATCTAAACTAGCCAAGTATTCTTGTACTATCTCCTTAGTTATTCTGGGCTGTGTTTTCTCTGCTGAATCATTTGCTCCAAATTCTTCAGGTCGGGCATTGTTTTCTTTATCGGAGAAGACTGAGGCAAAGAAGGCATTGAGGAGTTCAGCCCTTTCTGTGTCCCCTGTTTGCATTTCACCATCTTCTCCTCTGAGTGACCCCACTGTTTCTTTGTTCTTCCTTTTGCTACGAACATACCCATAAAAGCCTTTTTTCTTGCTTTTAACCTCTCTAGCAAGCCTGAGTTCATTCTGTGCTTTAGCTTTTCTGACTTTGTGTCTCCACGTGCTGGCTATTTGTTTGAATTCCTCTTTGGTGGTTTCCCCCCTTTTCCATTTTTTGTACACATCCTTATTTAATCTTAACTCAGTTAAAAGTTCTTTAGATAGCCACCCTGGCTTCTTTAGGCACCTTCCATGTTTCCATCTCATTGGTATTGCCTGAAGTTGTGCTTTTACTATCTCCCTCTTAACAAACTCCCAGCCATCATGAACTCCCTTTCCTTTTAGTATTACTGTCCATGGGATCTCACCCAGCACTTCCCTAAGTTTTATGAAGTTGGCTTTCTTAAAGTCAAGAAATTGAGTCCTAGTATGCTTGGCTGCTCCTTTCCGCTGTATAGTAAACTTCAGAAGAGCATGATCACTCGCGCCTAATGATCCTTCCACTTCTACCCCCACTAACCAGGTCATCAACATTGGTTAGGACCAGATCTAAAATGGCAGTTCCTCTTGTTGCTTCTCCCACTTTCTGGACAATGAAGTTGTCTGCAAGGCCAGTGAGGAATCTGTTTGACCTTATGCTCTTGGCTGAGTTTGACATCCAACAAATATCCGGGTAATTGAAGTCCCCCATTACTACTATCTCCCTTCCTTTTGCATGCTTGGCCATCTGTTCCAGGAAGGCATCATCTATGTCCTCCATTATCATTGTTAGGCCGAATTGCTGTGATAAAAATGAATGTGTTGCCAAGGATGTTGTTTTTGTTTCAAACATTGCAAATTTTGGATAAGATGGATTGTTTCAAGAAGTGGCAGAAAGATATTTCCAGATTTGTTTGGCAGGGCAAGAAGCCTCGAATAAAATTTAAGATATTAACCGATGCCAAAGAAAGAGGTGGATTTGCCCTGCCAGATCTTAAACTTTATTATGAATCAGCTGCTTTTTGCTGGCTGAGAGAATGGCTGCTTCTTGAAAACACTGACGTGTTGGATCTAGAAGGTTTCAGTAATGCATTTGGCTGGCATGCATATTTGTGGTACGATAAGGTAAGAGCACATAAAGCGTTTAAAAATCATATTGTTAGAAAAGCATTGTTTAATGTTTGGATAAGATATAAGGATTTGTTAGAAAAGAAAACCCCAAGATGGTTGTCACCAATGGAAGCGAAGGCACAGAAAAAACTCAATATGGAGGCCAAATGGCTGAAATATTGGGAAATTCTGGCTCAAGATGGAGACAGAATAAAATTGCAGAGTTTTGAAAAATTGAAAAACAAAGTGCGAGATTGGCTCCATTATTACCAAATAATGGAGGCATACAATTTGGACAAAAAACTTGGTTTCCAGGTGGAAAAATCAAAATTGGAAACAGAATTGTTAGATCCAAAAATCAAGAATTTGTCAAGAATGTATAACTTGCTGTTGAAATGGAACACTCAGGATGAAATGGTGAAATCAGCTATGATTAAATGGGCACAAGATGTTGGACATAACATAATGATGGCCGACTGGGAACAGTTATGGACCACAGGTATGAAATTCACGGCATGTAATGCCCTAAGAGAAAATTTAATGAAAATGATTTATAGGTGGTACATGACACCAGTCAAGCTTGCAAAAATTTACCATTTGCCCGACAATAAATGTTGGAAATGTAATGAGACTGAAGGTACATTCTTTCACCTTTGGTGGACATGCCCAAGGATTAAGACATTCTGGGAGATGATTTATAATGAAATGAAAAAGGTATTCAAATATACCTTCCTGAAGAAACCAGAGGCCTTTCTCCTGGGCATGGTCGGCCAATTGGTGCCAAAAAAGTATAGAATTTTTTTTTATGTATGCAACAACAGCAGCAAGAATACTCATCGCGAAGTATTGGAAGATACAAGATTTACCCACCCGGGAAGAATGGCAGATGAAGTTGATGGACTATATGGAACTGGCGGAAATGACTGGCAGAATCCGAGACCAGGGAGAAGAGTCGGTGGAAGAAGACTGGAAAAAGTTTAAAGACTATTTACAGAAATACTGTAAAATTAATGAATGTTAGAAAAATGTTGGAATGAAGTTATATGGCTTTAGTAGAAATGTTATAAGGAATTAAGTATAAATAGATTAATAGAGTATTAAAGGAAAAAATAAGGTTAGAATGTGTTAAGATAATTATAGGATAGAAAACAGAGGAAGATGGAAAGGAATTGCTGAAAGAATTAACAGAAGTGGAATACAAAAAGGGAGGTGTGAGGAGGTCGTGGAAATAAGGGAATGAAAGATAAGATACTGAAATTGTTTGATGTGTTTTAAACTGTTTTTTCTTTGTTTTGTTAGTTTAATGTGTTAGTGTTATGTAGTGTTTTTGTATTGTATTGTATTGTTTTTGTAGTGTTTAAACTGCTGGAAAAGTAATAAATATTATTTTCATCTATGTCCTCCATTTGGCTTGGGGATCTATAGTAAACTCCCACAATGAGGTCACTGTTATTCTTCTTATTCTTATTCACTGTTATTCTTATTCTTATATCGTAACTCTGTGAGGGGTAAACTACAGTGCCCAGAATTATTTGAAGGAAATAATGTGCTTTAAAGGTACATATAGTGCATACACAGCAAAAGACTCATTGGTTTGGTGTTCTATACATGCGGCAGATGCTTGCAAAAGCAGTTCTGGCAGTGACTATATTAGTATTTATAGAATGCTAGACAGGAAGGTTAATAATGAACATTATTCTAAATTAATATAAATTAATTATAAATTATAAATTAATATAACATTATTCTAAATTAATATAAGTTCATCAAAATAAAAATTAGTGAGAGGTTAAGCCCAGCCTTGGAGATCATTCCGCTGCATCACAGCTGCAATCCTATACACATCCTATACACATTTACCTGGAAGTAAGTCCCACTTACTTCGTGCTCTGGTTCAAGGAGTTACAAAGAGTCGGACACAACTAAACGACTAAACAACAAAAGTCCCACTGAACTCAAAGGGGCTTACTAGAGTAAACACGAATAGGATTGTACTGCATATTACATTTTCAATGCGGCAGGAAAAGACCCAGTACAGAAACTATATGGCAGGGGTGTCAAATCTGTGGCCTTCCAGATATTGCTGATTAAAACCTGAATCATCTGTGGTCACTGGCCATGCTTCTGGGGTTGATACTAGTTGTAATTCAGAAACATCTGGAAGGCCACAGATTTGACACCCTTGCTTTATAGAAAGACTAGCTGGGAAATCAGGCAAGTTGGAAAAGAAAAGCGACCATCTCATTAATGCTCACATAGAGCACAGTGAAATGATGGATTTGTAAACATGTTAATCTGCTGTTAACATAAAACTGTCATTCTGAATACTTAGATGCAGTATGTGGTAGGTTGTACATTGAATTAAAAAGCTTGCAAGAAAGTGCAACTGAGCTTTTGACAATGATCCAGTAGTGGCTGTTAAGTACTGATAGGAGAAATCAGGATTGCTCCCCAAAAAGCCAATTTCGGTACTTGTTCTAAAGGGAATCATCAACATATGGCAGGGAGTGGGTATGTATGAGCAACTTCTATTCTGCATGCAATATAATAGGCTACAGCTATATTTCCAATTCACAGATCCTTCTCTACTTTTTCAAGAATCATGTGAATCAGACTACAGTGGTACCTCGGGTTACATACACTTCAGGTTACACACTCCGCTAACCCAGAAATATCACCTCATGTTAAGAACTTTGCTTCAGGATAAGAACAGAAATTGGGCTCCGGCGGCGCGGCAGCAGCAGGAGGCCCCATTAGCTAAAGTGGTGCTTCAGGTTAAGAACAGTTTCAGGTTAAGAATGGACCTCCGGAACGAATTAAGTACTTAACCCGAGGTACCACTGTATGTGTTTACCACGACATGACATGCTATGTCATACATTTGGGAGGAAACACATATAGATAATTTGGATAACATACTGTATGCAAATTTAATTTTTAAAAAGCAAAAGAAATGTTTGCTGCATTATTGCACCAGAGAACACCAAGTTTGGTGACAATGTGAGCCAGCCATTATTCATCTTCTTTGTAGATGAAACAAACACTGTGACAGAGGAAATTAATCTACTTCTTAGAATGCAGGAATTTTGATAAACTATGAAAGGTTCAAGAACTTATATTCTCTATGTATTGATAAGGGTTTCTTTCTGTTCATAAAATAGACATGGCATTGTGTTTGTGGCTGTTGTCCTGGCAACTTCCAGTATACATTAACAGTGTTTTGATGGGGAAAAACATATTCGTCAGTTATCTTGGATGTTTCCTTATCCATTCCTGACACACAAGTGCCCCAGGTAAAATGTTACTAGCTTGTCTTTCTCTTTTGTTTTAATATTCTAAAACAAGTCTTGCCTTCAGTGATATCAGGCAGAGAATTATCTCTTATTTCCATAAAACTCAATATGAGGTCCATAAACACTTTCTGGTTTCTAAAGAAACAGAACAAATATTAGCAGTTAACCCACCAAATGGAGCCAATGTGTATGGAAATATGACTAGAAAGATAGGCTACATCCAAGTCCTTCCTTTCTCAGTTCTGAACTGGGCTATCTTGCAGCGCGTCTCCTTCCTTAGATATCTGCTTTCTCTATGGTTGTTATCTTTTATTCTGCATCGGCTCCTACAGCTTTAGAAACAGCATGACGGGGGAAATGTAACAGATGAAGTTTTTCCAGTTTCTGCATCTCTATGCTGGGAAAAGTTGCCTTTCAGGCAGCTTTTTAAAGGCATGCAGCAGCCTTTTTTTAAAAAACAACAACAACCTACAACACACCCACCCTAATGGCAGTGCTTTAAATCAAGCACTTTCTAACCTGCTCCGGAACTCTTATTAGATTAAAAACAAGTTCATAGGTTGTAATAAGCAAAAATTATGGCTTGAGAGATCTTGTGCAGTTTTGTTTTTTTTTAAAGGAGAAGTTATGATTACTTTCTAATTTTACACTGCTTATATGTGATTAGGCCTCTTCTGTGAGCAGATATTTGTATTTATTATAACTGAACAGGCTCTAAGGAGTTTGAAGAATGTGTGGTTGATGCAAAGCATTTAAAAACACAGCACTTGCAGCATGGCCAATATTGCAATTTAGAGGTTGCAGTTTTCAAAAACAAATAGTGTGGATTGATAATGAGAGTGACTATTAATCCACTAGTTGATTGGGCATTTGGGGGAGGTGTCTTACAGGTAACAGTTCTCCAAACACAAAGTGTGTACACATGCAGGCATAGAGTGCATTCGCTGCCTTCCACAGGCAATTATTTTTGGACAGTGTACACATAGTTGTCTTCATAGTGTTGGTATATTGTTCTTTTGAAAGCGCCTTTTGGTAGAACAGTTCCAAACCATCTTACATTGTACAATGTATTCTGCAGTGCCTCTTGCCTTGCCTGGAAACTTGAGGGTGCCTTCTCTGGGAACCTCCTGTTCCCTGCATGCCCTGCTTGCCCAGGGCAGGCAGACCCTGAGCATATCATACCACAAGTGCCTTGCAATAAAACAGACACTGAAGTCAGTAACTAGCCATGTGTAGCACCAGAACAGGCAGCCTTAAAGTGCCTTGCCAAAAGAAAAGAGGCATGTAGTCATGTTGCCCCCTTTATACCTGTATTGCCCTAAAAGGTTCCCCATTGATTTCAACGGGATCCAGATCGGATCTGAGTGCACAACAGGCATGCAGCTCTGTGTTCTCTATTGAAGTTAAATAGAAAAGCCCCTGAAGGTTGGGAGAGCCCACATGTCTATAAGGAACAGATAAATTCCCTATGCTGCTGTATTCAGTTATGCATTTATCCCATAGAAATGAGCAAGGCTTCAGAATCTAAAACATAGGGTTACAGAGCACCTTGGAATATACTGTTACAAAGGCGAAACGCCAATCCCCAACCTCAGCTGAGCAGTAGCAAGATTCTAGAGGGGTTCCAGGCACTCATCCTGGGGTCATGTTTCCGCTGAGAATCAAGATGAGGTGGAGGCTGTTGTGGCTTTACGAAATATGATTTACTCACATATTTTATTTATACCTGGATTTATATGGAGGGAGTTCAGATCTTACAGCATAGTCATCTCAAGAGAGACTTGTTCCCCACAGCAGTGCAGCACTCAAGTCCAAGGCATCTCTCCAGCCTCCCTTCAGCCAGTCTGCCAAGATGGTTCTGGTCTTCTCTTTCCCCACACACCCCTGCTTGGATCTGCCCAGGCTCAAGGATTCCTCTTGGATGTTGGTCATCAACACCTTTTGACATGTTAATGCCTCTATCCCAGGTGAGGCCCTGGCCTAGAAAGAAAGCTTAGCCTGTATTGTTCCAGTGGCCTGGAATCTTCCCTTTAATACTCCAAATATTACATAGATTCTGACAGTCATTAATTTCTTGGGTTTAGGGGGTTTCCCTCCCCCAAACTTATATCACCATGACCATTCTTGGTACTACAGTTCTAACGAAACAAATGAAATTTTCATACACAGTATAGGTATGGATTATAAACCTAGTTGCAGGTTGCTTGGGAATGCTAAAGTGAGTTTCCATTAAAATGCATCCATGACCTAGACCAGTTTTCTACAGTACTGCATGCCTTCATATAAAAAAATGAAGGAACAACATTACATAAGTTATTAGGTAATATTCCAACAAATAGAACCAAGGTGAATCGAAGGGAAAATTTGAATTACCAAACTGATGCATGAACGACATCATGCTCAGGTAATTCCTTATTTCCAAATTTAAAAGATATCTGAAATAAACCTAATCATGACTAAATAATGGATGCACAAGAGTTTCACTGCTTAGTTATTGTGGTGACTCTAGGATATGAAATAATAATATCTAGATAGTAAGTTTATGTAGTTCAAAAATAAAATTCCAATTATCACAGATAAATTCAGGTTATGGGGAACTCTGGCCCTAGAAAATGAAAAGAGCAAAATAAAATTGGCTAGATGGGAGTAGGGACCTTCTTCGGATGTACTTTCGTGATAAAGAAAATGGCATTTGAAACATCCCATTTTGCAGTAAAGATAACAAGTCACAAACATAGCTTAATACAAGAAGCATCCAATCTAAACATTATCGAGACAGAAGTTAAGAATTACTGTAAAAAGAAAATGAGAAATACAAATCTTGCATCAATTGTCTTTTTGTATGAGAAATAAAAAGAAACTTACACTTGTTGTATAAGCTGCTTCAGGGTCATCCTCTAATACCCGCGATAATCCAAAATCAGAGACTTTACACATGAGATTACTGTTGACCAAAATATTCCGAGCTGCCAAGTCTCTATGTACATAGCCCATATCTGAGAGGTATTTCATGCCAGAAGCAATTCCACGTAGCATGCCAACTAGCTGGATAACTGTGAAGTGGCCATCATGCTTCTGCAAGGAAGGTAGATTGTCAGCTCCAAGAACATTTACATTTTCAAGTTTAACTCAACTTTCTTCAGTTTACATTGGCAAATGCCTAACCACAATTTGCTAATCCAGGCACACCTCCCCATATATCGTATATACTCAAGTATAAGCTGACTTTTTCAGCACATTTTTTATGCTGAAAAAGCGCCCCCCCCCAGTTTATACTCTGCCGCCTTTGCCTCTGTTGTCGTCGGAACGAGCAGCCCAAAAGCAGCTCTTTTGGGCTGCTTGTTCTTCCTCTGCCGCTGCTGCCACCACCAGGTTTGTGGTGTGGTGAACCAGCTTATACTCAAGTCAATACATTTTCCCAGTTTTTGTGATAAAATTAGGTGCCTCGGCTTATATTTGGGTTGACTTATACTCTAGTATATACGGTAATTTATTTAATTATCCCCATTGGCTTTTGGGTCTTTGACCTTTTTTCACATTTGTAGCATTTCCTACAATGGAGTGCCACCACTGAGATGGCCCGTTCTCTGGTACCTACTTCCTACACCTAAAATGGTGGCAGTACCTTCAGTAGGCCCTCCATTCATGTGTGGGTAGGTACATATGGAGACAGACAGTCTTACAAGAACTGTGGTCCTAAACCGTGAAGGACTTACATCACCATTTCACTGTAATTCCCCTAGCCTTCACAGTTAAGTCTGATGTGCTCCTCTTTTTAGAGCCAGACAATGGACCAGTCCACAATATTTACAGCTCAATGTCTAGCAACCAGTTCCAAAGTAATGATAGACATATCTGTTATATAAACAAGCTCTTACAAATTACACTACTATGTCTGTCAAATAAGATTGTGGTAACACATGAATGAAAATGCTATGTGCTAAATTAGTAGCTATCTCTTGCCTAATCCTGTGACAACAATCTTTAATTAAAGATGAATACTGAGGAAATTAGAGGAAAAAATCCTAAGAATAGATACACTCTTCTCCAAGGTTAGCTACTTAGAAAGTCTCTATGGAAATAATGTAGAAAAGATAACCCAAATAAGAAATATTAGCTCTTCATATTACTAATCCATTTTTGGACAGAAAAGTCCTGGCTCAAGAACTGCCTTCAAAAGTACTTCAAATAAAATCATGACTTTAAGATTGGATAATCAGTAAAAAAAAAAAATTATGTTTATATCCTTTTGCCCGCAAAACCCACAATCTTAGGCCACTTAACACATTACAGCAACAGATGGCAATGGTGGTTTTTTTTTAAACTACTAGTTTAAAAATTTAAGTAACAGGTATACATATATGTAAGCCTGGCACAATACTCTGCATTTTCTAACTTTTAGATGCAGTTAATTTTATATTTTATAATATTACAAAATATGCTTTAAGAAAAAGTCTGGGGTTGCTAGCATTGGGAAGCTACAGCCTTTACTGAAGTTGTTCTAGCACAGGCTTCCTCAACCTCGGCCCTCCAGATGTTTTTGGCCTACAATTCCCATGATCCCTAGCTAGCAGGACCAGTGGTCAGGGATGATGGGAATTGTAGTCTCAAAACATCTGGAGGGCTGAGGTTGAGGAAGCCTCTTCTAGCATATAGATGTATGTATATTATGCAGACAGGAGTGCCTGGCGTGCTCTGGTCCATGGGGTCACGTAGAGTCGGACACGACTAAACAACAACAACAAGATTATGCTATATGGATTGCTGAAATTCTGATTGGAAATTTGTTCTTACAAGCCAGTTACCCATCAGCCCCTCTTTTTTTGAAGCTTAAAAACTGAATTATTGTGTGCTGTCGTAATCAGCACTCAAGCCTGATTGTTATTGTACAATTTGAAGTGTATTTCATCAATTAACTTTTCCTGCTTTTGATGTTATGTCACTTCATTCTCATCTTTGATATCATTTGTGTATGTTATATATATATATATTCAATACCAATTTGTTACTCTAATTATGTGGTGGGGAACCTGTTGCTCTCCATGAGCTGTTGCACTATAATTCCCATCATCTCTGATTATTGACCATTCTGGCTAGGGCTGATGAGAACTGGAGTCCAATGACATCTGGAGAACTATAGATGTCCCATCCTTGCTCTAGGGCAGTGGTGTCCAAACTTTTTTCAAAGAGGGCCAGATTTGATGAAGTGAAGGACTGTGGGGGCCAAACAAAGTGCCGACCAAAGCTGTTGACCTTTTTTTAGGATTTACCCCTGGAAATAAACTGCCACAGGGGCTGGATTAAACTGACCGACAGGCCAGATTTGGCCCTCGAAACGGACTTTGGACATGCCTACTCTAGGGGCTCTCCTTCTGCCTCCTTTTTCTGTCCTGTTTGAAAGGCAGGTTACAGCTCTGAGAGGAACATTTACCATGTGATTTCAGAAATCCGACAAAAGTTATGGAAAAAATGTGAACAATCCATACTGGAAATACAAAGAGGGGTTTTTTTTTGTCAGGAATGAGGGAAGTGGCTCCGTGCAACCCTAAGCACATCTACTATGGAGTGATTGGGACACAATGAGACTTCTGAGTAAAGGTTCATATGATTTTGCTGTAAGTTAAAATACACATTTTGAAGACCATGGTGGCTATTTAACTAAGTCATAGGCACAATGTCACCAACAGAAACATATTTCATACATAAATTATTGGAGGACAAATGCACAGATTAATAAGGAAGAGAGAGAATACACTTTCTGAAGTTTCTGTAATATACCCAGCAGCTGAAACACTTCTCCTTCCCATTTAAGATGGTTGGCAAGGGAACTTAAAGTGACTCACAGTATGAAGACTCAGGAGTGCAGACAGTTTAAACAGCAATTTTAACACAGTAGGCATTTTTCTTTCACTTGAACAAATAATAATTCTTCAGATCTTACTACTGACTTCTTAACTACAGTTTCAGACATGCCAATAACAAGTAGTTCAAATTAATTACTTGGCATGGTGCAAATATTTTTATTTCTTATTTTTGTTTATTTAAACAATTTATATATTGCTTAACTACTATGGCTTCCAAGTGGTGTACAAGAGATAAAATACAGAAAAGGTAAAAATCGGCTAAAACTATAAAACCAGTCTTCTATTCAAATGGCTGCTGGAATTAAAAAATGGCATGTTTTCACTTAGTCGATGCAGCTGCTTTAATCCAGTGTGCAAGTAAATTTACGTCTTGTGATGCTTCTCTATTTTTTCTCCCTGCATCAGGACCATATTCAGGTCTCACTGGGTCTCCAGGTCCTTTCTGGTATAAAGCTGAATTCCAGGAAGTAAAATTTATTAATTTTTACATTTTGATATTAAAAAAATGCTACATGGATATAATTTAGGAAGGGTATTATTGTCTGTCATTACTGAAAATCTCTATCAGTAATAAACAAACAAATCAACACCAATTTTGTAGAAGGAAGCAAGTAAAATTATAGATCATACAGATTCCTTTTGGGGTATTTATAAATTGGAATGCACTTACGAGGAGTGAAATGCTGCCATCTGGCAAAGTTGCAGAAACGTTTATCTATCTTATAAGGTTATTTATATAATTTTTGAGCTGTAAACAAACTTACAATTCATATGCTGCTTTTAGGCCCCAAATGGCTTCTAATAAAATCAATTTAAATACAAAAAAAGAAGCAGAACCAAACACAGCTTGATCCACAGGGGAGTTAGGCATTTTAAACTAAAAACTTAAGTGAAATTATGGGAAAGGTGGTAGCTCAGTTGGTATGGGTAGCACTGAGCTAGATGGACCAGTAAGGCATTTTCCTCGGTTCCTAAAGAAAAAAGGTCTTGCCTAAAGCTTGCCTAAAGTGAGAGGGAGTGAGCTGCACAACCCGTCAATACAACAGAAGGGCCTGTTTCCAAGCCTCTGGGGGTGCAGTTGAGATATTGTACATAGAGAGCGGCAGATTTCCTGATCCATAACCATTGAGGCCTTGGCAGTTAAGAACCAGCACTTTAAATGAGTCTGGAAATGAACCGGAAGCCAATGCAGATGAAACAAAATCACAATAGTATGCTCTGAAAAACGGGCTTCAGATTTCAATGTAGCCATTGCATTTTGCACCGGCTAACATTTTCAGACACTTTTAACAGTAGCCCCATGTGTTCCAGTGATCCAGTCTAGGTGTGACTGAGACATATGTGGTAGTCAGATCTGTTTTATCCAAGAAAGGGAGCAGCTGCCATATTAACTGAAACTGTGCAAAAGCATTCCTGGCCACAGCTGCTACGTCAGCATTCCGAAGCAAAGCCAGTCCCAGGAATAAACCCAATGTGTGCAGGGACAAGACAGAGCTACGAAAGAGATTATTGGCCAACTGGACATAGTATAGGGCTGAACAGCAACCTCCCTTCCGCAGCACTACCTCATGGGATACGCATGTCAGATAGGAGTGAGGATACAATACCGCTTTGAGGATATGGTAGCTTTCAAAGGTCAAAGAAAGGATTATAGAATGTGTCCTTCAACTTAAGAAAATTCAGACTGCTTCTTGTCTTTTCTTGACCATAAGCAAGACAGTCATAATTTAGTAATATATTTCTAAACAAGTACTTTAAAACGTTCTTTGCCACATTCTTGTCACTCCAAACCTCTATGATTATTGCTACTCCATAACATTTGAAATATATCTTTTCCCCATCTTCAAGTACTTCAGCATTTCACACTTGCCTATAGCGTGTGATTTTATCCTGTCCTTATTCCATATGTTCTGCTTCTAAGTGATGCCTTTATTTCTCACACACTTGACTTTCCAGATCATGTCATGCTACACCCACACTAATCTGTAAACAACGTAGTCTGCAAGCTTCTCAATACAGTGGTACCTCGGGTTACATACGCTTCAGGTTACATACTCCGCTAACCCAGAAATAGTGCTTCAGGTTAAGAACTTTGCTTCAGGATGAGAACAGAAATCATGCCCCGTGGCACGGCGGCAGCGGGAGGCCCCATTAGCTAAAGTGGTGCTTCAGGTTAAGAACAGTTTCAGGTTAAGTACGGACCTCCGGAATGAATTAAGTACTTAACCTGAGGTACCACTGTACTATTTTCTGTGCTACCTTTATTCCCTCAATATCTTTCAATAGTGCAGTTTTCCTTTTGGCTGTTTTTGCGTCAGATAATTATCTGTTATGGCAGGGATGCACGTCCCACACTCAAAGGTCACATTTCCTCTGCTTGGGGGCTGGGACAATATTTTTAGTCTCTCACACAACTGTGACTATAAATTGCCTTCAAAGAACATCTTCCCCACTAATAAAAATACTAGTGTTGACTTCAGAACAAGGTTTAATAAGTGTGGGCAAGAGCTGACTTCCAGACTAGATAAAGGAAAGGTTGCACATTCTTACAGAAGCTGGCAGAGAAGACAACTGTCAAATGTCTTGGCTGTGGAGTTATTACTGAGCATGTATCTACAACAGGCATGTCCAACAGGTAGATTGCGATCTACTGGTAGATTGTGGGGGTGTTCCAGGTAGATCGCAGGATCTCCGGGGTGCTCCTGATCGATTCCCCTGAAAAGCGCAACAACTCTGGGGCACCCTCTGCAAAATATCAAAATGACCACCCCTTCCCAAAAAAAGATCAACAACTCTTGTCAATTACAATGGGTAGATCTCTGCCAGTTTTTAAATAGTGGGAGTAGATCGCTGTCTCTTAGGAGTTGGACGTGCCTGATCTACAAATACAAGTCAATGGAACTGTACAAGGCTCAAAAAATATATTCTGCAGCAGGGTTCCAACGGCTCAGTAGCAGAGCATCTGCATGAAAAAAGTGAGGCGGGGAATGTTCCCTCTCTGAAATACTAGAAAGCAGCTACCAGACAGTATTGACAATACTGAGTTAGATGGATCAATGGCCTTACTCAGTATAAAGCAGCTTCCTATGTCCCTAAGTAATTGAACCTATAGAAACTATGGAATTAATCAAAATTACTTTCAAATGGCATAAATAATCATACAGTTTACTATATTGCATATTTTTTTTCTGGATTCTGCAACTCATGCATGGGGATAAACAGTAAATGAAGCTGTGGTGTCCCAACTACTGGAAATCTTATTCAGCAAACTATGTGGGTTCAGATGTTTCAGCAGGTATTGCCCACCACTTTCAGTTATATTTATGAAGCCATAAGGGCTAGAATCTTGCTTTTTGAAAAAAGTAAGACGTCCAGGATTCTTCGGCAGTTGAATTCTGTCCCTGCTGCCACATTCTGATTCCCCTCTACACATCTCCACATACAGCATACACACAGCCCTAATTTAAAACCACTTTAAAAAGACAGGTGCCACAATTTATTAGGCCTCAACTACCACAGGCCTTGATTCTCTCACAGCCCTACATCCTGATGTTCCTCAGACATTAACTGTGATCCTGTAACAACTCATACAGCTTTTCTTCATATACTTGACTCTCTATGCAAATAAACTCAGAATAGATACACATCTTGATATAGATATCCTCTGGCTATTACCTCTTCTTTTTTGTTTTATTTGTCTCAAGAGGGAAGATGCAATTTCCCCCAAGTATTTAAGTGATTCAGGGTTGTTATCTAGGGCTTATTCCGACTCTCAGGGGTTAACACAAGAAGTACTTTTGATACAATTCCCAGTTGGCTGCTGAGGATGTTTATCAGCCTCTGTAACAATTCAAACCAGAGTGAATTTATCCAGAGCACTGTTCCATCAAATTCTAAACAGTCTTTAATAGCTTTGCCAAATAAACTATCCTTGACAGCCAAAAGTATATCTAATGCCTGGCTGGTTGCACATTTATGCTGCCCATCCAATGCACATGAGAGAAATTGTTTTATATTCAGCATCTGATGCCGTTTGCAAAACTTGACTCAAGAAATATTCCAGTCCAGTTACAGAACACTGCATAAAGTATTATGGGCAACAAATCAAGCTTCCCCAGTGGAAGCTGTTCCTTCTGCAGCAGAACTTTGCTCTTAAAGTGTTCCAGAGAAGAAACCATTTTACACCCAAAAAACAAAATCTGACTCAGACCTGCAAGTCCCACTTCAATCTTTAATTATAGAAAATCAGAAGTGCATAATGTTCACACTTCCACAGCCTATACTTTGATTTATGTATTCATTGCCTTTAACTGTGAGAACTGAACCATGGGTGTGGGGAACAAAGTTTCTTGCAGAATAACATAATGGAACATAAAGACATGAATACTGATACTTAACTGACACCAATCCCTTTTTAATTATGAAAATACCTGGGCAAGTTCATACCTTTGCTTAGGATACATTTGGAATGGTTAATTAAGATGTTATTGGGAATGTTTTATTTATTCAAAGTACCCTTCTACACAAGGTGGTACAATTATCAACTGGATCACCTGAGGCTGCAGGTGGGGCAATTTTTAAAATATTTACCCATATAAAAAACTCCTTGTAGGGCAACACCTACTCATCAGGGGAAAGGATTTTCATGTATCCTCTCTGCCTGATGTGCTAGTTTCCTACATAAAGGAAGCTTTTTATGTGTTCATTTAAAAATATGAAGTCCTACCAGCAGAGTCTGAAGCAATGCAGCCCAAAATTCTACCATTTGATGTGGATATGTAGGGCAGCTTTCTGTGCATTCAAAATATGGTGGTGTAGAAATGCCTTGAAATATTAGGGGAAGATGAAAAGTTTTGTGTCATGTTTCCAGGAGGCTATTACAGAGGGAGGGATGGGACAGCAATGCTTTCCCAATGTTTTCCCAATGGAAACAGACCAAACCAAACACCACTCAATTCCACCAGGGTCACCTCCTGCCCACTTCTCATCTAGCAGCAGCCATCCCATCAGTTTAGCTGAAAGACCAGTAACCTTTGTCTCTTTCTCTCCTTGAACTCTTATCATTCCTGCTGGTCTCTATATGAACATTGCCACTAAGTGCCTGTCCACACTTCCACTTGTTCCATGCCTAGAAAGAATGGGTCTAAGAGGTTTTACACTTGTTCTAGACACAGATTAGAGTGGTTTTTCATTTGCCCCAACACCTTCTCTGAGAAAATCCACTGTTGATCGCTGAGTTAGAACAAACATCAATCTGCAGAAAAACCGATTGGTGTTTGTTCCAATTCAGTGGTAAACAGCAGGTTAATCTGGGGGAAAGTTGAGGAAAAAAGCAAAAGTGTGGATAGGCCCCAGTAAATAGTGCCTGAGTCATTCTCAGCCCCCTTTCCTTTTGTATCATGCCGTTTAGACCGTGAGCTGAAGGCAGGTATTGTCTGATTCCTCTTCTGGAAGCCTTTTCTCAGCTTGAAGGACGGGGTGAAAATATTGTAAATATAAATAAACAAACAGTGGTAGTAACCCATGCTATGGCTTATCCCTTGACCACTTGCCAGACGAGTGATGCACGAGCCCTAGTGTAGGCTTTTCTCATGTGCCCTGACTCCTGGAGCTTCTAATGTTGCTCCAGAGCTGTGGGAAGAACCACTGCTGCCATTGTGCCCACACCACAGGATAATATTAGAAGGAATCCACACAAAACAGAGATAGAAGAAGCTGCACCCCTGCTCATGTGGAGAAAGGAATGTTGTCTACATGTCAACAGGGCTGTCTCTGCTTCAGGAAGACCAGGAGAGAGCTCATATATTACTCTCTAAGCTATAAACTTGCTCAGTGTTCAAACTGATCACTACACAGAACATGTTAAAGTTAGGACAAAACAACAAAAAATGTCATTGACCTGCACAAATGTATCTTGATTCTCAGTATTTGACTGGAGTTTTTTAAAAAAAGGCTGATGGTAGAACACCCTCACCCACTGCTCATCCTGAAATAGCTGTGTAGCAAATTTCCAAAGGCTGAAAGGCTGCTGGACCAAGTTTTTGTACATGTTTTTAAAACAAATACTTTTCCCGTAATAGTTTGATTTCCAGACTCTGCTTATTCAATCAGGCCTCCAGCCTGGATTGGCACCATTAAAGAAAAGATCAATCAATACTTTGCTCAGTACAATAGCAACTGCGGTAGAGAATTTACTTTTTCCAGAACATCCACATCTACTCTATAGAGTTAAAGAACATCTAAACTAGGCTTGCCTGCACAGCTTGTGACCAATAAAGCCAACCAGCTGTGTATTGTTGCTCCCCTCCTGCCTTCTAGTTTAGTCCTCTACCTGGGACTGAAAAACAAGAGTATTGGCAAACAACTAGCATGCTGACCCTGGCTTGTGTCATGACATTTAACTTATGCCATGTGATAGTGTCTGCATTTGGGGTTTTAAATCATGCATGAGAGAGAGCATACTATCCACACTTATTTTAACTAAATTTTGCATTATGGTTAATAACGGACCTTCAGAACGAATTAAGTTCATAACCAAAGGTACCACTGTATTAATGTTTTAATGCTCTGACTTAGTATAATTGGATATATATGCCATCTATGGTTTACTCCTATATGTGAATTGAATTAAACGGGACTTTCCCAGCCGCTTTTAGCTATTTCTTCCTTTAGGTCCTGATTTCACATAATTTATTGACTAATCTTCGGCCAACAGCAGTCCCAGGGTTTGGCTGCCTATATTGGGACCAAGCCCCTCACACCAGGTCTAGCCGGATTGGCCAGGATTAAAAAATAAGCCAGTGGTGAGAAAGCCCATCAATCTTCAGTTGCCGGCCTAGGAATTCCCCATGATTGGCCACCTAGCGCCCCCCCGGCATTGCTCCTCGGGGGGGGGGGGGAGCCCACAATGGGCCGCAACAGCTGCCCACCCTGTGACCGGGTAAGCTGCCATTTAGTATAATTGTGGCAATAAGCCTTTATTCAATGAGAAGCCAGCTGGTGCAGAATTCGGCAGGCAGGTTATTCACCTGGGCAAGAGAGTTTGAGCTGTGGTATGCCCTGAGATCTACAGATTCAGGGTGGTATACACATTTAATAAATAATAATATAAGAGACATGTCCTTTGTAACAACTCAGTTGTTTATAATTGTTAGCTGAAAACACAGTTATCTCTAGTAGTGTAAAAGACACTGAGCCATGTAATGTGAAACATCACAAACTGGCAAAGCTTATCAAATACAGGAGATAGAGAATAATCCTGAAGCAACAACTAAAAAATGTGTAAGATAACTGTTAAGAAAATATCATCTCAGAGGGATGGTGATGTACCAGAATACGAATTTGGAGAGGAAGTATTTGTCAAATCACTATTCAGGTCCCTCATGTAACAGGAACACATGTATGCAAAATAAGTAAAACAAGTAAATAAAATGGGGAGGTTTCGTTCCGCAGCGGAAGAAGCCGATTGGGTGGCTGGGGTGGGGCCAGTTGCCCATGGGGGCGGGGCCACTCATCCACGGGGGCACCGAGGAGTCTGCCTGCCTCCTTCCACTCAGCTGTCCTACAGCTGAGGGGGAGGCAATGGGCTGACTGTTTGGAGCACAGTGGAGCCTGCGGGCGCTCATGCCACCACATAATTCCCAGGAGAAACATGTGGCTTGGGTGCACTGCAGGCCCCACGGTGAGTGCCGCCCACCATTTTGTCACCTCCTCAGTGGGACACCCGAGGCAGCCCACACCTACCACACACCCCTTGCTACGCCCCTGGTTTCATTCTACAACTTTGTTGCAAAGCCTGCTAAAGATGGCATGTGTGCATGCTGCATGAGAGTGAGAGAGCGAGCAAGAATGAGAACAAGCTCATTTTTAGCATCTTTTACAGCAGACAAATAAAGATGGGAGCTATTAAACTTTGCAGAGTCATGTGGGTCTCCTCCACCCAAAATGAACTCTGACTGGAGAGGATATGTTAGATGGATTTATAGCACACACTTTATGACTTCATTTTATGGAACTCTTGTCTCCTTTCCCAACATTATTTAACATGAGCTTCTGCTGCAGCATCTAACCTCTAACTGACAGAAAGGATAAGGTTAATGGCAAGGCTGTACTGGGAATTATATAATGGCTGCTTCTTCAAAGAGCAATATATCCTGACATTTCTTTCCCACAGAAAATATTTTTCACTTCCCTCCCTTGGCCTATTTTGGACTTGCCTTTAGGAATTTAAGTTTGGTAATACGTTTTGGTCTTTTACTCTGCTGTATTGTCTTTTGTTAATGTACCACAGAAATGAAACAAAACTTATTATGGTGCTTTACACTACTAAGTTCTGAAGTACATGTCAACAATAAAAGGAGTACTTCTGCAACAATCTGTTATTTTACCCAAATGCAATAAAGTTTTCTGGATTTATACCTTGATATAAAACAGCCGCAGTGCCCCTTTAAAAACCAGAACACGCTGTACACAAATAGTAAACATTAGTAATACAATTCTTAAAGTGACAGAACCTTTGCTTTTTTATTAATTTGCACAAAAATAATTAGAAATATTGAGACTTCGGATTTTTTTGTATTATATAGTAGTAGTATAGTACAGAGGGGGTTACTGTTGTGTTGCTTCTGTTTTGGCTATTTATTAGTGCTTTTATCTTGTGATTTTTCCTTGTGGACTGACCTGAGATCTTTTGATGAATGGAAGTTTATAAATCTAATAAATAATAATAATGATATATGCAGTACATATCTTTTGTTTTAAATACTAAAATCAGATAATATCATAATCTAGAAGAATGGAAAAAGTGTCTGCTAAGCTGTGTTGCCAGGTCACCTCCATTTTGTCCCCATGTTTCCATTTTCTGTATCTATCTTTCCTGTAACTACCTAGATGCAAGATCTAGTAGTGACTAAGGCACTAAGCAAAGGTTGTGATTGTAAGACAGTTATATTAAAACATTTAGTAATCCTTTTATTGGCTGCCACACACTTGCCATCGTACAGAAATGGAAATCGCCATAGGGCACCTGTAGCAACGCAACCAGAAGTCTTCATCTGCCTCACCTGCAATAAAACATATATCTCCCATACTGGTCTCTACAGCCACAGCAGGTGCTGTAACTCCCATTGCCTCCTGATACAGATGGGTGCCAGCAACAACTTGAACCTTATGCTTTGGTATGAGTGCTTGAAATATTGCTGTTCTGGAAAATGTTACCCTCTGTGTTGGACCATTGCAAGGCATAGCTACGCCAGATACTTTTTATGCTGTCTAGGGCAATTTGGTTTTGTGCAAGAACTAACACCGCTTACAACAGTAACCTATACCATCTTCCAGTGTGATCTGAGTTAACTTTTATTTTGTCCCAGGATACAATATGCGATGTATACCATCCTTTGTCCCTATGATTCCCTCTCTTATTTGTGTAATGCTGTTTAAAAAGACTACTCTTCCTCTGGGTTAGGACATACTAAGATACACTAAAAATATTTGGAACATACAATCCCGTTAGGCAACTCTGTGCAAATGACTTTCTTGGCCATAGTGAGTTGGACTATGATGCTTTAGTAAAATATAAGGCTGGTTCACATAAGCAACATCAAATGACAAACTGCACGTAGGAATTATCATAAATTTAACACTTTAGATAAAGTTTTCATATCACCAAACAACACTTCGAACACAACACTTTTCTTGAGGCTAATCCATACATTTAGCTGCCATTCCTCAATGACTAATCATATGATGTACACACATGTGTGAAACAACCCATTATTTATAACCACCTTTATGCCTAAACACTTTGTAAACACATCCATCCATAATGCTAGCAAAAATCATTTGTGTCATGATGTGGCAACTGATAACATCATATATATGTAATTCCATAGGCCTAGATGTTGGTATGTCCTATTCTAAGCACAGGGAAAACATCACAAATAGGCAATGAAATAACCTTGATAGGTTTCTGCTCAGCTCCCCACACATGTCCATACAGAGCGCTGATCCAAGCCATGCAGTCTGTCAGGCAGAACGAATTAAATGATTCACTACACACACACACACACACACACACACTCCATTTGCTGATAAACTACTTGGTACATTCTGCCTCAAGCAAGTCAGACAAGATGGCTTCTTCCAACGACTGCCAGGATTCAGGAAGAAGGTTCAAAGCAGTCTATCAAAAAAGTGGCCAAAGCATTTTCTCTTAACCCACGGTGCATATTCTCAGAGCCAGCCCTACTATTAGGGGGAAATGAGACACCTGCCACAGGCAGCCAATGCTAGAGGCAGCAGTCCCCAAATAGTTCCTCCTGATCCCTCTTGGCTATTCCATCTGCTGGGGGATAATGCTGGGTCTCTCATGCGGACTGCCTTAATCCTTCAGTCCAATGCCAAAGGACTGAGAAATAAACGTGTCTTAATAATGGTGTTGTGTTCAACGTTGTGTGAGCAGAAGGTAGGCCATGCAGTGGACCGCTGTTTTCCCCTCATGCTTCTGCTTTCCCCTGTTCAGCTGAAATTTATTCAAGATGGCCACGATGACCTACTGAACATTGTGTTTTATGGGGTTGCAGTGGGGAGAAGGTTGTCTGAAATCAGACAGAGGAATAATTTTTTATTTTTTAAAAAATGTGAGTCCACAGTCCTAAATTTACTTGGATTTAAATGTTATTGTAATCATTGTTACTTATAAGTCAACATGCTCAGTAGCAGGGAGTTAATAAAGTTAAATAAACTTCGCTCTAGACATATGGGTCAATATGAGAGGCACACCTTCCCTTCTGAATGTACTTTGTCTCTTCATCCATCCAACCAACCAAGTATTTTCTCCTCTGATACTTCCATTGCCCAGGCTCTTGCACATGGTACAACAAATCTTAGGATCAACGTATTATAGTATTATTCCTTTACTTCTAAATATAATAAGGATGTGAGCATCCCTGGAACTTTAAAGCCCCAAATATGAGCTGCTGAAAAAAACATAAATCAGATCTGGTGTAATTTGGATTTACATGGGAATATGTGGAACAATTGCCACATCTAATGCCATTATAGATTAACCTCCCAAAATCAGCTAATGCTGTCATGCTCATAATATTCTGGTGAACAATAATGATTTATTTGTAGAAATTATGGCATAGAAGCTTGAAATGTTGAAGAGTGTTCTTCACATTCTGGATTTTTATCTTTTAGCTCTAGCTTTTTTATATATTTCTATAAAAGTGCTCAAAGCTACAAAAAAGGCATTATTACATATGAAGAAATATGGGCTTTGTGAAGTCCTTTGAGATCACTAGATAAAAACCCCTTGTAAATTTAACCTTTTATGATGGTTTAGAGACACACTTATATAGTACTTTTTGTACTCTCACAAAGGTATTTCAAAGTTTACTCTTCAAGTAACTAGAAAGAAATCACATTTTTAAAAGAAGTAAACAGATTTCTTTTAAAATCTAGAGCTTTCAGTCTTTTGATCTGCTGAGTATTAATGTTACTGAGATTAAATATCTACATTCCTTTCAGAATGCATGTAACCTAAAAACCGTATCAATAGACATTGAACTAATAAACCACAACTGAGAAAAGGAAAGCATATAACTAAGGGAAACAATTAATGTGACTGAGAGGTTAATGCTTATTATTGTACCACTGCTTTCTCATGACTCTACCCTTTTCCTAATACAAAAATAAATGTCATATTTTAGAAGCAGACATAAGGAAGGCAATGTAGTAAAGAAATCTTGCTATGTGCTGAATATACCTATTTAGAGTGAAATGAGATACAAACCCTTCAACCTTCTGTCATAAAAAAGGGATGAACAGAAGGTAGAAGCATTTGGTATTAGTAAAGATAAAGTAGCAACATGATTTGCAAAAAGTTTATCTACGAGTCTGTTTACAAAATGAACAGTACTATTAAATCCGATCCAGCCTCATATTTTGCCATTATCTCTCTGCCCTTCCAACCACCTATATAATCCAATATATTAAACACTAGGAATTCTTTTGTCATTTCTTCTTTTTGTTATGTAACTCTGGTTTTTGTCTCATAGGCCCCAGTTCTTCAGTGCTTCACAGTGAGGCTTCATAAATGATTTTAGGCACTCATCTTTCTTTCTTTCTTTCTTTCTTTCTTTCTTTCTTTCTTTCTTTGTCAAGCTGCCTCTGTGCCCTTTCTGCTTCACTATAGTCACCTTGCTTTGCTGCTTACTCATTTTTCCCCACCAATATTTTCAAATGGTATTTCATGCCAGCTAATCTGTATTAAATGCACATTATGAATTATTGTACATGTCTTCGATATGTTTTTCTTCTTCAAAAATTAGTTAAGTTCTACCGATTATACAGGGCTGCGGGTGGCGCTGTGGGTTAAACCACAGAGCCTAGGACTTGCCGATCAGAAGGTCGGCGGTTTGAATCCCCGTGATGGGGTGAGCTCCCGGAGAAGTCCCAGCTCCTGCCCACCTAGCAGTTCAAAAGCACGTCAAAGTGCAAGTAGATAAATAGGTACCACTCTGGCGGGAAGGTAAACGGCATTTCCGTGTGCTGCTCTGGTTCACCAGAAGTGGCTTAGTCCTGCTGGCCACATGACCCGGAAGCCATACGCCGGCTCCCTCGGCCAATAAAGCAAGATGAGCACTGCAACCCCAGAGTCGGTCAAGACTGGACCTAATGGTCAGGGGTCCCTTTACCTTTACATTACCGATTATACAGCAAGGCTAATGTTATCTTGTGGATATTTGCAAGTGTGTAATGATGAGTACTTTATAAAAATACAATATAAAAAAGAAAAATACCTAAGAAAAATAAGAGCAAAACCAAACCAATAATCCCCCCCTCCCACAACACTTTTTTAAAAAGAGTATCAGATGTTAGTCAGCCAAAGGCCAGGTTGAAAAGTAATGTTTTCTCCTGGCATCTAAAGGTGTATAATGAAGGTGCCAGCTGAACCTCCCCGGGGAGAACATTCACAAAGGGGGAGCCACTGCAGAAATGCCTATTATCGTGTTGCCACCCTCTGGACCTCTTGTGGAGGAGGCATGCGAAGAAGGGTCTCAGACGATGAGCTCAGGGTCTGTGTAGGTTCATATGGAGAGAGGTAGTCCTTGAGGTATTGTGGTCCTGAGCCATTTTTAAGGCTTTATAGGTCAAAAGCAGCACTTTGAATTGGACTTAGAAACTATTTGGCTACCAGTGCAGTCAGGCCAGGATTAGTGACAGGACCAGGGCAGAACCATCTTACCCTGGTGAGCAATATGGCTGCCAAATGCTGCACCAGCACAAATTTCAGGATTGTCTTCACAGGCAGCCCTACTTATAACATGTTACAGTAGTGTAACCTAGAGGTTACCAGAGTATAGACAACAGTAGTTAGGCTGTGCCTGTCCAGCTGGGGCACCAGCTGAAGCTGATGGAAGGCACTCTGTGCCACTGAAGCCACTTGAGCCTCAAGCAACAGCAAAGAATCCAGAAGTACCTGCATACCTGCTCAGTGAGCACACAGTTCCATCTAGCCTTATAATGTTTCTCCTGAGCCCCACAGCAGTTCTCCTCTGTTGGAGCTTTATATGTCCCAAGGCATGTCCTGGTCTTCTTAAACTACCGTATTTTTCGCACCATAGGGCGCACCTGACCATAGGGCGCACCTAGTTTTTAGAGGAGGAAAACACACACAAAAATATTCTGAATCAAATGTTGCACTAAACTATTTAAAGCAGCAAAGCGGGCGGCTCCTGTCCATTTGCTGCTTTAAATCGAGCCTCAGAGGAGGGTAGGAAGGGGAACCATGGCTTATCTAAGTCCAGTTAATAATGCTGAGCCTGACTTATGGCCATCGAGATTAGCCTGGCCGTCTCAGTGGAAATCTGGGGAGGCTGGGGTGGACATTCCAGTGGTCAAAGTGTGGTTGTGTCTTCCTGCCCGGCATCTATTTCCTGCCCTCTTTCTCCCCTGCGCCCCCGCACCCTGCTTCCAGGGAAGGAAGCGGAGCCATGGATCCTCTGCTCGCAACTGCAGTGGATTCCATCCAATTTGAAGCAGGAAAGTGGGAGAGGAGCTGCTCACACGAGTGTAAGCTGCTCCCTCCCACTTTGCTGCTTCAAAGGGAGCCCAGGAGGAGGGAATCCTCTGCAGCCGCAAGCAGAGGATCCATGGTCCCCTTCCTTCCCTCCTCCGTAGTTGCTTTGAAGCAGGAAAGTGGGAGAGGAGCTGCTTACACAAGTGTAAGCTGCTCCCCTCCCACTTTGCTGTTTCAAAGGGAGCCTGGGAGGAGGGAATCCGCTGCCTTCGCTAGCAGAGGATCCATGGTCCCCTTCCTTCCCTCCTCCGTAGTTGCTTTGAAGCAGGAAAGTGGGAGAGGAGCTGCTTACAGGAGTGTAAGCTGCTCCCCTCCCACTTTGCTGCTTCAAAGGGAGCCCAGGAGGAGGGAATCCGCTGCATGGATCCCCTTCCTTCCCTCCTTCTGGTTGCTTTGAAGCAGGAAAGTGGGAGAGGAGCTGCTTACACGCGTGTAAGCTGCTCCCCTCCCACTTTGCTGCTTCAAAGCAACCAGGAGGAGGGAATCCGCTGCAGCCACGAGCAGCGGAGGATCCATGGTCCCCTTCTTTCCCTCCTCCGTGGTTGCTTTGAAGCAGGAAGGTGGGAGAGGAGCTGCTTACACGAGTGTAAGCTGCTCCCTCCCACTTTGCTGCTTCAAAGGGAGCTGGGGAGGAGGGAATCCGCTGCAGCTTCCCCCACCTCCCGGAGAGCCCGCAGAAGCCGCCAGCTCTTTAAAGGGGCTGCGCGGCTTCTCCTGGCTTTTCTGGGAGGTGGGGGGGATTCCACCACCTCCCGCAAAACCGGCAGAAGCCGCCAGCTCTTTAAAGGGGCTGCGCGGCTTCTCCTGGCTTTTCTGGGAGGTGGGAGAAGGGACTGATGCAGCCAGTCAGTCCCTTCTCCCTCCTGGGGAAAAGCCCGCAAGAGCGCACGAAGCTTGCGTGCGGCTCTTGGGGGCTTTTCCCGCCTGCCTCCCCCTTGCATTTGCTCCATAGGACGCACACACATTTTCCCTTGCTTTTTAGGAGGGAAAAAGTGCGTCCTGTAGAGCGAAAAATACGGTAACCTGCTGCCTAAACTGTGGGGAAAGACATCATCCTGTTGCCAGTGTTGAAGTAAGATTCAGCTGCCAGTTCAGGCAGCTTCTGTAAGTGAAGTGGGAGAGTGGGCCTCAGACAGCAAAATGTCTTGCGGCCACTCTGTGCCATTCCCTATCCACGCTTTTGACATTTATTTAGATCCAGCAACTGAACTTAAGTGGAATACTGTTATAGTCAAGCCACTTCAGTAGTTCCTAATTCAATTTGTTAAATGCAATTAGCCATAAATAATTATAAATCAGCTACTAAACCTGTGCTATACTCCCGTAAGCCAAAAACAAAACTCAACGAAGAAATATTTTTAAATGACTGAGCAAAATGAACAGCTGCCATATGGCAAGGCATTTGCATTTCAATTTATCTTTTTGTTCATAATAACACCATTTGAAATACATTTTGCTAAATATGGGGACTGAACTTGTAGAAGAAATCAATTATATTCTTAAGTCTAAATCTTCTCCTTTTCTGGCTATGCTCTAATGTATCACTGTACCTAAGAAATGCACCCTGGGGAAAACACTTCTCCAACTAAAAATCCATGAATAACATTATGCAAAAATTAATTTGTGATAAATGATTCAAAATCTTTACTTAGAATGGTTTTTATTCATATTTCTTGTGAAAATAACAGCTCACCCGTAGAAAGGAGTCAAGGGATCCATTCTCCATGTATTCAACCACAATCATTACTGGTCTGCCTGCAAAGACAGCAAAGGAATGTGTTAGGATTATAGGTATATTAAGGGTTTGTTATAGTTCCAGCTGTTAGGGAAAGATTTTTTGCATTAGTAAAATATGTTGCTCATTTCCCAGTCCTCCTCTGTAGCAAAAATGTTTCTCATTGTTCTATTATTTCTGAGTAGTTTCTTGGTCATGTTGCTGGATTTACCAAAGGCATTATAATATTTTTGGTTTTTTATTTAAATGGCTGAAATCATAATCTATTATTTATAGCCCATGCTATTCTTGGTGGATACAACCCTGTGCACTCAAAACAGTGCTGAGGAGAGGGGGTGTTACTAAGCTATGAATACGACCCTTTTCCCTTAGACTAGAATATATAATTAACATTTGATGTTTGTGACAAGAACATCCAAGTCATTCTAGTACTAATTTACTTTCTGTATTTACTTGACAAGCCTTTTACTGTTTGTGTTCAGGAGTAAGCCATCACTCTAAAACTACCTAGAAGAAATAACCCAATTTGCATGCTAATCAGGGTATTCCATCAGATGTTATTTAGATAATGCTAATAATACAAAGGCGTGAATAATATATGCAGAAATACTGTAATGAATCATCTTGCATGCAAGACAGGAAAGAATATAATAAAACAACAAACACATTTTGTGCGAATGCCTGTATTGGTTCCATTTGTAACAAATACCAGATAAAATGATAGAATGAATAAAGAAACACAGGGACTTGAGAAGAACCTTGTCTACATCTTGCCTGTTATTATTTTTCATTCTTTCTCCTGCCAACATAGCATAATCAGATAGATAGCATAATCAGAACTGCACACAATAGTCATGATGCAACTCTCCTGAAGACTAACAAAATGGCTTTATAATACTTTCAGCAATTTCTGTCTGTTAAACTTTCTTTGGACAGAAATTCATGGATGAACAAATGGGCACCCAGTTGGAACTAGTGGACATGCATGCAATGAAACGGACAAAAATAATTTAAGACATTGTGAATATGAAAGGAGAGACCAGTTCAAACCACCTATCTGCAGTGCTGGATAGGGCAGAAGTATCCCTCCACTCAGCTTGTCCTCTGCCACCAGGGGAGCTCCACTGTTGGCAAAGAAGCTCTTCTAGTGAGTGCCCTATGTGCCAGCCCAAATAGCAGTAGCCAGCAGACAGGCCCCAAAACAGGGATTTTTGGTGGTGTGTGTGAGAGAGAGGGCAGAGCTGGGCTGGCACAGGCATTGCTGTATCCTGCAGCAGCCTTGTGACACAGCAAAAGGGCATTTTCCCATGTGCCCCCCACCATTTTCTACCCTTGGTGAGGAGGCATATCTGTTTCAGTAACATTGGGTTTTGTCAGTGAAATAGTTGTGAGAACATCTTCAAGTGAACATTCTACTGTCTTTTAATTTAGAAATACAAGGTAGCGTATTATGCCGGCAAAATGGCTGCCTTTACAGCATGCAAAGCACACAGAGAGCCAAATATATTACAGAACTCCCTAAAGGGTTCATAGGGAAACATTCTGTTTACATTCCATGGTTACAGGACAAAGGCTGTTATCTAGAAAGGCTGGGTGGCAGGCATTGCTCCCACAAATAACAACAGATTGCCCAACTGAACTCAATGGGAGCTGTGGACTTACATGGAAGATCAGCTGTCTATAAACATATTATTATTGTGAACCATTATGATATTTTATAACAAATGAGACAAGGAAGTAAACAGGCTACCATCAGGCAAACGGTTGAAATGGTGTAAACCTGCTCCTGTTCACTGACCTTCACTCTAACCCGGAGAAAGATATATCTGTACTCCATTACGATTAGAATAAAGGGAGATAAATTCCTTGTTTACACAAAGACCATGTATAGACTTAAAGAGGTAGGGGGAAAATCAGGATCAGAGCAGAATATTTAGCCCGTGAGGTAAATATAAAC